GATAGTAACGCGTATAGGAGAAACATTCAAATTCAAGTGGTTAGGGGGTTTGGTCTGAGTCAGAAATCATTTGGAACACAACGTTATTCCCCACTGCTACCAAGCAATTTTTTTCTCAAAATAAACGGTATGGGGAAATCTGGAATTCAGAATATTTTTTTGTCATCTGCCTGACCACAATATTTTTTTCTCTCATCAAATTGGGGATCAGGATATGATTTTATGAGGGAAAAAAAGCAGTCACCCACCCCTTTGAAGTTAAATGGTTGTCTTAAGAATTAATTAAATTGATATAGGTATGGTGTTTCAGGGGGGCTATCAGGGATTTGGAGTACTTGTATTCGGGATTATTTTTATAATCTGAATATAAAATAAGTGGTACAAATATATAATTACATTAGATGTATGTTTCATTATAATACGTTATTCTGAGTGGCTAACTGAAATCTCGCGTTATTCCTTAATCAACTTCATACACAATGAAATTTATCATTCATGATGACACGAGATCCAACAGTAAAGTGCACAGGCAAATTAAATAAAAAAAATGATAAAAATCGTGTTTTCATGATCCTAGCTAATTAACAATGTAATTATAAGTATTGGATGCTTCTTTTTGTAACTTCATAGGGGTGTAAAAGCATTGACCGTGCGCACATTTTTAGAATGAAGCGCTTCCGCGCTTCATACAAAAGGTACTTCGGCCAACGCTTTTACACCCAAATGAAGTTCCAAAAGAAGCATTCAATTCTTAAATAAAAAAAAAACATTTGGAAATCAACTTGACAAGATATCAGAAAACGGGAGCGATGAGAGATCGATTTTTAATTACATTGAAGTTATCCTCGACATACAAAAAAATAACTAAATAAGTTGTCTAATTTGTTGACAAATATAAATATTCGTGGTAAAAAAAAAGACAAAACATTGCGTGTGAGGGTCTACATGGAGTTAACAGAATAGACAATTCGGGCAAATCTGATGAAAAAAAAACGAAAATTCGTAGTTATAGGAAATTAACCCAACGAACAGCAATTGAAATCTCCTCCCCAACAAATTGTACCTCCCGACCTGTATAATGCTGAAAGTGGTTTAATGTGCTTTTGGAACACCCTTTAAAAATATGAGTAGGGTTCTGCAGGCCACGGCTTAGGTAGCACTTCACAGTTAGAAAATAAAATTAAAATTGAGCCAAAGAATGTTTAATAATCTTCCAATCCTGGCATTTTAATACATTAGGCCAACTGCAGCGCTTGTGTCATACATGCGAAACTACACACCTATCTATGGAGTGCTACCTTACTCGAATGCTCCCGATACAGTTATGCTGATGAAGATATAATGAAATTAATAGAACCGGGAGTTTTTAACGACCTTGACTGGCTATACATATATATGGAAGTTTTTAACGACCTTGACTGGCTATACATTGCTCGGTCGGCTATATAGGGGGAATGGCACGGTGCCCACCCCCTTTTTGTGGGAAAATAAATGTTGATTATATAGGGAATCACTTAAGAATGATATTAGCAGTTAGTGCCCCCTCCCCTTATATAAAAAAAATCTGGATCCGCCACCGAGAACAAGTTAAACTAAAACAAAAAATTCCGAAAATGGAACATCTCAAGTATATAAGGTAATCACACTCCCACTCCCGAAACAAAAAAAAACCGTCATGTTATTGCAATCTAATAACAGTTATTTAATTCGCTTTATTATTGTTTTCATTAGTTTACAAGTTGTGACCTTCGAAATTGTTTTATTTAATTTTCCTATAGACTTTTATGGTAACCCCCTTTGCCCCTAAAAAACAAACAAAATAAAGTTTCCCTCCCACAAGATTCAAAACTTAAACGTTGAAAAAAAAACTTGATTTTAGATTTTCGGTTATAAATTGAAATGAACCTTCTAGAGCCTCAACTTTAACGCGCACAATAATGTCAGTCATTACACATCAAATTTAACCCTAAATTGACATTCCACAATCGGTCAGTAACATCACCTGTGTTTATAGTTACATTATATTTCCCGCAGTTGGAAAATCTCGTGCAGTCGACACAATTGATCTGAGCTATTTTTAACATTCTCTTTTGTGAGCGAAGTCAAGTTTAAGATCAAGTTGATTACAGATATTTTTGGCGTGCATTATTTCATTATTTAAAATGTTCGGTCTACATTCGTTACAGTCTAATTTTTAATTAAAAGAAACGTAACATCATTTCTTTTTTTTTTTGTTGGCAATTATAGTAAATTAATGTCATCCCGGAATGTATATAATATACACTTTAACATTACACCTGAAAGTGCTTTATAATAAACGGAGAAACTGTCTAACAATTAAAATTTAAAAGAATATTATCTCTCAGGCATATTTTAAGATGAGTGATTGTTGGTTGCTTAACTTCCAGTGGCAAATATTCCATGCATGTCAGGACGAACTTAGTTTTAAGATCGCACTCTCAAAAATAATTGAAAAACAATAATGATCAGAAAAACTTTTATTCATGTAAAATAACCCTCCAATCTTTTAATTAGAACTTATTTATTTTTCACAATGTAACAGATTAGTTTACAAGACGTGCATTGAGGTATACATGTACGCAACTTTCATATCTTTGAAATGGAACTTTTTTGTCTAAAAGACAACCTACGCGTTAGCGAAATCGAGTTTGAAAGGACTGCATTGTGCGTAAATACATATACATATTATGAAACGACGGTCGGTGTATTACCAACATACTGCTATACCAGTTGACCCCTGATATCAACTAAGGTTAAAACTTTCCCCTGTCCGTCAGAAATGTAAAGCTTCAATTCAATGTTGACACCTGTATCAAATAAACAGATGGTTCATTGTATTTTAGTTCCAATAAACGGTTCTTTTTGTATAACCACAGTTGAATAGTAATTCAATAAAACAATGACGGATGAACTAATTAATTATGAATATGAAATAATGTCCAAATGTTCCTATATACTAGTATACACATTCGGACTACAATTCGCAACTTGTTATTATCTCATCGAATCATATTGTTTTGTTTATATATGCCTTCAACCCCTAGGAGTATAAATGTGCATTTCATTAATAAAGATTAATGGATCACACAGGTAAATCAGATCGTAGTAAAAATTCATATTTGCCAATGAAATTTAAATGATCTCTGGCCTCGGACATATACATATATTTTTCTATTAAACAAGTGTCAAATCAGTACGTGACATCTTGCCGGATTACGGCATCTACAGTAATAAGACTATTAGTACAGGAACTGATTTTTTTTCTAAACATGACAATAAAGAAGAATTTTATAAGGTGAGAATATTTGTAGTTGTGTATTGCAAAGTTACCGCGTGTATTCATCCTGTTCATCGGTCACATTAAAATAGATTTTTCTTTATTGAACAATTACCAAATTCGATATTTAAATCGTAAGTAACTTTATTATCTCGACTGAAAGAGTAATAAGACAGTTTTGTTTATCTGACTGTAAACATTGTATTATCACAACGAGCTATTAATAACCGTCGCTCACGCACCAGTAGTTCTATTGACGACTCAATACACACCAGTTTTATCGGACCAACGGCTAATTCCCGTCGACACTGTATAATGGATTATGTAAACATCTATATACAACGATCTATTAATAACCGTCGCTCACGCATCACTGGTTCTATCAATGACTCAATACACACCAGTTTTATCGGACAAACGGCAAATTCCCACCGACACGGTAAATCTCCGGATGACATGCATAATTTTCTGTGACACAGCAAATTTACGATGAACCTCTAATTATTTTCCGTTCCGCGCAGATTATCCAAAAATCGCGGTCATTTGCCAAATAGGTCTACCAGTGAAAGTTGAAGGCAAACATGTTTTTATAAAGTTGAAGGGCAAACATGTATTTATAAAGTTGAAGGGCAAACATGTATTAATAAAGTTGAAGGGCAAGCATGTATTTATAAAGGTGAAGGGCAAACATGTATTTATGTATTTATAAAGTTGAAGGGCAAACATGTATTTATAAAGTTGAAATCTATTAGGTTTGATTATTTGATGCTATGGATATTACTTAAATAGATTTCATTGTTTATGCTAAGATAAAATGTGTTTCCAATGACCATCTGCAATAGTGTTAGGTGCATAAGGGTTGACTAGGGTGATTCAAGAAAAATATTTTCAAACTTTAATTATTTGAACTGAAGCATTTGTAGATGATATAATTTAAATTTGTTGAATTAATTTAAAGTTTGTTAGTCACTACACCATGTATACTTAGCAAATACAAATCACTTGCAGCTCACTCTGGCAGAATCTAAGACTGTTTTGGCTGTTCTGTTTAGGACCTTTCCTTAGCTTTCCTTAGCTTTCCTAATTTTTAGTTTTTGAAGTACCTGATAATGGTTATACAAGAAGCATTGTCATGTTTAATGTACACAGAAATTATATCTGAAGTTATGTTGTCCCTCGCTATGCTCGTCAGAACATAAACTATTTCTGATTCTATATATAAAATAAAGACTGATATGCCAGGAGATATGCACCAAACAGTTAATTTTTATGTATAGTCAAATGTGTTTAAAAATACCACATCATTAAGAAAAAAGTCCATACATCAAATTCTACATTTCACTGTTCATAGAAATATTTACAAAAGTAAATACAAAGGATAAGAAATTATACAAGGAATTGATAATCTTCAAATCTCAATGAAATAACCTTGTCGGAAGAAGTTTGGTATGTTAAATCTCAAGGAAATGAAAAGAGTGCGTAAAATATTATATAAATATAAATAAGAAGATGTGGAATGAGTGCCAATGAAACAACTCTCCATCCAAGTCACAAAGTCTGAAAACCAATTTACTCAGTATTGCACAACAGAAAATGTCAGAAATCTTGAAACGAAAAGAATACAATTTTTTTTATGTTTCTTTTTGTTCCTTTCGACCATTTCAAGTACTGACTTACTACTAATATTATATTTTTATTGCAGTAAGATATATATCCTTGCTACTGGTTGATTCTTATATTGGTGAAGATGCAGATGAGACTATTGTGAAGAAAAAAATTATGGTATTACATGTATACTTCGACACTTGCAGTGGGAAATCTAGTGACAAAATATTACCTCCACTGTAAACACTGAAAACTAGATCTTTTCAATGTTTGTCCCATTTTAGCAAGGACGCTATCAATTATAAATTCATGGGAAAACGTTCTGGTAAATAGTAAAAATAGAAATAAGTTGAAATAAAAACAAAACTTCCGTTTAATGTTATCATTTCCCTCCTTAAATAGAAAACGACGAGTATAACAAACTAAAGGAGCTTGGTGTAAAATTGGTTTAAAAGGTTGCTATGCGAATAAATTCCTGGAGTAACAACTTCAATTTATTTTTTTACTGTTATACTCTCTGGAACATGCTAATTATCCATATATATATATATATTAGCAGCTAGATCAGAGAAAGTCAGGAAAAAAATTCCAAAGGAATCGAATGATATGCAGCAAAGATTGGCAATTTTGAAATTAAGTAACTAAGCAAATTCAAACAGACCTTATCCCGATGTAAACATTGAATGTGAATAGATCGAGAAGACCGCAAATACATGTACAAAAATCGAGATGACCTTTTCTTAAAATTGTATAAAAAATAGTAAAAAGAAGCCTACTTTATAATAATATTTATCTTTAATTTTTTAACCTGAACAGACAGACTTATATTGTTATATTCATGAAAAGACAATATTCTATATGGAATTTTCATGTGACAAGAGCACACCGATGTACTCGAAAACTTAGAATGTGAAAAATAAGTATATTTTTGGAAATTGTAACATGCTAAGGACTTTGTGGAACACTCTGAAAATTGGTGACCCGAATGATCTTTAGCATGTTTAGATTTTGTACATGATTTTTTCCAATTTTTTTTTATCAGTATGCAGCAAAGATTGGCATTTTTTAGATTTCACAAGCTTCTAATGCAATTATTTCGATAAATACTGAACATAAAGCATCATGTATTTGCATGTATATTTCTAATAACACAGTTTAACAAATAATTTCTTTAAAATGTACAATTGTTATTTAGAAATAACTTTTCATCAGTGTCATCACCGGCATTGTTTTATTATTGAATTTCTTGACTCTATCATAAGAAGATGTGATTTTCTTTTGTTCCTTTTCACTAGATTTTCCACTGCTTGAAAGTATCTCTAGTAGATTAATTTTTATAATGCAAGCTCGTCAGTGAAAAATTAATTAAGCTGCACATAATTTAAGACATTGCACTTGATAACAAGAACTTATTATCAGGTTTTCTGCAAATTGTTATTGTGAAATATTAGCTATGAATTATAGTATGATGCTTTTATGGCGAGGAGCATATAGCGATGAAGATCAACAATCTATGCATGAATATTATATAAAGTCTGAAAACTGATGAACTGAGGATGGCACAACAGAAAATGTCAGAAATCTCGAAAGGAAAAGAATACAATTTTTTTTTCAGATACTGTAAATTCAGAAAATTTTGCAATGTTTTTATTATTGAGAAAACGTGATGAGAAAGTGTCACAAAAATAGAAACTAGCATTTAAAATTTTAATAGAATTTATTTTTTGTATGCAGCATTTCCTGTAATTACATCAGTTAAACCCACAATTGTGTAGAATATCCAACAAATTCAATAATAAATGTATACAATAATTTCTGAGTATTTGGAATCAGTGGATTACAAATTGTACATGTCACATTGAAATCAACTCTGATGTCTTTTTTGTTTTTCTTTCACTATATGATAGCATAGTAAATTTTGTATCACTCTTTCTGTACTTGTTATAACATAATATTTAGATATTTGATAATATTTTTGATATAATTTTCAGATGGGTATCAAAACAGCAAGAGGATGGCTTGGTAGGTTTTATTAGTAGCTTAAAAAATATTACTTTAAATGTGCATTTCAAAAAAAGAAAGGAACTTCATAAGACATACAGTAGAAGAAAAGACTATTTACCAATAAATAGTATAAACTTTATGGTCTTATAGATATTTTAGGCTTGGTAAAATACTAAAATTTCAAATTGTCACATAAGTCTGTTCCATATAAATATTAATAGTACCCAGGGTAGGTACTATGAATATGAAGTATCTTGTACATACTTGGAAATATGTTCCTGTTTACAGCTCTTCTATAAAAGCATGCAAAGCAAACCTTTGATCAACGTGCTTGCTATGTTTGTTTGGATGTTTGCAAACAATAGGTAGGCGGAGTTTCAGTCTGTTCTATATATACTGGGATTTGATTGGACAGTAAAAATTGACATGCAATGAAGTAAATGTTTATTGTCCAATCAAATTCCATTATATAGTAAACAGACTGAAACAGACTACCTACCTTTTGTTAGCTCACCTGGCCCAAAGGGCCAAGTGAGCTTTTTCATCACTTGTCGTCCGTCGTCGTCGTTGTTTACTTTTACAAAAATCTTCTCCTCTGAAACTACATGGCCAAATTAAACCAAACTTGTCCACAATCATCATTAGGGTATTTAATTTAAAAAATGTGTCCGGTGACCCGGCCAACCAACCAAGATGGCCGCCATGGCTAAAAATAGAACATAGGGGGAAAATGTAGATTTTGGCTTATATCTCTGAAACCAAAGCATTTAGAGCAAATCTGACATGGGGTAAAATTGTTTATCAGGTCAAGATCTATTTGCCCTGAAATTTTCAGATGAATCGGACAACCCGTTGTTGGGTTGCTGCCCCTGAATTGGTAATTTTTAGGAAATTTTGCTGTTTTTGGTTATTATCTTGAATATTATTATAGATAGAGATAAACTGTACACAGCAATAATGTACAGCAAAGTAAGATCTACAAATAAGTCAACATTACCAAAATTGTCAATTGACCCCTCAAGGAGTTATTGCCCTTTATAGTAATTTTTTTACAATTTTCATAAATTTGGTAAATTTTTGTAAATTTTTACAAAATATTTTCCACTGTAACTACTGGGCCAAGTTCATTATAGATAGAGATAATTGTAAGCAACGGAATGTTCAGTAAAGTAAGATCTACAAACACATCACCATCACCAAAACACAATTTTGTCATGAATCCATCTGTGTCCTTTGTTTAATATGCACATAGACCAAGGTGAGCGACACAGGCTCTTTAGAGCCTCTAGTTTACAAACATCCAAACAAACATAGCAAGTAAGTTGATCAAAGGTTTGCCTTGCATGCTTTTATAGAAGAACTGTAAAATGTCAAATAGTAGGTGTTATTTTGTCTGCCCATAATATTATCTCCTGTACAATATCCTCAAAAACTCACTGTTGGAATGAATTTTAATCAAAATTATATCCTTTCCCTGTTTTGTGTAGCTATGCATCCTTAGTTTGGGTTTCTGTTCTTTTCCTTGTTTCAAATCTTATATCTTAATATCTTTTTAGCTCACCTGACCTGAAAGGTCAAGTGAGCTTTTCTCATCACTTTGCGTCCGTCGTCCGTCGTCCTGCGTCCGTCGTCCGTCGTCCGTCGTCCGTAAACTTTTACAAAAATCTTCTCCTCTGAAACTACTGGGCCAAATTTAACCAAACTTGGCCACAATCATCATTGGGGTATCTAGTTTTAAAAATGTGTGGCGTGACCTGGTCAACCAACCAAGATGGCCGCCACGGCTAAAAATAGAACATAGGGGTAAAATGCAGTTTTTAGCTTATAACTCAAAAACCAAAGCATTAAGAGCAAATCTGACATGGGGTAAAATTGTTCATCAGGTCAAGATCTATCTGCCCTGAAATTTTCAGATGAATCGGACAACCCGTTATTGGGTTGCTGCCCCTGAATTGGTAATTTTAAGGAAATTTTGCTGTTTTTGGTTATTATCTTGAATATTATTATAGATAGAGATAAACTGTAAACAGCAATAATGTTCAGCAAAGTAAGATTTACAAATAAGTCAATATAACCGAAATGGTCAGTTGACCCCTTTAGGAGTAATTGCCCTTTATAGTCAATTTTTAACCATTTTTCGTAAATCTTAGTTATCTTTTACAAAAATCTTCTCCTCTGAAACAACTGGGCCAAACTAAACCAAACTTGGCCACAATCATCATTGGGGTATCTAGTTTAAAAAATGTGTGGCGTGACCCGGCCAACCAACCAAGATGGCGGCCACAGCTAAAAATAAAACATAGGGGTAAAATGCAGTTTTTGGCTTATAACTCAAAAACCAAAGCATTTAGATCAAATCTGACATGAAGTAAAATTGTTTATCAGGTCAAGATCTATCTGCCCTGAAATTTTCAGATGAATCGAACAACCTGTTGTTGGGTTGCTGCCCCTGAATTGGTAATTTTAAGGAAATTTTGCTGTTTTTGGTTATTATCTTGAATATTATTATAGATAGAGATAAACTGTAAACAGCAATAATGTTCAGCAAAGTAAGATTAACAAATAAGTCAACATGACTGAAATGGTCAGTTGACCCCTTTAGGAGTTATTGCCCTTTATAGTCAATTTTTAACAATTTTTTGTAAATCTTAGTAATCTTTTACAAAAATCTTCTCCTCTGAAACTACGTGGCCAAATTAAACCAAACTTGACCACAATCATCTTTGGTTATCTAGTTTTAAAAATGTGTGGCGTGACCTGGTCAACCAACCAAGATGGCCGCCACGGCTAAAAATAGAACATAGGGGTAAAATTCAGTTTTTGGCTTTTAACTCAAAAACCAAAGCATTTAAAGCAAATCTGACATGAAGTAAAATTGTTTATCAGGTCAAGATCTATCTGCCCTGAAATTTTCAGATGAATCGGACAACCCATTGTTGGGTTGCTGCCTTTGAATTGGTAATTTTAAGGTAATTTTGCTGTTTTTGGTTATTATCTTGAATATTATTATAGATAGAGATAAACTGTAAAAAACAATAAATGTCGGCAAAGTAAGATCTACAAATAAGTCAACATGACCGAAATTGTCAGTTGACCCCTTTAGGAGTTATTGCCCTTTATAGTCAATTTTTAACCATTTTTTCGTAAATCTTAGTAATCTTTTACAAAAATCTTCTCCTCTGAAACTACTGGGCCAAGTTAATTATAGATAGAGATAATTGTAAGCAGGAAAAATGTTCAGTAAATTAAGATGTACAAACACATCACCATCACCAAAACACAATTTTGTCATGAATCCATCTGCGTCCTTTATTTAATATTCACATAGACCAAGGTGAGCGACACAGGCTCTTTAGAGCCTCTAGTTTTGTAAAACTACTAACATGACTAAACAATGTCTTAAATATTTGAAAACTAGGTTTGATATTCCTTTTTTATTTGGGATGTATAAATCCTGTTCATTTATATATAAAAATAAGGAGATGTGGTATGATTGCAAATGAGACAACTCTACAGAAGAGACCAAATGACACAGAAATTAACAACTATAGGTCACTGTAGGGCCTTCAACAATGAGCAAAGCCCATACCGCATAGTCAGCTATAAAAAGCCCTGAAATGACAAATGTAAAACAATACAATAAAAGAAGACTAACGGCCTAATTTATGTACAAAATAATGAATGAAAAACAAATATGTTACACAGCAACAAACGACAACCAATGAATTACAGGCTCCTGACTTGGGACAGGCACATACAGAATGTGGCGGGGTTAGATGGCGCCAACCCTCCCCCTATCCTGGGACAGTGGTGCAACAACACAACACAAGAACACACTATGCAAAACAAAAACGGAAAACAAATATGCTAAATACATGTAGCAACAAATAACAACCACCACTCAATTACAGGCTCCTGACTTGGGACAGGCACATATAGAATGTGGCGGGGTTAAACTAGTTTGAAGGCGCCAACCCACCCTCTAACATGGGACAGTGGTGTAACTGTTCAGCATAAGAACAAACTATAAAAATTAGTTGAAAAAGGCTTAACTCATCAGATGCATACAAATAGAAATACAGTAAATATGTTTTGATTGAGTAAAGCTTGCAAATTGAATGTTGAACAATAAGAATTCTGTTGTTTTTTTTATTTCAGATGCTGGTAATACAAAGCTTGCTGACATTACATTGCAGATAGCAGATAAGGTATAATGTTTGAATTGAATACAAAATTAGGAGATTTATTATGATTGCCAATGGGAAATCTAACCAACAGCTTCAACAATGAGCAAAACACTTACCATATTAAAAGGCTCCGACATGACAAAATGTGAAACAATTCATACAAAAAAATCAACCTGATTAAGTAGAAAACAATAATTCAAAATACAAATATAATAAACACCATCCAACAAAAACCACTCTATGGAATTCAAAATGACTGTCTGACATTGTGTAATAATAAAATGATTTCATTTGAATTTATGAAACCACTATGCTTTTTTAATAGTCTGTTAAATTGTTAAGAAGAATGATTGTACAGAAAATCAATGCTAATGGTCCCACTGAGGTATTACAGAGACAAAGGATTGAAGCAGAGCAAGATGTGTTCAGAATAGTTTGTTACAGAGCAGAATCAGTAGGTAGTTCTTAAACTTTATGAAAATAATAGATATATCTACTAAACCAATGACCATATTTAAAGAAATTTTCATATATCTTCAGCATGTGCTTTGCTAAATTTGTGTATACGGAATTTATAAGCTCTGCAAGTCTGCGTCAACAGTTTAGGTTCAGTCTATGGTTAAAGTTGAGGCAGCAAAAACTGTCAAGTATTCATGGAATTTTACACATCTTGGGACAGAAACTTTTTCATAATCAAGAGATATCTTCAATCCTGGTATGATGAGTTTATTTAGAAACAATTCCAACATGTTTGTGACATCACAAGTGACCTTTCTGCTCTAAAGTGTCCATATTATTCAATCTGTTATTATCAAAAAGTTTAACATAAGTTTGAAAGGCTTGAATATTTTTACTTTTTTTTACAATTTCAGGGGCTAAATAATGGCTCTGATCATTCCTCCTCCTGTAGTGAAATTTATGGTCTAGGTCAGAAATAACTGGTTTATTTAAAAGTCAGGACTTGCTACTTTTAATAGCAATTTTGTTGATAAAAGCTTGTCTTTTGTTGTTTTTTTTGTAGTATATAGCTCAGCACAGATACCAGGAAGCATTAGAGATGACATTCCTGGCTAAAGAAATGCTAGTGAATTTTCCAAAAGAGGTAATTATTATATTTAAATATTAAATTTGATTTATATTTATTTCTTATATGCTGTGTATTCATTTTCATTCAAGGTATACCAATATTTATATGCTGTGTATTCATTTTCATTCAAGGTATACCAATATTTATATGCTGTGTATTCATTTTCATTCAAGGTATACCAATATTTATATGCTGTGTATTCATTATGCCCCCGCCGTAGCGGAGGGGGCATTAAGTTTTACCCTTGTCCGTCTGTCCGTACATCCCAAAGTTGGTTTCCATTCTCTAACTTTAGTTTGCCTCACTTTGGCGTCACTTTTACTGTTCTAGAGTTGTGCTCCGTTACAAATGGAAAAATTGTTTCCGTTCTCTAACTTAAGTTTGCCTCAAACAAATGTTATGAAACTTATACACAATGCTTATTACCACAATATACAGATCAAGTTTGAATTTTGGTGCCGTCACTTTTACTGTTCTAGAGTTGTGCCCTTTACAAATGGAAAAATTGTTAAATTTTCTTTTTTTTTCTAAATATCCAGTCATTTTTAAAATTGGAGTTATCTTCCTTTGTCCATGATTATAGTTGAATCAACTACAATCAATGCTTTATACAATGCAATGTTTAATTTTGCCTTCCACTGATAAATTAAAGCAATTTTTACCCTTCATTTCTAAAAATGTTTTAAAGTCTTCTTTGAAAATCGGAGTTATCTTTCTTTGTGCATAATGGTAGTTGAATCAACTACACCCAATGCTTTATACAATGCAATATTCAATTTTTCTTCCTACTGATAAATTAATTTGTTTCCGTTTTCTAACTTTAGTTTGCCTCAACCAAATGTTATGAAACTTGTACACAATGCTTATTACTACATAATACAGATTAAGTATGAAATTTGGTGGCGACCCTTTTACCATTCTTGAATTATGTCCCTTTATAAACATAAAAATTGCTGAATTTTTCGTTTCCGTTCTCTAACTTTAGTTTGTCTCAACCAAATGTTATAAAACTTATACACAACCGTTCTAGAGTTATGCGTGTTTACAAATAGAAAAATTGCTGAATTTTTAGTTTCTGTTCTCTACTTAAGTTAGCCTTAACCAAATGTTATGAGACTTACACACAATGCTAATTACCACAAAACTCAGATCAAGTTCAAATTTGGGTAGCGTCACTTTTACCGTTCTTCAGTTATGTCCCTTTATAACTATATGATGTGCAAGCGGGGGCATCATCTGTGTCCACATGTGGACACTATCCACATTTTTTTCATTCAAGGTATACCAATATTTATATGCTGTGTATTCATTTTCATTGAAGGTATACCAATATTTATATGCTGTGTATTCATTTTCATTGAAGGTATACCAATATTTATATGCTGTGTATTCATTTTCTTTCAAGGTATACCCAATATTTATATGCTGTGTATTCATTTTCATTGAAGGTATACCAATATTTATATGCTGTGTATTCATTTTCATTCAAGGTATACCAATATTTATATGCTGTGTATTCATTTTCATTCAAGGTATACCAATATTTATATGCTGTGTATTCATTTTCATTCAAGGTATACCAATATTTATATGCTGTGTATTCATTTTCTTTCAAGGTATACCAATATTTATATGCTGTGTATTCATTTTCATTCAAGGTATACCAATATTTATATGCTTTAATCTCTCACTACACTACTCACATTAATAAATTAAATGTGTCCATGAGCAATTAATAAAAATTTAATTAGTTTGAACAGTTTGGTTCTATGATACAAACTTTATTATACTAGGAAACCATAAGAGGGAGCATACTGGTTTACTTCTAATAATTCGTCTCTCTCAGTAACAGTACTTGACACATCTCTGTCACTTTTTTCTCAGCAGCTATTCATCATAGCTTCTTGACTTTAATTGATTTTTGAACATTCAAATACGAAATAAAAGATGAATTTTGGTATGTTTTGTAGGGTTCTTTATATAACAACCCATTTTCAAACAGTTACAGACTTTCCTTGGAGATTTTTCAACCCGACATAGGTTAACAGATGTATTGATATTTATTTCCATAAGGTTGATTTCTATCCGACGCAACTCATATGTTTTTAGGGAGCCTTTTTAGCAATGATGTGCTACAACTTTGGAGTTGATACATACCAGAAGAAAAAATATGAAGAATGTACCACATGGCTAAGAGAGAGTTTTGAGCTTGGCAAAGGAAGATCACTTATAGGACAGAAGAACCAAGTTTGTATTTAAGAATTAAGTTCACTCTAAATTCATTAAATGCATTAATGATTGTTGATTCTGAACATTGAACAAAAATTTTTTATTAATTATTGCAATTTCAAAAAATGTAACATACAGATAATGCATTCAAACTTAAAATGTTAGTTTGCATTTAAGGGAGACTATCCTGTTGCACTTTAAGCTATAACAAAAATGTTGCAAAAATTTCTTAATTTGCAGTAGTAAAATTCTGGTCTATGCTAGATCCATAAGACCTTGAGGTCAAATTAGACAAAAATTTCTCCTGAAATACATTAAAATTTTACCTTCAATTTGAACTTAATTTACTGTTTAGGATTGTTCAACATCTGCCTATGAACAGTTTGTCACTTCTATGATGGAAAAATCACTAATCTGCTAATAATCTTGATAATTATATAGCATATATAGGTGTCAAACTTTAAAGGAAACCGCAAAGAAAGTCATAATATTGAGTAGGCAAAAAATCAATAATGTATGATAATTGCATGTCTTGATGAGTAATATTTTAAACAATATTAATCTCAAAATGCTAAATGTTCCTCATATTATAAATCCCAAACCTGCAGTAAATCATTCAATAATTCTATTAGAGACTTTAAAACATAAAAATGTGCCTAGATCCTCCCTTAATCCATGTACAAAAAAAAAGGCAAGAGGTACGAAAATGCATTTCCTCTTATTCTTCTGTATATTGCCCCTGTAATAGGAGCACCTAGGGATTAGGTAAAAACATTATCTAGTTATAAGAATACATTCTCTATCAGTATTGATAGATGAAATCACACTATTTACATCCGACAGCTCCTAGATAAATTAAAACTGTTGTGAACCTCAAAAAAACTGTTAGATTTTTATATTAATATACCTGCAAACAATAAGGCAAACAACTCTTAACTATAAATATCTTAATAGAAACCTTCAAATGTATCAAAACTCAACAATATGGCCCTTGAAACTTCTGAACTATAAATCTGAAATTTTCATTATACAAGATGAGTTTGAATTAGTTATTTGATGAATTACTATAACATTCTTTTAAAATACAAAAAAAATGTAGTTTGTTGCAATAATGTCATTGAATGTGCCTTGTTTGATATTTGAAAATTATTAAGAAATACAATGATTTGATTGTTTTTATTAAAGTGATTACTGTAAATTCAGAAATTATTGCGTGCATTTATTATTACGATTTTGTCATTTTAGAATAAAATGTGATTTTAATTTTTGCGATATTGAGAAAATCCTGTTTAATTCATATAAAAAATTTCAAAATGCGAGTTTAAATTATTGCGATTATAACCCTGTCGATTATTATAAATTTTAGATTTTACGTTTCCGAGTTATGGGATTTTATTCATAAAAAGGGGTGATTATCCAGTTTTCGGACAATATCTTTAAAGTGCTTTGAGGAGTTTTCATGAAACTTTGGTGACTGGTTTACATCTATTAAGATAATCTCCCTTTAGTTTTTCATAGATTTCTGATATGACATTGAGAATTTATTGAACTTTATTCTTTTAAAAAGCGATGGGCTTATCATGCGCTCATGGCGCAGCTGTTTATTACACATTTACAAGGTTCAGAATTTTTAAAAGATGGTAGTAATCCTGTTAAAAAGTACATTATGTATTTTTGTAATCTTTTTATTTAACTATTAAAATTTTCTCAAACTTTTCTAAAAGAACTCAAGTATTCAGATGTTTTCTCCCAATCAGTAATTACCAGTTTCTTTCTTTTGAACATTACATTCAATTAATTACATCTTAATGTTGGTATATCTTTGGTTTTGTTTAAGGCTAGGACATTGAGATTGTTGGCATGTGCTTACTTAGACTTGGGTCCAGCATATCTACAGAAAGCACAGAATGCCATTACTTTGGCTAATGCTGTAAGTAGTTAGGGATATTCTTGAAATAAATACTTAAAGAGTCTTTACTACTTTCTTATATTGGTGTTCCATATTTCTGTGTTAACAGTAAAAAAAAATCAGTGAAACTGATGAAATACTCCCAGGGTTATTATTTCTGGAAAGCCCTATATGGATGCATTCTCATAACATCCTTTATATGTACATTTGAAGAATGTATGCTCAATTTTGCCATTGATAAAGTTTTAAAGAAAGACAAAAACACAAATACAGTCTGTTTTCATGGAAAAGAAGTTCTTTGATAATAGTAGTTCCAAATGGATACAATATTCTGGAATACTATGTCCACTGAAAGAAATGTTACATTATTTGTTCCTGACGGAATAAAGGTTATGAAATATTTGTTACAACAGGTACAAAAACTGTAGCATTGTTTATAACAAAATTTCCAGAGGAAATTCTATTAGGTGGAACAAATAAACATTAATACCATTGCAACCACCTGCAGAAAAATTCCCATTCTGAAACTTTAAGAATTCCATTTTGTCAAACAAATTTTGGCACTTTTATGGATTTGTACTTCACAATGACTTTTAAGTATAAAAATAATTACATAAGAAGATGTGGTATGATTGCCAATGAGACAACTCTCCACCAGATACCAAATGATATAGAAGTTAACAACTATAGGTCACTGTATGGCCTGTATGTTAAAGTGTATAAACTTTAGTTGAAAATACTTATCAATTTCTATATTTGTGAATGACCTTAACAATGAAGTCTTGACACTTATTAAATTGATTTATGTCTTTAAAATCTAATGTGTTTTTTGTAAAGATATGCATACAAACTGAATTAATAAATATTTTATTTTACTTATAATTCTTAAAGAGTTCTAAAAAATTCTAAAGAAAGTTTACAGGAAAACATATAAAACAATTAAAAGAGAGGCGAACAATACCAAAAGGAAATTCAAACTCGCTAGTTGAAAATAAACTGACAACGCCATGGCTAAAATAGAAAAAGACCACCAGACAAACAACAGTACACAAAACACAACATAGAAAACATTTGCAGTGTATGCACCAATCTTCAAAAAGATTTATGAGAGACTTGAAGACACAATATCTATGTACATTTTTACATCTCTACATTAAAATTTACCAATTAAATGCTGCCAAATATGAATTGCAGGTAAATGAGTTTTATATTTTGATCATTTACTTGGATTACAACTGGGACAAATATCTATAAAAAGTATTCAGGGCAATTAAAGCAGTAAGTCTTTAAGATCATTGAAATAAAGAGGCTGTGTGCAAGGCTTCCAAAACGGTCATATATTCCGGACATTTGTATAATGTCCGGTAAAAGTCTGGCTGGGCAAAGCACGAAACGGTCATCTACTTTTTAGATTTCAAGGCTTTCTTAAGAGACGGTCATTTTAACATAATTCGCGATCTTTTTGACCCAAACTTTTGCCTTTAACAGCCACACATTTCCGGTCATAAAAGTGAAATGATCATTAAGTACTATCATAACCCCTACTTTAATACCTTCTTATTTTAATCAAGGCTAATTAGTTGTCGAACAGCTGAAATTTACCTGTTCAGGTGACAGGTAAACTATTTTGAACCGGACATTGATCGGTCTATTCAAAGTTATTTTCTTACATTTCACCGGTTTGCATCTAATTAATTTAGTCAAAAAGATTTAAATTATCAGAAATACATTTACAAATAAGATTTGATGAAAAAATTAAAGAGGTGAAAATGAAAAATCATCATAACCACGTTGTTTGAACCAGAGACATGTCTCTGTTTGAACTAGTACACGTGTGCGTGTGCATGTGCGCAGGTGTGAAATTTAATTATGCACCCTAATTTCTTTAAAAAATGCTTAAATTGTCATTGATATCTTTATCTCACGTTTATTTCGAATATTTTCTTGAAGAAATAACGTAGAATGAGCTACTTACACTCATTCATGCTTTGCAAACGTATACAGAATTTACGTATCCGTCTCTGGTCCATGTTTTACCATTGTCAAGATAACATCCGGTTTCAGATTTAAAAACGAAAGTAAAGTTTTTGACAACGTTATTTTGCACAAATAAAGAGTCTAAGTCAGATATAAGTACGCTGATGTTGCACACTTCGGATGATGCACTGCCAATTTAACAGTTTACGTCAGAACTTCGAATTTGAATCAAAGAAAGTTTAATATCGTTTTTTTTAAATATCAATCATTGGGATGGCCAACTCGGCAACTGATTACCATAACTGCCTTTTGTTTATTTAGTCTTAAGGGATTAAAATCGGGATAATATATAAAATGTCCGGCTGGCTAAAAATAATTTTGGAAGCCCTGGCTGTGTGACAAGAGAAATTTACAAAGAGTTTTATAATAAGTTTTTTCAGTTGATTGTAATGAGCTGCAACACTTCACAATATATTACACAGGAAAACTAAAGACTAAGCAACACAAACGTTAACAAAAACCAGGGACGAACTTAGATGGTTTGGAAAGACCAGCAGCTCTTGTACCAGTGACACCCATATTGCATGTCAAGTTACTATCTAGTGAAAAGTCACATTCTTTGATATAAGTCAAAAACAGATAAAGGCAGAGGATTTGAAGAAAAATGGAACATATCTTTGGTCGTCTGTGGGTTGATCATAAAAGTCTGTTTGGCTATGCAATAGAAAAGAAAGGATATATAGGGTATCCATCCATGACGCAAAAACACTAAAAGCAAAGGAACATCGCTTTTATTGCTGTTCCCTTGATCCTCTAATTTCCTGTAAATTTATTTTGAAGGAGTATCCACATCCTGCTGGGCTTTACATAAACCTGAAGATTCTTCTGGAGAACGGAGATTCGGATGAGATTGTCAACAGAGGTACATATGTGTAATAACTGGTCTGACAGGTCTTTCTATATCTATGCTGCCACCGCCTTTGTTTACAGTTACACAGGAGACCTCACAAAATTAGAGATAACTAGTCTTAATTAGACAAAGAATGGTTTAAATTTGTTATTTATTAGTTAATTATTATCTCATGAGTTTACTCTTAACTTTGTCAAAAGGGTCAAAATACCTATGAAATGTTAAACTTCTTTATCAAAATAAGTGATTAATCCAAAAAGGAGGGACCTTCTTTATCAAAATAAGTGATTAATCCAAAAAGGAGGGACCTTCTTTATCAAAATAAGTGATTAATCCAAAAAGGAGGGACGAAAAGGGTTAGGAATATTCAAATATGTTCTAGTCTCTGGAAATGAAAGCACTTCTTTCGTGTAGTTTATAGAACAGATTGACTCTGTTCTCAAGAGGATGAACCTTTAAGTTGAAAACATAGATGTCAGAAAAGCTACATGTTAACTATTAATTTTAAGATAAGGAGATGTGGTTTAATTCGCAGTGAGACAACTTTTCAATAATGACCAAAGGATAAGGATGCAAGCACAACCCATACCACATAAAGTAAGCAATATTCCTGTTTGTAAGCTACATTTTCTCTTTGTAATGAATTAATATTGCAATGGTTAATTGGATAATTCTGACTCTTGATATAAATGTAAACTGTGTACATGCCATTTTGAATTTATACCTGAATCTTTTGTTATATTATAACCAGCTGTAGAAGAAATAGTCAAACAGACAGATACCACGATAGATAGTGTTACATCATTGATTCAGCTTTTATCAGATTACAAAAGGTATGGCAGGATGTTGGGTTATTATTTATTTATGGCTGTGTCACTAGCTGTAGGTAGAAGCAATTGTACATTTTCATCTGGTCCCCATGGTGAAAGTTTTTTCTTAATCTTGTTGCCCAACAAAAAGTAGTTAATGGACTTCAGAGAAAACATACAACTAAAAATCAGTCTTAACACAATATAAAAGTTCAGCATACAGTGTTCAAAATTAATCAAGTGTCTTTACTATTTGTAAAAGTCCTCTGTTGAGAAACCCTGAATAAACATGTGGAGAGTTAATCAATGATTACATAACTGAACAGCAAACAATTTTTGGGATCTTACAAACACTGTTGTTCTTTGTCTTACAGTACATGTAAGTGTATTTGAATTAATTGATATTTGAATTATTTTTTTCCAAATTCTATATGACATACAGTTATTGATTGTGGGTTTTTTTTTGTGTTGCAAGTTGACATAATTTTCAATGAACACTTCAAACTGATTTTTAAACGGGTTTATACAATAAATTGCTAAAACTTTATTTGGTTTTATTATTGACAGGGCTGCTGTTTACCAGTCACTTATACAAGATCAAATTTTGAGATTTGGCAATAGTCCTGATGTAAGCAAGTTAAAAGGAATCCAGTTGGAACTATTCTTACAGACAAATAACAAAGAAGGAGCGAAACATTTTGTAGAAAACTGCATAACTGGTATACATCAGTGTTTTAAGATTTAAAGCATCATTAGCTGTCAAATTCATGTCAATTACTCTCTAATTATGCCCCCGCCGCTAGGTGAAGGGGGCATTAAGTGTTACCTTTGTCCATCCGTCTGTCCGTCCTTACGTACCTACCCAAAATTGGTTTCTATTCTCTAACTTATGTTTGCCTCAACCAAATGTTATGAAACTTATACACAATGCTTATTACCATAAAACACAGATCAAGTTCAAATTTAGGTGGCGTCACTTTTACAGTTCTCTAGTTATTCCCTTTTATAATGTTATATGCAAGCGGGGGCATCATCTGTGTCCCATGGAGTCATTCTCCATTTATTTGATTTATAACATACTTAAACATAGATCAGAATTAAAATGTTCAAAATGAAAAAAATAAATGCATGGAATCTTTATAAAGTATTAACATTTTGGGACTGGAAACCATGTAATTAACCATTCACATGACCTAAGATTGCTATGTGACTATTAGATAATATAAATAGCATGTGTGGTTGTATGAAGATAATTTTCCTAGTTGTGTTTAATATCACATTATAGATTACATAAATCTTTTCCTGTTCCTTAAAGTTTACATAAAGAAAGAAACCTTTACAACTTATTTGTCAAGCAGTATCATATTTGAGCATATATATTCAATATAAAAAAAAGCTATTTCTGTATACACAACCAACAGCTTAGTGCTGATTGTCAAATCAAAAATCTTGTCAGTTTTCCAATCTTTGGCATTAGATTTTAAGAATTGATTCTTTAAAAATAGCTTTGTTGCTTCATGCAAATGTGCATTTGCTTTCATTTCAAAAAGATATTTAAAAAAAATTGTATTTAATTCTATAATGCAGAATGATGTGGTGCTTATATTTGAAAGAATCAATTTTCTTTTGAACCATCAAAAATGATAGGAATATCTGTTTAATTTATAATGATGAACACTAATTATTTTGGGACAAAAAATTCTCATTTCAATGGCCACCTTCCACCCCCTTAGAACTATCAAGCTCTTGGAAATCTTACGCTTTTTATTCTTGATCAGTGGAATAATGAATGGCCTATAGAAGAGCATACAATAAAAATCAGTTCAGAAAAAGAACCACAAAAATCTTGAATGCCACTACAGTAAATAGTGATACCAAAAGATTCGAGAGTGCATTTCAATGTTTTGTGAAGATCAGGTATTTGGTTAAACGAAGGTATAATGGCATACATGTGATTGATAGATTGATTGTTGGTTGCTTAACGTCCAGTGGCAAATATTTCATGCATATTCAGGACGAGAACAAATTAACAATAAATACAATAGGTAGGTTCTGTAATAGGGGCTTCCGGGATTAAGGTCGGAGAAATTTAGACTACCATGGGAAAATGAGGGTATATTGGATAGGGACAGAAATTTAGCCTTGCAGCAGGTCACCTACGGACCCCTCAAAGAGTTGTTGCAAGGGTTCTTAACGTGCAAAGAGCATGGCACTCTCTTTACACGAGGCATCAGATTTAATGTCCCCAATCTGACCGGACATGGCTGTAAATTTGTACATCCCGCACAGCCAAACGGACACCCCACTTTAGCAAGAGTTTTACTGCCAGTCGGAGGAAGACCAATGGTGACCATACTTCTATTCCCCAGTCACCCTTCGGGGTCGGCATACATGTGTTTTTATCAAACAAACTTGAGTAGATTTTGAAGTTTGATATTTAAAACATGTTGTTTTTCTCAACTACTAGGGCATAATACAGGAAATCCTCTGGATAAGGAAGTGCTGAAAAGATTTCATATCTTATTATGGGAACAGGCAGCTGAGGCTTTTGAGGTAAAGGAATTGTTCTTGATGGGTAGGTTTTTGTTGAAATTTTATCATACATCTGCTCTGAAGAAGTAAGAGTGCATCTGTTTAACTCTAGTCTATTTAAATTTTCTGTGATGGGTTTTTTTTGTTTACTGTGCATAAAGTCTAAGTAAGACATGTAATCTGCCAAAAATAAACTGCAAAATTAAAATAGTTCAAACAGAGAGATTGCAAATGGGTATTAAGTATTTAGAAACTATTTAGTATTATTTTGGCTAATAACACAGTTTATTGTCATGTTTTATTTAAACAATTATTTATGAAATTCAAAATATAAAAACCAAATTTTATTTGAAAACAGTCTTTCTTTTCAGCTGAATGTAATGGAACAAAATGTTTTTTGATGCAGATTAATTTTCATTTTTTATTTCTTTTAAAGGAAAAAGACTTCAAATCTGCTTTGGAGTGGTATAATTATTCTTTAAGTCTGTATGATACTTCACAAATTGGTGACAAAAACCTTGCCAAGCTACACAGAAATAGAGCAAATTGTTACATATATCTTGAACTCAATGAGAAGGTTAGTAAAGAAAAAAAATCTTCAACATGTGTAAGATATGATTGGTTTGAATAAATATGTCCCTTTCCATGATTTTATATTATTTTTGAATTCATTTTAATGTTGAATTGTTGACAAAAAGAATCAAACAATTCACCCTTTCAGAATCTAAAGAATTATGGGTAGTTTCATTGTTCATATCCCATAATGACAATAACATAGATCATTGGTTGAATTTCCATTGTTTTGGAAGTTGTTAGTCAATCACAACGTTTTGATGTACGCTTAGATTCAGTAATGGGGTCTGTGTGTCTGTCCGTCCAGTCTTTTAAGAGCTCTCATGTGTTCAATTCTTACCAGATCTTTATGTAATTTATATTATAGTTTTATATCAGCAATGTCTCAGTTAAGGTCAAAAATCAGTCCCAATCAACTTATCTTTTAAAGGAGTTATGCCCCTTGTAAGTATAAGTTATATGGAAAATTGTAATTTCAAGCCTACATTTCTTGTAGGAATGTTTTGAAACTTATATTAAAAGTTTATATCAGCTATAACCCAGACGAGTTCGAAAATCAGGGCTGGTCAATTATTTAACAGGGGTTTTGTCCCTTTGAAATACAATTTATATTATACCTTACATATATGATAAACAGTTCTATTGGGTAGCAACCAAGATCCCTAAAACTTCACAGAAAGATTGCACTCATTTTGCAGTTGTCCACCTTTTTTTATGGAATTGTATGAGGATTTCTTTTCCAATTTTTCCAGACTTTGGATTTTGTCATTTTTGAGGAAAATTGCAAAAAACATTGCCAATTTTGTGTAATCAACTTATATAGTTTTCAGCCTAGATCCTTGAAACTTGAGAAAAATATTTTAAACATATTGAAGTTAAACATCTGCTTTTTAGCTCACCTGGCCCATAGGTCCAATGATAGTGTGAGTTGGGCATCCGTGTACTATGGACACATTCTTGTTAACTGGTTATTTCTCATCTATAGAATGAAGCCCCTTGATTTAGAAAATTTGCTCCTCTGCTGATAAACCCATATTTAATCTAAATTGCCTTGATAAGACCTTTTTTTTGAAGGGCTGTGGTTCTTTTAAGGCACTTCTGCTTTCTCCACCAATAAAAACTGGCTGTACAGTATAGCCTATAATACTGAAAGTGGTGTTAAATACAAACAGTCAATCAATCAATCAATCAGTACTAAAATGTGGATGTTTGGCATTTTTTTTTACTGAAGTGACTTCTACAGATGAATAGGAGACATAAGGCAACTAAACAGTTCTACCTAGTTGATATATAATCTAGTGATGTTCTAATGATTATCTGTTATGTTAGGTAATCTAACTAGATAATCTATTTTTAAATTTCATAATTGATTATAATCAGTTATAAATGAATATTTTCAATGTGACAAAGTCTTGGAGAAAATTTTAATTATATGCATTATTCATGTAGAATTGTGGAATAGCTGCAAATATTCTTATATAAAATATGGAGATTTGGTACGATTGCCTAAAAACAACTTCACCTTTTTTATATAGCACAATAAAATTAAGAATGTGATATTAATTTTTTTATAAGGTTTATACAGGTACAGCCAAATTTATGAAAGTAAAGGTTTTAAGTTTAATTTGTGGTAACAAAATCCCTGACTTACTAAATTTCCAGTTATGAATAGATTATGTTCATTGAAATCTAAAATGTCACTAAAACATTAAGCAAGATGTTTTGTCGCATATTCAGTTAAAACTATTGATTTTCATTATATCCCTGCACCAAAGGAGGGGGGTATGCTGTTTTGCCCCTGTTCTGCCAGCCGTCTGTATGTGTGCCTGAAAACAAATGGTTTCAGGATACCTCGCTTGATTGGAAAAAAAACTTATACAGATGAAAGATACAGGGGAGGGTAAGGAGCCAATAGGTCAAATACATAGGTCACTTACTAAAAAAAGAAAGATTTTGGAAAATTGTTTCCATGATGACAGTTTGAGTTTTCCTTGCTTGATTGGAATGAAACCTATACAGATTGAAGATATAGGGAAGGAGAAGAAGTCTATTTGTATTTGGGGTCAATTGGTTAAAAGTCAAGGTCACTGTTACTAAGAATAGACAATTTTTTGAAAAATGGTTTCCAGATGGTAGCTTTATTTTCCATTGCATGGTTGGAATGAAACTTATACAGATGGAAAATTTAGGGTAGGAGAAGTCTTGATTTTAAGGTCAACAGGTCAGAGTTCAAGGTCACTGTTACTAAGAATAGAAATAGTTTTAAGTCTGTTTTGGGATCGCATCCAACTATTAATTGTAACATATTTATAACAAGTGAAAATCTAGTAAAAGTACTTATTAATTCATCCCTCCAAGCATACTATTATTTTGAACAATTGAAATTAAAATGTTTTCGCTCAGTAAATGTGCAGTTTTGGGAGCATCAGTTGGCAGTACCAGATTTTTATTACTTGGAATGGAATAGTTTTATATTTATATACAGGCATCAGATGCATTGAGTGAAGCAGAGAAACATGACCCTGGATCAATCCACACACAGTTTAGTTTATACAAGTTGGCCTTAGCAGATTGTGATGTAGAAAATGGTATGTATAAGTATAAGATTTTATCAGTGTTTTTTCTAATTAAGTAGCAGGCTGATTTTAAAAAGTGAAGTCTTCAAAAACCACAATTAAAATTGTTTGAATGTATAAAAAATAGTGATTTACATAAAATAAGGAGATATGGTATGATTACAATGAGACAACTATTCACTAGATTCCAATAGTAATGGATTTAGTGACTATAAGTGTGGTTTTAGATTCTTGATTTGTATACTGTAGCTGTGTTCTGAAAAAAAATATTGCGGGATGCTCATATTACAATATGTTTTTTACAAAGAATTTTCAATTTAGAAATATTCTCTCTAAAATTCTTTTTTTGATATGGTTTATTTTCAGAAAGAATAGAACTAAGGCACCATTTTTTTCAAATGTGAAAATAATCAGAGACATTTCAAAGGTATATGTTAAATCCTGTCTAATAAATGCATGTCTTTTTAAGCAAGACAAGCTTTACACAAGATGTGTGAATTAGCAGTACAGGACAGTACAGAAGATACAGATGTACACAGTCTTATCTGTCTAGCAGCACATATGGCTTTTGAGGTAGGAGATTGTTCAAAACATCATATTGAAGAGTTAGATTGAGGACACTCAGCATGACTGTTACTTTATCCTTCATATTTGTGTCAGTTCTAAGCCTAAATACTGGATTTTGAGTTTCGCATCTGGAGAATATTTAATTTTCATATATTACCATTAGAAATTTAGTAAATTTCATTTCAGTGAGAGAATTTGAATTGTACACCTGAAAACTTTTTTTTTGTTCAATCATTAATGAAAGTGAATAGTGAAATAATATTTGCTTTTAGCAGCCAGTTTGGTTCAATTTTGTCAAAATAAGCTTAGAAACATCGCTGATGAATTATTCACTTACAAGTGAATAATTTGACCTAATTGAATCCATATTCATGTGACCTTCAATTTAACCCTTTAGCTAGAAGTGGGTTACGCATAAACTAGGCCTGTTTAGCTATTAAAAGGAAAAGAATGTAAACATTGAAAGTGAAACCATTAGGTTCACTGATTCGATCCACAAAAATCATTCATATACAGGTAGAAACGATTATTAACATATTTTTTTAACCTATAATATGAAATCAAACAGACCAAGAAAAATCCAAGTGCAAGTGTTCGCTATCTATTTATATCTATAATTATGTTTATATCAGGTTATATGACCGTCTGCAGTCTTCGGAGGTCACATGAATGGTTAATTAGATGGGGTCTAGACTGACAATACACACGAAATGCTGATACATATTATAGACTCCATGTATTGTAAATTGTTCATTTTAGACTTTATAACTTGGATATACGTTTCATATATGTTATATATCAAATATGAGAAATTGAGTCAAATCGGTGAACATGAATTTGACAGCTAATGTCCTAATGCCCCTTTAAGAAAATGCAGAATTATATTAATTTGATTGAGGGGTAAATTGATGTAGCAAAAATATTAAACAGTACAGTATAATGACTTTTCTAAGTATGGAAATGTATTGTTTATGTATATTGATCAAACTAAATGGAATATCTGCAATAAAATCATTGACATGTTTATATGTAAACTGAACAGTAAAAAACTATCTCTAGAAGTAAGAACCATAGTTTTAGTCATATTACATCAATTAACTGGTGGTATCTATAAAATAGATTTAACAGGGAAACCGAAAACCGTTCCACAAATTCTTGTATGAAAAAGGTACAGTGGAATCCCCTGTGTCTGCGCGGCCGGTGATATTGCGCATTACCTGATTTCATCGTATCCGCAATGTAACACAATTAGAATCGTTCTTGTAATTTCTTTAGTTTTCTGAAGGGACAAAAAAGATTCAAGTTCAAGCATAAATTTATAATTGCAATTCCATGATTTGCCATATTTAACCATTTTCCATAAAAAAATCTACCTCATCAGATAAAATTGGTTTCATTTTAAGTCAAATTTTTATCAAAATGCAATAAATTTTGCTCTGAAGCCTTGGCAGGCTGTTTGGTTCAAACTGAACTATATTTCTTAATATTATTAATTCGTATATTTTATCAAATTTGATTCGTTTAGGGATGGTCACATGTTAAACTATATTTTCGAAGGTAGAGAGAAAACGGCGGATAGAAAAAAGCATATTGCACAGCAAAAAGCATATTGCACGGTTATTTTTAGAATATCTAAAAACCGATATACTTTGTGACGTCATGTAATGAATTTCAGGATATTGTTCAACGTTTTGAAACAAATGACATCTGTGATCGATTATTTGACAAATTTTTTTTCAAATACATAAGATGTCAAACAAACAAAAAAAAAAGTAAATGAAATAACAACTAATATGTTGTTATTGTCAAGGAGACAATATAAATTCCAACAAAATCAAATGTCGATTTTGATACAAATATGGTCGAAAATTAATAATATAACAAATATAGCCTTTGTATGAGGTCAATACAGGATATATCGACCCAAAGAAGTATATCGACCTCGGACTTCGTCCTCAGTCAATATACTTCTTTCAGGTCAATATATCCTTGTATCGACCTCATACAAAGGCTATATTTGTATAGTATAAATATCTTTCCTGTATTCAAAATTAGCTATTTTTAAAAGGTATGTCCGAAATCACTGGACATTCCTAGAACTGTCAAAACAGGGGTTCTCCTAATTTTGGACACACATTACATAAAATCTTAAGGGTGAAACCATAGAGAATATTTTATGAAATTAAAGTATGTCACAAATTTGTTCACACAAAATTATCAGATTATTGGTTTTATGAGATTACCAAAGTGAAGCAGCAAGCCAAAAGTTTTAGGTGCGCCGATACACCGGACTGCACCATAGAAGTATTTTATGCATGGATAATTGTTAGTTTGAAATCTTACCATAAATTTATGAAATATAAATAGTCACTTAAAAAAATTACTCATGATGTAAAAAAACCTTGATATGCATTTTTATTATCTGGAATAGACTTGGTTTGTTAGAACAGTTTCCATGATTTTATCTTTGCAGCAACATCACCAATCAACTGCATCTGAAGCATTAGAATGTTTGGCTAACACAAGTCCGGATCATTTACAAGTTTTAACAGCCCTGAGGTGTCTGATTAGGCTTAAACTGGCAGAAACAGAAGTAAATTGGTAATTGAAATAGATCAATAGAAAAGGACAGTCTTATAGATTTTATTTTTTACACATAAAAACAAATGTGTAATAGCATTTTACTGCAAATTATAATACCTAGGAGATTTTTAAAGTGACTGACATCAGCAATTGTAAGGGCAAAGATCAATACAAGGTTAGATAGCCATGGATTTTTCTAGCATTCCACAGGGTCCGGTTTTCGGACCCATTCCCAATGGCAATTACCCTACATTTTTCCCAATTTTGGGAGCAAAATTCCCAAACGATCTCAAAATTTATTTTCATCTTTATTATACATGACAGCGATGTTCATTTTGTTTAACCGCTAGCTTTATACCGAAAAATCGCCAACAAGTAATGTGTAAATCCGAGTAAAATCGTATCTGACAGACAAAAACAACATTGAAAAACAATGGATGCCATAAACCGAAAATGAAGACAATTACAATACCGGATCAGATTCCAGGGGCGGATAAGGGTAATTTCGGGTTTGCCGATCAAATACAATAAAAAAATAATAATTCCAGGCAGGTGACAAAATACATCTATGATGATGAAATATAAACTCTAGAATTGAAAACCAAAAGATATATGGAAAAGAAAGAAAAAGCAGGAAATATTTTATACAGAAACTCAAAATTACTTTTAGTTTACAAATTTTGATGTCAAAATCCAATAAAATGTGACAGTAATTTTTTTTATCATTAATAGATGTTGATATTACATGTAGATGTTTTTATAGCTAGTGTAAACATATTACTACAATTCCAAGAGGTAATTTCTTCTCAATTTTGAAGGGCCAGTAAAAATCTGGAAGTTTCTTACTTTATTTTCACAATAAAAGATAACTTTTAATGAACTAAACACACTAATACTCAAATCTGGTATATTTGCTGTTTTCCCATTTCATTGAAAAGCGCGTGAAGAAATTCCCAAAACTGGCCTGGGTCCTTTTTCCCAAAATAGCCAGAAAAACCCCTGATAGCTATACATGTCCTGATATTCAACAAGATCATTTTTCCTTTATTTGTTTCTGTCACTTATTTTTGTGAGTGTGTTGACCACAAATTCTAAGAAATAAAAAAATTCTGTAGATTTGGATGCAGAACTTGTTAAAACCATGAAATCAAGTATGTACAAAAAGTTGTACCCATGAAATAAATGAATCAACAGTATTAAGTGGATTCGTAATGCAAGTTAAGAAAAGAAAGATATATGATAGAAGTCAATCTAGTACGAACAAGGCACCATTAGAGTACTGACAAACTATTCAACCAAAAGTCAATCTAGTACAGAGAACAAACAAGGCACTATTAGAGTACTGATAAACTATTCAACCAAAAGTCAATCTAGTACACGGAACGAACAAGGCACTATTAGAGTACTGATAAACTATTCAACCAAAAGTCAATCTAGTACACAGAACGAACAAGGCACTTTAAGAGTACTGACAAACTATTCAACCAAAAGTCAATCTAGTACACAGAACGAACAAGGTACAATTAGAGTACTGACAAACTATTCAACCAAAAGTCAATTCTGACAATTATGTTTAAATGGACTATTTAAAGAGGGATGAAAGTTTCCTGTGAAAGCAGCAGCAAATTCCCTTGATTCTAAGGCCACACTTAAACAAATATTTTGGTTTGCCCAAACCCTACCCAAAGGTAGAGACAATGGGTAGGTAGATAGGCCTTTTTTTTCGGCAAAGAGAAATTGAAGTGTCAAAATGTTTTTTAGTCTTCATGCCTATCTGATTAAAAAAAACTTTTTCGCATCAGGACAATAAAAGATTTTGAGTAGGCAGATATTTTCTGGGTAGGTAGGGTTAGGGCAAACAAACATATTCTTTTTTATGGCCCAATAGTTTTTGTTCTATTTTTTTCAGTGTTGATATTGAACACATAACTAATCATATAAGGACAGGTAATAGATTGTATATGCATGGAATTCTTTTTGATTTGTTTACTGGTATATAAGTTGATTGTCTGAAAACTGTTTACTGTTTATGTTGTGAATTAGAGTTTTTTTTTCAATTTTTATTTGTTTATTTGGAAAGGGGCAGTTGAGTATCTTTTCACACTTAAAATTTTAATATCGCAAAACATTTAAGAAATATATAATTGGAATTTGAAAGTTTAGTTAATTGAGAGAAGGCAGAATCTCGAAACTAGTAGTTATACACAGAAGAATGAATATGTGTTGAAGTAACAATCAATAACATTGAAAAGTTATAAACCTCGTTTCAGACTTTTTAGGCTTTCCACTGTGGATAATTTACTGTCTAATTTCTACTGGAACCGATATCTGGTATTAGAAAACCTGTAAGGGTGAAATGTGTGGGACACATATACCACATGCCTCCAAATCATCAATATATTTTTTGTCATTTAATGTTTTAGGTTACAACAAGTTGCTACAGCTGATTAATGAAGGAAAGGATCTAACAGAGCAATTAAACAATGAAGCTAACTGGTTCATGAAGATTTGTAAGTATTTTTATCTACTATTTGAAAAAAAAAACATACAAACAGTTGGAAAATATTTTACCTTAAGTTTAACTTCATAGAAACCAGGTATATCCTGAATTGTACATGTATCACCTTTCTACATGCCAATTTTCAACCCATGTTTAAAGTCTTGTAAGAAAGAACTGCCTTTCGGAAGCCAAGTACTACTAAAAATAACCCCTGGTTTTCTGGAAATCTTATATTAGTATACTATGGAGCGCATTAATCCTCAATTTTTGGAAAGTTTGCTATAGCTTGCTATAGCAATATACTTTCCTAAGGCATCAGCCTCAAACCAGAAGTGGGACAGACTGTCTTACTATAGGATGTGTTCTACTCCTAGATAATGTAGTACTAGTGTTTAAATACTAATTCTAGGAAGATGCTTTTGAAATTTTTAGTTACTTCTATTTTGATTAGCTTATAGCTTGAATTAAAATGTACTGAATGTTCATTGATAATTCAAATGAATTCAACTTCATTTTGAAAATGGCTATCACAAACACTACTTCGCGGATCTGCGCTGCGCGGAAAATAAAATCAATACACATCTACACGAGACAGTAGTTTCTAAGTTATGCTTTTATCGGTATTTCCTAGACATGTGTGAAATCCATATATGTGTGCCTCCCTACGGGAGTACAATAATCCCGGTTTCAGGGGTTTCCTTCCGTCCTCAGATTGAAGAGAAAATAAATACCATGTTTAAAATATTTCATGAATGAACATTTTTCGATGCTATTTTTACTACGATTTTTACAAATGTTTATTAAAGACGTAAAAGCCAGAGTGTATCGAAAGTATCCTGGTATCTCATCTCGGCCCAAAACAGACTCGGACTATAACAAACTCGGCCTATTACATAATCGGCCTCACAAAATCGGACCATAACAAAATTCGTATGTATACTATTTGTTATTAAGTCTCCCAAACAAAGTTTGGAGACTTATTGTTTTTGCTGAGTTCTTATTATTTTCTTCTTATGGTCTATTTAGGGGTATTTTGAGGGACCTACAGAAGGGAGGGATTTATTATAGAACCCTATTGGATTTATTTTTTTAAAATTTTCAAATGACTATAACTTGAAAACAGTAAGTGATAGACACACGCGGTCTTCAATAATGATCACAGGACAATAAAACAAATTAAATAAAATATAGGTTGATTCCCTGGGGATCACCTCACCCCCTTCAGTTTGAGAACTTGTAAACAGTCGAGATCCCCATCCCTAAACCATATATATTCATGTATGGGACAATAATACAAATCAAATGAAATATAATGGGAGTCCTTCTGGGTCACCCCCACCCCCTACTGTTTGAGAACTTGTAAACGGTCGAGATCCCCACCTCGAAACCATATATATTCTTGTATGAGACAATAAAACAAATCAAATGAAATATAGGGAAGTCCCTGGGGGTCACCCCCACACCCTCCTGTTTGAGAACTTGTTAACGGTCAAGATCCCCATCCCTAAACCATATATATTCTTGTATGGGACAATAAAACAAATCAAATGAAATATAGGGGGAGTCCCTGGGAGGGTCACCCCCTTCCTATCCTGTTTGAGAACTTGTAAACAGTTGAGATCCCCATCCCTAAACCATATATATTCTTGTACAGGACAATAAAACAAATCAAATGAAATAAAAGGCGAGTCCCCTTGGGTCATTCATGCCCCCTTGCTGTTTGAAAACTTGTAAACGGTCGAGATCCCCACACCAAAACCATATATATTCTTGTACAGGACAATAAAACAAATCATATGAAATATAAGACGAGTCCCCTGGGGTCACTCCCACCTCCTTCCTGTTTGAGAACTTGTAACGGTCGAGATCCCCACCCCTAAACCATATATATGCTTGTATGGGACAAAAAAAAACCCAAATCAAATGAAATAAAGGGGGAGTCCCCTGAGAATCCTGTTTAGGATAATTATATGTTTTTAATCATAATTATAAAATTATTGTTCTGTGCAAAGTCGGGAATGTTAAATTGTTTATATTTTAAAATGAATAACAGGAGATTTGAAGTATTCATCCATGAGACAACAATCCAACACCTTGAAAAAGCATAATGTAACTTGTTTGTTTATTGCCTTGTTGCACAAACATATGTGTCAATGAAAACTCTTAAAAGTTAATAAATGAGAAATGCTATTCATTTATAATTTTTCATTGTTACCCTTTTATTTTCAGCATGGAACATGGCATTGCAAAGTGAGGAAAAGCCAAATTGTATGAGGGATTTATTTACTCTATGTTGCCAGGTGAGATTTTTATGCCCCCGCTGTAGCGGAGGGGGCATTAAGATTTACCTTTGTCCTTCTGTAAGTACGTACATCCGTCCATATGTACGTCCGGAATTGATTTCCGTTCTTTAACTTTAGTTTGCCTCAACCAAATGTTATGAAACTTGTACATAATGCTTATTACCACAAAACTCTGATCAAGTTCAAAATTTGGGTGTAGTCACTTTTACCATTCTGGAGTTATGCCCCTTTATAACGTTATATGCAAGTGGGGGCACCATCTGTGTCCCATGGACAAATTCTCCATTTATTTTCTGTTATCAGTTCAGGCGAAGAAAATAGTGTACACTATAAATGTCAGATACAAATATTAAGTAAAAAGATACATTAGTTCTCCTCTACATCTTAAATGTTTTATGCCTTATGAAAATTGTCAAGAATTATTAAAGATTTGAAAGAATGGATAAAATGAAATATATGTGTGTAAAATGAAATGCAAGAAATTGTGCTTTACACAAAGGTAGTAAACTATATGAAGATGTGATAAGGGCTTTTCCATTGACACATACATAGTTCCCAGACAAGTAAGTTCGAAAATGGGGTAACCACCCAAAGGGACAGTTTTAGAATTTTACTCACTTTTTATTATACACAAAATATGTGACACCAGCCATAGATGTGATTTTGAAGTGCCTTTCCTGTGTCAAATATATGTTGGAATATAATTTTAATAAGATAACCTTTAGGGAAGATAATTGAAATTTTTATCTTGAATGATAATTGGAATTGAGATGTCATTTTTGTGAGAATACTTGTCAGCACCTAGAGTGTTTTTTCAGCTGTCAGCATTGAGTGGTGAGGACAGAAATCAAATAACCAGACAGAAAACCTGTAGGTTGATGGCTGCTGCTGCAAGTTTACAAGTGGCTAGAAAATGTCTGAATGAACAAGAGCAGGTATTTACATTGTATAGGATAAATTGATGAAAATAGTAGGAATGTTATTTAACTGATCGCTAGTTTAGGGAAAAGGACGGAATTTGTAAAAAAAATCAAGGTGTTGTACTCTATTTCTAAATGGTCTTATTAGGGCCCAGCCGAATGGCGGACGCCCTAAAGTGATCAGTCTGTCTGTCCGTCTGTCCATAACAAACTGTGTCCGCTCTTTATCTAGAGAACCGTTGTGATTTCAAAGTTTATACTTGACATATATATTAACCAACACCAGAGGGTGTGTCATAATGTATGAACAACTTCCTAGGTCAAAGGTCAAGGTCAAAAGTCAAGGTCAAAAACTTTGGTTTTAGTTGACAACCCCATGTCCTATGGTAAAGATCGTGTCCGCTCTATATCTTGAGAACCGTTATGATTTCAAAATTTATACTTGACATGTATATAAACCAACACCAGAGGGTGTCATAATTTATGTACAACTTCCTAGGTCAAAGGTCAAGGTAAAAACTTTGGTTTCAGTTGACAACCCCATGTCCAATGATAAAGATACAAATTTTTTACCACACATTATTCACAGCAGGGCCCACAGAGATGGCTCCCATCTCAATGATATCTAGTTTATATTATTCTGAATTGATTCTCAGTTTCAAAAATTGGTTTATGAAAATTGGAAAAATAAATTTGTGGTATAAAACTTTATTTTTGTTGAAATACCAAGAGTTTCAAATAAGTCAGCATGACAAAAATTATCCCTCGTCTCCTTATGGTAGTTATTGCCCTTGAAGGATGATTTATACCCATTTTTGTGTTTGATGTGGAAACTATAGAAGATAGGAAATACTGTGTAAATAACAGAATTGATCAGTAAAATGAGATCTACAAATAATTGTGCATTAACAAATCATATGTTGACTCCCTAGAGGAGTTATTGTCCTTGAATGGCAACTTTCACCCATTTTTTTGTCGAGCCTTCGACTTTTGTCAAAAAAGCGAGACAGCGAACCTACATTCCATCGTCGTCAGTGGCGTCCACAAATATTCACTCTGTGGTTAAAGTTTTTCAAATTTTGATAACTTTCTTAAACTATCCTGGATTTCTGCCAAACTTGGACAGAAGCTTGTTTATGATCATAAGATTATATTCAAGAGTAAATTTTGTAAAAAAAAAATTTCCATTTTTTCCGTATTTTACTTATAAATGGACTTAGTTTTTCTGCCAGGAAACATTACATTCACTCTGTGGTTAAAGTTTTTGAAATTTTAATAACTTTCTTAAACTATCCTGGATTTCTACCAAACTTCGAAAGAAGCTTGTTTATGATCATAAGATAGTATCCAGAAGTAAATTTTGTAAAAAAAAAAATTACCATTTTTTCCTTATTTTACTTATAAATGGACTTAGTTTTTCTGCCAGTTAACATTACATTCACTCTGTGGTTAAAGTTTTTAAAATTTTAACAACTTTCTTAAACTATCCTGGATTTGTACCACACTTGGACAGAAGCTTGTTTATGATCAAAAGCTAGTATCTAGAAGGAAATTTTGATAAAATTTTGTTCCATTTTTTCCGTATTTTACTTATAAATGGACTTAGTTTTTCTTCCAGTCAACATTACATACATTCTGCAGTTTAAGTTTTTAAAACATTTATTAGATTCATAAATTATCCTGGATTTTTACCAAACTTGGACAGAAGCTACTTACAATCAAAAGATAGTATAGAGAGGAATATTTTTATTAATTTTTTTCCTCATTTTTGTTGAGCCTGCGATTAACAGCAAAAGTAGGCGAGACACTGAGTTCCGTGGAACCCTTACAAATTTTTATGTTTTGAAAAGAAATTCATATTTCTGAAATTCAATATTAAATCTTTGTGTCAACAATTGTACAGCATTCTTTTTACATTCATTTCATATTCTTTTGCTTTGTTTAGGGAAAGATGTTTGAGCTTGTAAGCTAATACATTCCCTTTGACAAAATTTAAAGAAAAATAAAAAACAATGCTTTGAACTTTCAAGTTAAAAGTTAAATGAGGTGCATCAAAGATTGAATGACTGAAATCTATTTCAGAGAAATGCTCTAGAGGATGCCTTATGTCATGTTGAAGAATGTAAAAAACTTTGTAACCAGCTAGAGATGAAAATGTTATCTGCATCAGGTAAGTGCATTCTACTGGTTTGTTAACTACCAATGACTTAAACTCATACTACATCTTCTTATTTTTAAATGTAGAGATGACATTTACAGAAGGAAATAGCCTCATTTCAAAACTGAGAGTACAAATCTTTACAACAGTGAAATTTTTCTTTTCAAGCAAAATGTTGTAGATTTTTTGTATTCAATGCAGGTGGTCATGAGTTTGGTTCTTGACCAGGTCAATTGGAAGACTTTCAAATTGATATTTGCAGCTTTTCTGCTTATGCATAGAATTGATATTAAGTGTTTAAAGGAATAAATTGGTTTTCAGTATCCTGCTAAATTTTTGTATTACTGCTTATTATTTTTTCAGAAAGTAAAACAAAAGACACAACAGAGATTTTACTGTTGCTGTATGAATTTGAAGCTAGGGTGAAATTAAAGGATCAACATGTTGAAGAGATTTTAGAAACGGCACTGAAACTTCCTAATCCAGATCCTAAAACATTTGAAACCATTGCAGGTTTGTAAAGGTGAAATATTGAAAAACTGCTTTTATGGCTGATTTATGAAGGAATTTGTGCGCCTAGACCTCCAACATGGCAACAAAAGGGAATTAATTCTTGTTCAAATTGAGTCACTTGAAACATATCTTCGAATTTTGATTACGATTGAAAAAGATCATATTTCCATATATAACATTGTAAATCAAATAGAATTCCGTACTGTAAAGTGGAGTTTTTCCTGATTTCTTGGACCAAACATATTTTCTAGAATGTTTATTTTGGCATATTTTCTATCATATTCTGGTCTGCCTTGAAGATCATTCTCCACAAGGAGACATTTTACGTGATTTTATCTTCATCACAAAATTGGGGAAAATTAAATGCTTGCAAAAACAGTTCAAACTTCATAATATTTTGATTGAAGACTTGTTTAGTCTATCCTTTAATGTTTCCTTCCATACTTTGTTCAAACTCTGCCATTGGTACATAATCTGATATCATTGTTATTTTTCTACAATAGAATTATATTTTGTAATGTTTGTATTCTCCAGCATTGGCAGTAGAAGAGCCAGCACAAAATAAAAGTATGAGTGTCAGAGCATTGAAAGTAGCCATCAGAAAACATCTACAGATGCCTACTCCAGATTATATCAAATGCAGGTAACTTTAATTAATAACTAGAGTGATTGTGAGCATAACTCACTTATTACTAATAACATATTTACCCACTGGCAAAGATATGGCATAGTCTGTTTTGCCGCTAGGCAAAGAGGGCATTCAGGTTTACCCTTGTCCGTCCATGCATTCCAAAATTGGTTTCTGTTTTCGAACTTAAGTTTGCCTCAACCAAATGTTATGAAAATGGAAAAATTACTGAATTTTCAGTATATATACAAATAATTTAATTTTGGATGTAACGCGTCTTCTGATTGGCTGACGTTGTTTTGTTTATCAGCTCATAGACATAATTTTGTCATTCGAAATAACATAAAAAATGTGGTGCACACTTTAAAATAACACGCTACGCGGGTTATTCAGTGTGCACCACATTTTTGATGTTATTTCTTCATAGACAGAAAAAATATTACAGTCATTCCTTAATTGGAGGCATCTGTGTTCAATGGACATATTCTTCTTTTGTTTTTTGCGATGTCAAACTCGCATAATCTTTCTTAAAAAATAAATTAAAAAAAACCTTTCTGATAGGAAAAGTGAGGGGTACAGTCACAGGTTTAGGAGTAGTTGTGACTCAAAATTCAATAGACAATGGAAGGAATAAAACTCACATCTTTACAGAGGTCCTCAACAGCGATATTTTTCATTCTTTAAAGTTTAAGGACTTGTATTTCAACAATGTTTTAGAATTACTTTTGAATTCTCAATTCATAATCATAGATTAACAACACTTGATTATGACAATTCAGGCTATTTTTGCTTTCTATTATATTTCAGTATTTGACAACCTACTCACCGATTTATAAAGAATAGTATTTTAAATTCATTATAATTTATGTCATTTAGGAATTTAAGGAGTATGTTGGATAGACCAGGATTTCAAATTTAAACTGTGATGACATATTTCAGTAAATTATTCCATAGTTTGATACAGATTGCATTGACTGGTGGAGTAGAACTGAGTGGAAAAGATGAGGCTTGGAATTATTTTGTTGAAGTAATTGAAATTATAGATAAGACAGAACAGGTTAGTTGTGCCATATTGTTCCCAGATTTTACTGAACAAGGAAATGTTACATTGCATGTGGGGTATGGTGTCATAATGATACATATTCCTGTTTTAATTAAGTCTCCGAAACGAAGTTTGGGAAGACTTATTGTTTTTGCTCAGTTCTTATTATTATTATTATTCTTCTTCCTCTTCCTCTTCCTCTTCCGCCGCTTTTAAATTTGAACTTGTCCGCACCCGTTCTCCAAAACCGCTTGTCAGATTAACTTAGGGTTTCACAATATGTTAGACTAACATGTCTAGTGGTGCAATCAGGGTTTTGTTTGTGCAATGGGGTTTATAAAGGGGTACTTTGAGGGGAAAAAAGAAAAGAGGGTTTTACTATAGAACCCTATGGGATTTTATTTTTTTAAATTTTCAAATGATTATAAATTGAAAACCGTTTGTGATAGACACAATCTTTTTAATTGAAAATGTTCTAAATGATAAAACCCATTAAATGAAATACAGGGTTAGTCCCCAGGGGTCATCCCCACCCCCTGCCATTTAAGAAAGTTCTAATACCTTGTAAGTGGTCAAAATCCCCACCCCTAAACCATATATATTCTGGTTTGTCATGCTAAGATGGTTTGAATGATATACAGGGTTAGTCACCAGGGGTCATCCCGACCCCCTGCCATTTGAGAAAGTTCTAATATCTTGAAAATGGTCGATATCCCCACCCCTAAACCATATATATTCTGGTTTGTCATGCTAAGATGGTTTGAATGATATACAGGGTTAGTCCCCAGGGGTCATCCCGACCCCCTGCCATTTGAGAAAGTTCTAATATCTTGTAAATGGTCGAGATCCCCACCCCTAAACCATATATATTCTGGTTTGTCATGATAAAGCACATGAAATGAAATACAGGGTTAGTCCCCAGGGGTCACCCCCACCCCATGCCATTTAAGAAAGTTCTAATATCTTGTAAGTGGTCAAGATCCCCACCCCTAAACCATATATATTCTGGTTTGTCATGCTAAGATGGTTTGAATGATATACAGGGTTAGTCCCCAGGGGTCATCCCGACCCCCTGCCATTTGAGAAAGTTCTAATATCTTGTAAATGGTCGAGATCCCCACCCCTAAACCATATATATTCTGGTTTGTCATGCTAAGATGGTTTGAATGATATACAGGGTTAGTCCCCTGGGGTCATCCTGACCCCCTGCCATTTGAGAAAGTTCTAATATCTTGTAAATGGTCGAGATCCCCACCCCTAAACCATATATATTCTGGTTTGTCATGCTAAGTTGGTTTGAATGATATACAGGGTTAGTCCCCAGGGGTCATCCCCACCCCCTGCCATTTGAGAAAGTTCTAATATCTTGAAAATGGTCGGTATCCCCACCCCTAAACCATATATATTCTGGTTTGTCATGCTAAGATGGTGTGAATTGATATACAGGGTTAGTCCCCAGGGGTCATCCCGACCCCCTGCCATTTGAGAAAGTTCTAATATCTTGTAAATGGTCGAGATCCCCACCCCTAAACCATATATATTCTGGTTTGTCATGATAAAGCACATGAAATGAAATACAGGGTTAGTCCCCAGGGGTCACCCCCACCCCATGCCATTTAAGAAAGTTCTAATATCTTGTAAGTGGTCAAGATCCCCACCCCTAAACCATATATATTCTGGTTTGTCATGCTGATGGTTTGAATGATATACAGGGTTAGTCCCCAGGGGTCATCCCGACCCCCTGCCATTTGAGAAAGTTCTAATATCTTGTAAATGGTCGAGATCCCCACCCCTAAACCATATATATTCTGGTTTGTCATGATAAAGCACATGAAATGAAATACAGGGTTAGTCCCCAGGGGTCACCCCCACCCCATGCCATTTAAGAAAGTTCTAATATCTTGTAAGTGGTCAAGATCCCCACCCCTAAACCATATATATTCTGGTTTGTCATGCTGATGGTTTGAATGATATACAGGGTTAGTCCCCAGGGGTCATCCCGACCCCCTGCCATTTGAGAAAGTTCTAATATCTTGTAAATGGTCGAGATCCCCACCCCTAAACCATATATATTCTGGTTTGTCATGCTAAGATGGTTTGAATGATATACAGGGTTAGTCCCCTGGGGTCATCCTGACCCCCTGCCATTTGAGAAAGTTCTAATATCTTGTAAATGGTCGAGATCCCCACCCCTAAACCATATATATTCTGGTTTGTCATGATAAAGCACATGAAATGAAATACAGGGTTAGTCCCCAGGGGTCACCCCCACCCCATGCCATTTAAGAAAGTTCTAATATCTTGTAAGTGGTCAAGATCCCCACCCCTAAACCATATATATTCTGGTTTGTCATGCTAAGATGGTTTGAATGATATACAGGGTTAGTCCCCAGGGGTCTTCCCGACCCCCTGCTATTTGAGAAAGTTCTAATATCTTGTAAATGGTCGAGATCCCCACCCCTAAACCATATATATTCTGGTTTGTCATGCTAAGATGGTTTGAATGATATACAGGGTTAGTCCCCAGGGGTCATCCCGACCCCCTGCCATTTGAGAAAGTTCTAATATCTTGTAAATGGTCGAGATCCCCACCCCTAAACCATATATATTCTGGTTTGTCATGCTAAGATGGTTTGAATGATATACAGGGTTAGTCCCCAGGGGTCATCCCGACCCCTGCCATTTGAGAAAGTTCTAATATCTTGTAAATGGTCGAGATCCCCACCCCTAAACCATATATATTCTGGTTTGTCATGATAAAGCACATCAAATGAAATACAGGGTTAGTCCTCAGGGGTCACCCCCACCCCCTGCCATTTAAGAAAGTTCTAATGTAAGGGGTTAAGATCCCCACCCTAAACCATATATATTCTGGTTTGTCATGCTATGATGGTTTGAATGATATACAGGGTTAGTCCCCAGGGGTCATCCCGACCCCCTGCCATTTGAGAAAGTTCTAATATCTTGTAAATGGTCGAGATCCCCACCCCTAAACCATATATATTCTGGTTTGTCATGATAAAGCACATGAAATGAAATACAGGGTTAGTCCCCAGGGGTCACCCCCACCCCCTGCCATTTAAGAAAGTTCTAATATCTTGTAAGTGGTCAAGATCCCCACCCCTAAACCATATATATTCTGGTTTGTCATGCGAAGATGGTTTGAATGATATAATGGGTTAGTCCCCAGGGGTCACCCCCAGCCCTTCTATTTAAGAAAATTCTAATATCTTGTAAGTGGTCAAGATCCCCACCCCTAAACCATATATATTCTGGTTTGTCATACCAAGATGGTTTGAATGATATACAGGGTTAGTCCCCAGGGGTCACCCCCACCCCCTGCTATTTAAGAAAGTTCTAATATCTTGTAAGTGGTCAAGATCCCCACCCCTAAACCATATATATTCTGGTTTGTCATACCAAGATAGTTTGAATGATATACAGGGTTAGTCCCCAGGGGTCATCCTGACCTCCTGCCATTTGAGAAAGTTCTAATATCTTGTAAATGGTCGAGATACCCACCCCTAAACCATATATATTCCTGTTCATCATGTCTCGAACATTTGAATGACGTATACGGTCAGTCCCCATTGGGTTCCCCCCACCCCCAATGTTCTAATATCTTGTAAATGGTCGAGATCCCCGCCCCTAGACCATATATATTCCTGTTCGTCGTTTCTCGAACATTTGAATGATGTATAGGGTCAGTCCCCAGGGGTTCCCCCCACCCCCAATGTTCTAGTATCTTGTAAATGGTCGAGATCCCCACCCCTAAACCATATATATTCTGGGTTGTCATGCCAAGATGATTTGAATGATATACAGGGTTAGTCCCCAGGCATCACTAATGCATTAACTTTACTGGACCAAACCAATTTTCACTGGACTTTGTCCAATGTCAGGCGACACTGGGAATTACGAATTATGGGAGCTTCGTTTGGGAGACTTCGTAACAGCATCCTGTTACAATCATTTCTTGTTTGTGATGCTCTTTAACAATGCAAGTGCCAAATGCATTAGCCCTCACCAAAACTGGTTTCCTAAAAACAAACCAACTGCTATTAAAAAAAATTATCCCACCAATTTTATTACTGTTTGAAATGTCCCATTACGATTCTTAGCAGTAGAATGGTAATTATACCAGACGGAAAAAAGTTCATAATGTTTTGACCCGTCTGTCCTTCAGTCCTGCTTTGTCATCACAACATCTCTGAAACCACACAACAGAATTTCATGAAACTTTGCATTCTATTTAGATGTGCATATAGACAGGGAAATTATGATTCTAATTTTTATGTCCCTGCTGTAGGCGATGGGGGTATTAAGTATTACCCTTGACCGTTCCATCTGTCCGTCCCATTTTCATTAGTTTGTTAGTAAGGACATAATATGTAGATGTGCATATCCACAAGAATTTTTTATCAGTTGACTTTAATAGGAGTAATGAGTCTTTGAACTGAGGAATCTGGTGAGATATTGTCAGTACAGTGACAATATGGGGGTGTGGGTATGTGAGGGTGCTCACAAAGATTCTTTAATTTTTTTTAAGGAATATCATGCTTCACTGTTACAATGAAAGTTAGAAAATGTGGCATTAGCGAAAAATAAAAACAACTCTCTCTCAAAAAAAAAAACTTGTTTAACTTGATATGTTATCACTATTTTCCTTTCATTACAGAATATCATGGATATCACAAGAGAAAATGTTTGATGCCATAGTGTAAAAATATTAGTTGAATGACATCACCAAGGTCACAAGATCTCACAGAATCTTAATTAACAAGAATGTGTTTTTTATTCTACTCAACATATTTGATGTCAAAAATATTCCATTTAAAATATTTTTTATCTAAATTAAACCTTGATTTGATATGTCTTTGTAGGGTCAGTTTCCAGAAATAGAAATATTATGGCTGATGACCAAAGCTTGGAACTGTGGAATCAACTTTTATAGGTATCTTGTGCTTTTAGGAGGAACAAATGGATAGAACTTTTCACATTATTTTATTGAATCTGAGGCAGATTACCTTTTCTGTTCTATTGCCAAATACAAAATAATTCTAAATCTGGGACAGTGTATTTCAAAACAATTCTACCTTGTGGAAATTAGAGTGAGAAAATGGTTAATGTACTTAAACAGAATGGGTACAGGACATTATATGGGTATTCATAATTTAGCATACTAATGTTACCGCCAATATAATTGTTTGTTTATGTAATACTCAGTTTTTGTCTCGCCTGCGACTTACAATAGACAACAATATTTTCTATAAAGTTACATTACTGTCTATACATCCATTTTCAGGCCCTGCCCACTAGATCATGGTCCAGCAACTGAATTAATAAGCAATTTGCTGTCCATCAGATTGTCTTTTTCATAATAATTTTATGCTGACAGTCAAGACATATCTCTTGAACAACAGTTTATTTTAACTGGATCATTAACCAATCCATTGAACGAGTTGAAATGCACGAATGACTACTTCATGTTCACAATTTATAGAAAACACATTTTTATTCACTGACATAGAACACAATTTTTAAAAGATTGCTGGAAAAAAAATTATAGATTTCACCACTGCAACAAGTGTGTTACGATATTTCTCCACTCGAGACAGTTAAATTTTAATATTTAAAGCGCGAGGCTTGCCAAGCTTTTTAAATACTTTAAATTTAACTGTTGAGAGTGGAGAAATATCGTAATACACGAGTTATAGTGGTGGAATCTGTTTCTCTAATGATTCTTATCCTTCCTTTTCAAAGATTTGCGGAAAGTTGTGTTCTTTATATGTGACGTCATCAGGCATGGTCGCCTTTTTTCATGACGTCACAATAGGAAACTTCAGAAGAAACCAAGAAAATTTGTCGTCATAATTAAATCTCGACCAATCATTTGCCGAGAACAAATTTTTCACTAGTGAGGAGAAATATTTTTCTCGCACTGGTCAAGAAATGTGAAAATAACACAAAAATTAGAGAAGATTGCTTCTTACTTTTTCCTCTTATGTAGAGACATTTACAGACCATTATATAAAGTATTAGTTCTTCGGTGAACAAATAGTTGTTTCTGTCCTTAGAAAAAAGTGTTTGAAATACTGGAACCATTGCCACTATAAGTAATATGGATAAATAAACAGATTTCAGACATTTGTTCATAAAACAGAAACCAAATGACACAAAAGCCCAAAAGATAATAAGTTGCACTTGCATTCAGATTTCAAAAATGGGAGACTCCTCAACTTTTCAAATCTTTATCTCTTTTATATTGGGAAAGCAATCTCTGTGTCAAATATGAAAAAAAATGCACTCACAAATTTTGTTTCTTTGTTGCATAGAATTCATTTTATGATATTTAACCTACTTCTGTCATTTCAAAGGTCAACTTAAGTGGATAGAAAATGGTGCATGCCCTCAACCAGATATTATCAGAAAATTCTTTCTACATGCAAATTGAACATTACACTATCATTGTTTTATTGCAAAATAAGTATTGTCTCTGTAATTGTGTAATTAGTTTATGACATATGATATAAAAATAAGATGTGGTATGATTGCTAATGAGACAACTCTCCACCAGAGACAAAATGACATGGAAGGTAACAAATATGGCATGTTTACATTTTGGAAATTTATTATGCAAATATTTTCTGACTTTAGAAATCTAGTGGAGTAGACCTGCTAAAGGCAATGAAATGACATCCTTTTCTTAGATTTTTGATTTTTTTCAGCTCTGGTAGATATGAAGATGCTGAGAAATGGTGTGCTACTAGTATGAAACTTTTCCAGTATCTTGGGTCAATGAAAAGTAATTATGAAGATCATGTAAGTGACAGTATTTAAAATTATATTGATAGCTGCTATGGTAAGACCATTCTACTGTGTTGTAAGTTGGTTCCTTACCCCCTGAAATAAATTGTTAGATATCTTGACAATGTTAAGATTCCTATCACTGAACCATATACTATATTCTTAATTTTGATAACCATGCTTGAATATTAAATGCATGAAAAAACTGTTTATATGATAAATTTGTTGTATTTCCTATGATAATAAGAGAAGACATATGGTTAGGTTAAAGATGACCATACTACTGTATGTGAAATAATTATTTTATATAAGAAAACCTATATTGTTATTATTTTAATACAATGCTTTTACCATTTGAATATAAAAGATTGATAGATTGGTGATTACTTAATGTCCAGTGGCACATTTTCATGCATATACAGGGAAAACAATGTTAAATTCCAGTGGATTCATTGTGAACTTTTATTTAAAATTGGCATTTTTATTCCCATGAACAATTTAGAAAGTAACACGTCTTAGTCACAATTGAGAAAGTTTTACATTTCAATTAATTTTAATAAATTCACAGTAATAATTTTGTTTCTTATTTTTAGATGAATAGCACATACTCAGAGATCCTGGCCAAGATTGAAAATTCAAAACCGAAAAAAGAGTTTAAAGGACAAGAGGAATAATGTATTTTACTGTATACTTGTAAAATACTGAGACAAACCATGAACATAATCTTAACATTATGATAAATTGTTTTGTTGTTTATTTCATTTATTTTAAAAGAAATAAATTATGGACTTAAAATTGTTTTATTCATATATATAAAGAATATTTATGGGATCCCATGTGTTCAATTCTTTGTATCACAGAAGGGGCATTATGTTTTTGTCCCCTGCACAATGCGTTGCAGGGGACATAGAAGTTCTAGGTGTCAGCCAGATTTTTTTAAAACTTATATCATGGGTTTATATCAGCAATCTCTCTGTTAAGTTCAGAAATCAGTGCCGATCAGTAATTTTCAAAAGAGTTATGCCCTTGGAAATATTATTTATATGGAAAATTGTATCGTTAGTGCTCACATGTTAACAATTCTTGACAGATTTTTATGAAACTTATATCATAGGTTTATATCGGCAATCTCTAAAACAAGTTCAAAAATCAGTCCTGATCAATAATTTCAACACAGTAATGCCCCTTGGAAATATTATTTATATGGTAAATTGCATTGTTTGCACTTTCTTGTTTACAATTTTTGCCAGATTAATATGAAACTTATATCATTGGTCATAAGCCTTCAAAACTTTTTAGTTATTGCCCTTGGACAGATAGACATTGGAACTTGGTTCTTTTATTCCAGTCTGCTTGTGTCTGTCTTTCCCATATATCAGGTTATATCAGCAATGTCTCGGACAAGGTCTAAAATCAGTGCTGATTAATTATTTTTAAAAGAGCTATGCTCCTTGGAAATATTGACTACATGGAAAAAATTGCATTGTAAGCGCTCTCACATTTACACATTTTGCTATATTTTTATCAAATTTATATCGGGTTTATATCAGCATTCTCTCAGACAAGTTTGAAAATCAGTGCCGATCATTAGATTTGATCATCAAATATTTTAAAAGAATGCTGTCCCTTGGAAATATTAATTGAATGGAAAATTGCAAGAGTTATACCCCTTGGAAATATCAATTGTATGGAAAATTGCATTGCATTTGCTCTTAAGCCTTCAAAAGTTTTTAGTTGTTGCCCTTGGACAGATAGACATTGGAACTCGATTCTTTTATTCCAGTCTGCTTGTGTCTGTCTTTCCCATATCAGGTTAAAGTTTTGGTTTAAGGTTCATGTGGACCTTTTGGCTAAAATGGCTGTGCTTACACCTCAAAATTTACTCTTTGAGTACAGATAAATCTGGAATCATTAAATAGCATGACGTAGATAAATAAAATTCAAATGCATTTTATGTTTTAAAAGATTAAAAACTTAACTAGATTTTCCTTGTGCACTTTTTTTCGTTCCTATAAAAGATGATATGAGTTTCACTTGATATGGTCCACTCAGTGACATAGTTTAAATCACCTATTGTTGTCAGATACTTATTGTCCATGTCAACCACTTCACTTCAATTAATACCTATAGGGAAGTTCTCAAACCTCTTTCCCAACTTTTTTTTTTTGGCACCTTCTGTAGGAACGAAAAAAAGTGCACAGCAAAATCCAGTTAAGATTTTTATTTTCTAAAACATCAAATGCATTTGAATTTCATTTATCTAGGTCCTGCTTTGCCTTAAAACTATGAATTTAACTGTAAAGATATATGCCAAATTAGGGTTCTGACCCAGAGTTCATGGTTCATTGAACATGGAAAATATGTAAGTGCCAGTGGGACATGGTTTGAACCCTGGACACACATTCTTGTTGTTATCTTCTTAATTGTAAGTTGTATATATATTTTATTTTTATACCCCTGCTTTAAAAAAGTAGGGGTATACTGTTTTACCTCTGTCTGTCGGTCCGTAACGCGTCCATCCGTCCGTCCGTCCCATGAATACTTTTCGTCACATTTTTCTCAGGAACTACGTTAGAAGGATTTCTGAAATTTGGTTTCATGGTTTATATGAGTCAGCTATACCGTGTGATGTGTTTTCAGATTCATCACTCAACAACTTCCTGTTTACCAGAATATTTGGGCGGGGGTATCATCAGTGAGCAGTAGCTCACATTTTCACTTATTTTCTACTGAAAACAATAGCTGAAAGAATCCTTTTCTTTGAAAACTGCTGAAGAGGTTTGATGGAATTAAACAATAAAAGAAAAGAATCTTCATGGAACTTCATCAGAATTAAGTGGTTGTCCTTTGTAATACTTTAGATTCAGAAATAATTGGGAGGTTTTTATTAATGCGAATAACATGACTGGGTGAGTATCGCAATAATAAGAACTTGCATTCTGAAATATGATACATATATCTATATTCAGATTTTCCTGAAATGGTAATGATTAATCTCGCATTTCTGTTCATTCTTCAAAAATCGCAATAATAAATGCACACAATAATTTCTGAATTTACAGTATGTGAATGTTTTACCAATTGCCATTTAAGGAATTTAGCTTTGATTGCCAATACTTAATAGCATCAGAAACATTAATATACTTTGCTGAGGTCTGGATGATAAGGATTGATTGGTTGTTGGTCTTCACTCAAATATCGGTACATTTAGCTATATCATGGTGGTCAAATTTTACTGTTGGAGGAAGCCAGAGTACCCGGATAAAGTACTTAGCTGGTAATTCTAGTTTTTTAAGATCTGTGTCAAAGACACATTTCCAGAACCAGTGCTCCAACTCAACCTTTGTGTTGACTGGCGAGTGATCACTGAAAATGAAATACCTATACTACTTGGCTATCTGGGTAATTAAGAATTTCACATATGTTTAACCATGTCACATTCTTTATGTGTCTGTCACAAGTCAGTAGCCTGTTTATTCAGTGGTTGTCATTGGTTTATGTCTCATTTGTTTTTCGTAATTGTATTGTTATAAAGTAGGATGTTAGTTTTCACATTTGAATTGTTTCACATTTTTCATGTTGGGCCTTTTATTGATGACTATGGGATAGGTTTTTCTCAGTGTTGAAGGCTGTATTTGACCTATAATTGCTCATATCTTCATCATTTGTTCTCTGGTGGATAGCTGTCTCATTGACAGTCATATCACATCTCCTTATTTTTATATTGTAACAAGAGTGCACACGCTGAAATGTCTTGCCTTCGTTACTAACCATTGATTTTATGTTGATAGTCATAAATATAAAGCTTTACTACAAGTACCACATAAACTTAACATGATCCAAGAAAATGAGTTCAAGGTTAGTTAAACCAAACAAGAAATACATGTACACCTTACAATCATTCAACAAAACAAACATAGTTGACCTATTGCTTATAGTTTCTAAGAAACAGTCTTAACCAAAAAAACTTAACATTGACCAATGAACCATGAAAATGAGGTCAAGGTCAGATGAACCATGCCAGACAGACATGTACACCTTACAATCAATTTATGCATTAAATATAGTTGACCTATTGCTTATAGTATCTAAGAAACAAACTCAACCACGAAAACTTAACATTGACCAATGAACCATGAAAACGAGGTCAAGGTCAGATGATACCTGCCAGACAGACATATACACCTTACAATCCTTCCATACAACAAATATAGTTGATCTATTGCTTATAGTTGAAGAAAAACAGACCAAAACACAAAAACTTAACACTGAGAAATGAACCGTGAAAATGAGGTCAAGGTCATATAAAACCTGCGAGACTGACATGTTCATCATAAAATATTTCCATACACCAAATATAGTTGTCCTATTGCATATAGTATTAGAAAAAAAGACCAAAACTCAAAAACTTAACTTTGACCACTGAACCATGAAAATGAGGTCAAGGTCATATGACACCTACCAGTTTGACATTTACACCTAACAATCATTCCATATACCAAATATAGTAGACCTACTCTGCTTATAGTATCTGATATATGGACTTGACCACGAAAACTTAACCTTGTTCACTGATCCATGAAATGAGGTGGAGGTCAAATGAAAATTGTCTGACGGGCATGAGGACCTTGCAAGGTACGCACATACTAAATATAGTTATCCTATTACTCATAATAAGAAAGAAATTAACATTACAAAATGTTGACTTTTTTTTCAAGTAGTCACTGAACCATGAAAATGAGGTCAAGGACAATGGACATATGACAGACGGAAACTTCGTAACATAAGGCATATATATACAAAGTATGAAGCATCCAGGTCTTCTAGCTTCTAAAATAAAAAGCTTTTAAGAAGTTAGCTAACGCCGCCTCCGGATCACTATCCCTATGTCGAGCTTTCTGCAACAAATGTCGCAGGCTCGACAATAAACTTGTCTATTGTTGAAAACCATATGTTGATGTTTTGTTTTTGGGCTATTGTGGGGTAGCAAAGGTGCTATGTAAGTACCTGCTGCAATTACAGGTAACTTTACTGGATTTGCAAAAGACATCTATGATGTCTGTATGTGCCATATGTGATTCTATAACCTTCACCAGGTACGCATTAGTCCAAAAGTTTAGAAAGTCCGTAAAGTATTAAATATAATATGTTGGAGAGCACAATAACTAAAAGGGCTTACAGGCATTATGAGATTTTGAAGTCTGATGCATTTTTTTAAGGAACAGCCCTATGCAGAACTTTGAAAATAACCCTTAAGGTTGCATTTCTGTAAATATTGACAATGCATTTTCCCATAGGAACTCCCTTTACGGCTAAAACTGTACCACTTTTACTATGAAGTTTTGAAAAAAATCATATCCTAGAATGGAAAGTTCATATGCACTACTATTTTTTTCAAAGGTCAAAATATAGGGCTGTGTGGCATATTTTCAACGTTTATATGCCCCGAACTTCAAAGAGTTAAAACTAACACTAAATTTCTTGACTCCACCTACCTCGACTGTAGGGTTACCACAGATTTCAATATAAACAATATACAAAAGTATGTTTACTGGTAACATTCCCAAGTTATGTCTCTATAAGATGCAACATAGAGATCATAACTAGGAACCAGTATGTAAACAAAATTAATTATCTGTGAATATTCTATTTCTCCCCAAAAGAGGCATGGTTTGAGAACCAGCTGTATTTACAAAGTGCAACCTTAAGTCAACTTTGCCTACAATTAAAGTTCCAGCACCATTGCATAATTTTATGAACTGGAAAAATACATAAAGAATTGTTTTTAATATGATTACAATGATACAAAGGACTGGAATTTTTACTTGCAGGATGAGAAATTGAAGAGTAATTATTTATTAATATTTTATTCACACATTCATCGAACCAACCATTTGTTGGTTAACAAATTTGTGTACAAAAACAGATACAAAAATATTTCACATTCATTAACTATATTAAACAATAAAACTAAAATATGCCTTCAACATTTCATTATGAAATGCTATGTATTATATCCTTCTAGCTTAATTACCAATTGAAGAATTATTTTGAAAGCTAAGAATTTTCTAATAAATTGAGTATACCTGTAGTAAAAAGCTATTTAACTGATAACAAAGTTGGCTTTCTTTCTCCCGCTGTATTGCAGAAGTAACGATTATCATTACTAGTTCACAAGATAATGAAATTGTTGAGCCAAACATATCAATTAGTTTGTATTTTAACCATAACTTATTGAGAATTTATGTAAATAGTTCAAAATCTAGATACTCAAATTAATAAGCTGCAGATTTGATTGTATATATGCATACATGGCAATATAATTTGAAAATGTTATTGTGATATTTTTTAAAGATTTATACAAAAATTTTGCCAGACACGCAAGTATCAACTCAAATAAATGTACATGTAAAAAAAATGCATTTTCAAAATATAACCATAGCCGAGGACTAGTTCTATGCTTGAAACTTTATTGGGGTTTAAATGAAATCATGTAATGCATTGAAGAAAGGGCATAAAGGAACGTTATGTCGGAGAAAATGCAATATTGCATGTATCATTGCTAAGATTCAATGATCTTGCAGATAACAGATTGCAACTTTGTTTTCCTCAACATTTAGCCAAGATCACTCTCAAGGGGAAGTGACTAATACTGTCTTCTCATGCCATTCATTTATTTTGCCCCACCCACAACAAATAATAAATGCAGCCTTAAAATATGTAATTTGAATAAAGTCGAAAAACAAATTTTTTTAACACATTTGAATAAACATCACAACACATGAAATACATTTCTGAAAGAAAATAATGTTTGAAAAAAAAAGAACTCCATATTTCAGGTGATTCATTCATTTTTGCACCACTGATGAATGATAATGATATGTACAAAATGAACTATTCTTAACATAACTCCAATCTCAGAAGTTGAAACAAATCATTTAATTCTGTGTCAGACTTATCCAATACCCATACACTTTCATTTCCATTAAAGTCCACACACCTCATACTTTCTACTCTATAATCTAACAATATACTGTACACCTCTTTATAGGCCACAGATCAATTATAGGGAGGATTTTGTTATCCTTAAATTGTTTGTCCGTTTTTCATCTTAAAGAATTATTTGAAAAAATAAAATAAAATATGGAATTAAGGAAGACATGATAAGGAGTGAGTGATAATCTATTGATAAGTTTTCTGTGGCCTTCTGTATCACCACAACTTCATATTAAAATCCATTTTTATGAAAAGATGATCATAAATCGAAATCAATGAGAAATGTGTATAAGTTACCCTTTTATAAATGAATTATATTGTGCTGCAAAAACTCTGAAATTGTGTAATAAGATGGAAAAAATTATTGAAAATGAATACAATTTTAACATAATACAGCAAAATTGAGACTACCATTCATTTTAAGCATGCCATCTCTGATACATAAAAATTTAATTATTTCTGCCTCAAATTTTTGTTACTTTTTTTTTTACAAAATTTTCTTAAAACTATTGACTATGAAACAACATTGAAGGCCAAATTCTATAGGACTCTCAAAAATTTCATGTGAACATTGCAGGCAGTTAAATAAAGAATATTTTGAGGTGAAAAAATAAAGTGAAATTTATGCAACTTAGCATTACTTATACAGTCCCAAACCACAGTTTTTTAAGATTGAGTAACAATAAACATAAAGTTTGAAAGTTGGACTGAAAATTAAAATCAAATTATACAAATTAGCTAAAATATTATATCTACCATAACATAGCAGTTACAGGCAGTTCCTTTAAAACTAAATTACATGGGACCCAACCAATTAAAAAAACATAAAACTTTGAAATGTGTCTGTACTGTTTCAATTTGATAAAAAACAATAATATTCAAAATAGAGTAACAGACCTCACATGAGGTATTCAAAGTAAATTTTAGCATGGATATGAAATGTACTGCATACATACATTTTGAAAGTTGTTCAGAAACAACTACTTAAAATTAGAAGTCTTTAACAACTAATAAGTATCACTTGAAGTAAAAATATTTGGCTAAAAAATCACATTTTGAAACTATCAAAATATGCTTTGATCAGTATAAAAACCAAAATGGAAATATCTGTGACTGTGCAGTCTGAAGCACTCAGGGATAAAAACATTCTTGTGTTTCTGTGTTTGGACGGCATGACTTCTCTGACTTTGATGATCAAATTGACAATTCGCAATTTACGATTCACTCTGCACTGGTCTACCATTCCTCATGTAGTTTATCCAGTTTGTACTCAAACATTTTGGTTCCTGAAAAAATAAAAAATAAATCTGTACACCAAAATTATCAGAAAAATAAATAAACAATTTGAAATATTGTTTAATCTGGTGGAAGCTGTATCACTAATGTACTTAGAGGATGTGTAGAAAAACTGTCCTGTGGATCCATTTAGTTTTGTGGATACCAATTTTCCTGGATTGTGGAAAAATTGTATTTTCGTGGAGATTTGATTTTGAAGTTTTGCCAAAGCCTCCCTACAGACCTATAGAAAATGTGTACTTTGTTGGACATTTTAATTTGTGGTTTACCTTTACACATGAAATCCACGAAAATTAGGTTACTATGATTAATAATGATTCCATAGTATTCCTTTTCAATGATCTGGTAAAATGTTATGTTCTTTCTGTAAAACATCATGACTTTTTTCAACATTCAAAGATGTCACAATAGCTGAATCAAAAGACAGTATGAAAAATTGACATCATATCTATGTCTTGACTAATGAATAATTGACATTATAACTATGTCTTGACCAATGAAAAATTGACATCATAACTATGTCTTGACCGATGAAAAATTGACATCATAACTATGTCTTGACTAATGAAAAATTGACATTAAAACTATGTCTTGACCAATGAAAAATTGACATCATAACTATGTCTTGACCGATGAAAAATTGACATTATAACTATGTCTTGACCAATGAAAAATTGACATCATAACTATGTCTTGACCGATGAAAAATTGACATCATAACTATGTCTTGACCAGTCCAATGAAAAAGCTCCTGAAATCACCCCTGGTTTTTGGTGGGGTTCCTGTTACTCAATCTTTAGTTTTCTATGTTGAGATTTGTATACTGTTTGTCTTTTAGAAGTTTTTCATTTTGTGACATGACATTGTCAGTTTGTTTTCGACTTTTGAGTTTGAATATCTCTTTGGTATCTCTCTTTTACAAGAAACAGGTTGACCAAGAAAAGTGTTTGGTGTAAAGTTAAAAATATCTTACAATAGTTCTTGTTTTCTGTCTGATTTCATCCAGGGTAAGAGGTATTGGAGGTGGTGGAGGTGGTAGCTCTTTTCCTAACTTCCGTCGACTGAAAAATAAAAGTATAAGATTAAACAGCTGCTGAACGGTTTCAATCAAAGGACTGTTCAATAAAAACATATGAGGGACCCAGGGAAGGCACTTCAAAATCTCAAATATGGTTGGGTGTTAAAGACTATTTTGTACAGGGATAATGCAAGAGAAATTCAAAAGTTCCCTCTATAGACGTTTACTCCATTATCAAAGTGCCTACTTTTACTAACATGCATTTTTTAATGGAACAGCTCTTGCACCTAAACTCATGAAAGTGGGTCTATTTGAATCTTACCAAGAGCTATTTAAAAGATATGGAAATCAGAATGGCTCAAGTAAAACATTTTGCTTTAGGTGACTATTTATTTGTTTTGAAGAACAATTAAGAAACACAAATTACTCAATCACATATCAATACATCATTGACTACTAAAAAATGGGCATTTTTGAAGGGTTTTGTGAAAAAAAGTTATTTAAAAAATTATCTGATATTTTTAATTTAATAAAAGATTAAGATAGTTTCAGAACAAGCCAGTGATTGCCAAAAACAAATGAAATATACAATCCTTTTAATAAAATAACAGAAAAATTTAATATTCATATTGTCTTTAAAAGAGAAAAGTAAATTTTTGTGAACTTTTGGAAAACAATTTGTATCCTGGTTGTTGTTACTCCCAATTATATCTGTGTGTATTGGTACCGGTTCCTTGATATATATTTCAACTGACCTTGCTATATGACCTTCATAATCATACATACCTAGATTCTTTTCTAAATGAACCTCTAGAAGCTAGACTTGTTCTAGATTCCCTGCTGACTAGTGACCTAGGTTTTGAACTTCCCTGACTGACTGACATTCTGGGTGGAGGAATAGCAGGATACACCGAATCAGGCATCCGTAAGTCCTCCTCGGATATATATTGGTCTTCTGGGGCAGGCAAGATTGATAGCTAAAATATGGACAACAGTATAGATGATCAACATTTCCAATAAGACCACACCAAATTAATTTGCTGTTCTTAAAATTTTTCTTCTAAAACAAAGGATTGGAAGTGATATATTGACTATTGTTAATTTCGGAATCTACAACAACTAATAATTAAACAGCCTAGATGTACAAAATATTTAAATTTCATAAATCTTTATGATCTTTTATGGGAGTAAACTTAGTGTTAAAAAATTCCAGATTTGATTGAAAAAAAGATTTCAAATTATGAAACGTTAGATGAAAATTGAGATATATATATTTTTTTTCTGACTTTAGCCTAGAATTTGAGGGTGTCTGATGAACAACAAATAAATTTGTGTGGCCTATTTCTATTATTTAAAAAAAAAAAAAAGCTGAAATTGGCATGTAGATGACTTTTTATTCATATTCTTGTTGATAACTTTTTTCTTAGAATAAGAGAATATTGGCATGGGGGATATTAAGTTGTGGTCAGTTTTTTTTTCTGTTAATCTACATGGATATGATTATGCATGCAGTTATAAAAATGAACAAAAAATTATATGTAAATATATAATGCTATTTAGAAATAATAATGTATATATTAAAATGTTTTCAAAATTAAAATTATTTCAAGAAGTCTAAAATTAAAAAAAAAAAAAGATTAGATGAGTTAAACAAATGCATTAGGGAATTTTGACTTCACTTTAACAATAGATTTTTATTTGTAGGTATGGCATTTGAAACTATATATAATTTCAAATACATATTTTTTTGACTATCTGTAAATAAAGGTTGCAAAACTGTTAGTTTACAATAAAATGTTAGATTTAGGGAAAACACACATCATGTATTAAAATGCAAAAAAGAGCCACTCATGAAATTAAATAAACTGAAAAAAGGTGATTTTTAAACGTAAGATTTGACCATTCAACTAACAATATGAGACAAACATGTATAATAGTTATTTAAAAAGTAATAAAGCTTGTATCATATTCATTCTCTTGAAACAAAAACAAAAAGATAGACATATCTACCATCACAAGCAGGGATATTTTTAACTTAAAAACATTTTCATGCCTGATGGAAAAGTACCAGAGGTACATAAATTTTTATTCATAATTCATAAAGAATATTTTTTTAATCCAAAAGAGTGGAAAATACAGATTCCTTAAAATGTTTGTAAAAGTATATTTGTGCCCTACAGTTTTCTGGAAAAATTAAATAATGTAGCAGCTGTGTAGCTACTTTTCTACGTTTTCCAAAAAATATTAAAATATTTCAGGGTACCTGGTGTTTTTTTTTTCTTCACTGAATGTTTTTGTTTAAGAACCATTATGCTTGAAATGTCAAAAATCTACCAATGTTGGAAAGTGGTTGTGTGAAAAGAAGACATCAATTTAACACTTGATCAGAAAATTGTACTGAATTACTTCGAATTGACTAAACATGACTAATAAAAATCCTTTAACAATAGACAAATTAACAACATAACATGAACAACAATAACAGAACAGCACACTATCATATGTGTGTTTCACAATGTTATCATCTTGTGCTAGAAAAAGTAACAACTATTTTAATACAAAACTCATTGAAATACAGATCACACATTTGACCTACAAGATTGGTCTGCATTCCGCAATATAAAGATTTCTGAAATTAAACATCATCATCATGATTTTTATGATTATAATTTGTCAATGGCGTATTGCTACTCTTATGTTTAGTGTAAAGGGTTTTAATCCAACGGTATATGGACTTTTCGTATAATATGTTTAAAATGATTATTTGAAAGGTTTTATCTATTATATGAAAAAGAAATCGAATATTGGATTAAAGGGGATAGACAAACTAGCTTCCACCATCACCTGAATTTTGTTTAGCATTGTGATACAAAATGAAAATTATTTTTAAAACAATGATCTTTTTATAGATGTATAATTGTATTAAGTTAGATATATAAACATTAAACTCTCAAATTACAATTAACTTGCAGTTACTTATATGAAAATATTAATCATAAACAGAATGTTGTTGACCAATACCAATATTATTTGGTTACAGGGAAGTTTTTGTATCATGCAGGTAGTGGACAATAAACATGGAAATGGTACATGTTAGGGAATTGGAATTATCTCCCTTTAAAGATAATTCAATTTTGGGGAGGGGAGATAATCCTTTGAATCTGACGAAACTTACCACATCTCTGAGAGTATTTCCCTCCAAAAAACTTGATAATTCTCCATGTTTATCTAAAATTCTACAAATGATAAAAAATAATATAAAATTGGAATTAAGATAAACATTAAAAGTCGTCTTGCTGAAATATATTTCAAATGCTGACGACTGTATGATATCCTCATGTTTTCTCCTTTCAGTGACAATTGATTCTTATATTGCTGACAAAAATATATTATGAAATAAGATGTAAATGGTGAGCAAATTTTATCCTAAATTTAATTTATATTATACTTAGGATATAATACAATTAAACTGATTTTATTTTTATTTTGAAAAGCAATATATATATATTTTTTTTTTAATATCTGTGTAGCTTCTTAAATAAAACGGTGACACAGAAAAATCTTTCACACCCTTTGAAAAAACTTAATTTACCAATTATCATGCCTAATTAATGTTTTTTTTATGAACAAGAATGAACTACACTAAATAATTCTACATAGTTATAGGATATTAATATTTAATATATTTGTCATAATAAAGGAAAGACAAACATTAGGTTAAGGTGGTACCTAACACTACAGGGAGATAACTCTGTAAAAATCAGCTAAACGTTTTAATTACGTTGTATTGTTAAGGAAATATTAAGCTTCTCAATGATCAAAATTAGTGTTTGTCAAACTGCTATATAACCAATGAAATTTTTCTGATAAAGTGGTTGGTTCAAATTTTTTGAAATTCTTATATTTTTGTCAAAGGGTCAAAGTAAACATTTTGTCAAAATTTTATGAAAATTAAACGAGCCAAATTAATATTAGTCAAGGTGTTGGGTACCACCTTAATCTAATTTGCTATGACATTATACTAGGTTTAATATTAGAAATTCCAGTATTGGCATTAAAACTGTTAATTCGGAATTTATTGTGATGTTTTTATTAATGCAAATAATGCGATTGTATCAGGTTTGCAATAAAAAAAAATTTGTATTCATAAATTCAGTAGTGAATTTCCATCATAAAATTTGCCAGTGGTGAAGGATTTGCAATAATGAATACACACATTCATTTCTGAATTTACAATACCTGTTTGTTGCGGCATTGTTTGCCATGGCCATTTGATGCATTCTGTGTAATTTTCGTAAAAATCTCTTTCTCTGTTTTATTTTTACTTTTAATTCCGCTTCTCTAGCAAGCTACAAAAACAAAATATTCAATGTTAAAAAACATATGAAATACACTTTCTGTGATGAATTTTAATTCCTAATGGAACTCAAAAGTCAAGGATTTGAAATGTGCTAATAAAACAAATCTTCATGATCCAGGCTATATTCAAAGTACCACATAAAATGGCGTAAAAAAGTACCTTTAAAGGTTGACATTTCTTCAATATTGAAAGTTAAAATGTCATTCAAAGTTGTCTTTTTTTTTTTAATAAAATATGAAAATGTGAATACTCTTTAATTTTCAGGGCATTTGATGTTTTTTTTTAGTTTGATATGTTACAGCACATTCAAGAGTATTTTTTTTTCATGTTTTGATTGTAATCAATGATATGTATTTTTTTGTTAAGACAGTTGTCAAGAGTACTATTGATTATACTGTTGTAGGAACTGGAAAAACTAGAAAAACAGCAAATACACATTTCATTTGTTTTCCCTGTGAATGTAACACTTTCCTTAGCTCTTCATAAAATTGCATGACTTTGATGTCAAATTTGCTTGACCTGACTTATCACTGACATTATGTTTGACTTGATGTAATCAGTTGACCGGTTTATAAGGTTTTCATCAAATTGATATTGTAAAATGTCAGCGGCTCAACACAATATGAAGCCATTTTGAGTTTGTTTACTGCACTCACTTGACAAATAGCTTCATATTGTGACTCTCAGCTGATGTTTTACAACATCATTATGCACAAAACCTGATAATCAGCACTTAAAAAGTTTCTTGCTCCAGGTGTATTTTATACTGCAACTGTACTGTACTACGAGATGTGCTATCAAAACATTTGTGATCACTAACCACAAAAAAATCTGTATTTGTGGTATTACCAAAATATTTTTTGTTGAATTTCATTGAGGACACAAAAAAGGGATGCAGATTTGCTAAATTTATATATTGTTTGCTTCATGTCAAATTATCAGATGAAATATTGTCTTTATAGTCAATAGGCCTGACTCATCTTTTTTGTGATTTTTTTTAACTCACTGCATTGGCCTGTAAGTAAAACTATTTAGAGACCAAAGAAAATTTTGAGTTGAAGATGATTACAACTCTCTGACAATGCTGACAATAAACAATTTTGACTTTTCTTGTTTGTTTGATGCTTTTTGTTGTTCTATTTATTTGTCTTCCCAAACTTTTGGTTTTGCTATTTTGCTAATAATCCTTTCAAGAGTAGTGGTACTGGACTCTATATTTCTAAGATTTATATCTGTACCTGCTCTGGGTCAGGCGGTTTTTCTCCAAGGTCCATTGTAAAGCAGTGTAACTGTGGCATCTGTGTCTACAAAAAAAACATTAAATAAGGTAAGTGGCTTTATGTAAAGATCTACTTATTTGCAAGAGAATCCTTTTTATAGAATAGATATACAGAAAAAAATGTCTTCTTACTTTTTAAAATGCACCATAGTTTTAAAAAAAACTTTTACATTAACTAATTAAGTTAAAGTAATGTACCAAATTTAGGCATGTATAATCTGCAGTTTTTTTCTCCTAAATTTAAATTGTAAGGCTGGGTACAGATTATACACTTATACACAGAGAAAAAGTAGATTCAACAGTGTTTGTTGTAACATTCTGCCAAGTTTGTTCTAGGTGCCTTATTTCTATTCCAGATTCTTTAATGATTTTAACAATTCTGCACACTAGCTCTTAACAAATATATTTGTGAATTACCAATACTTTTTATATTTTCCTTTACTGACAAGCACAGATTTTGCAATTTTTGTCGTAGCTGTTGAATTTGGCTTATTTTAACACTAGTGAAGTGTCATAGAATCATTTGTCAACATTTTTAACATCTTTTTGTTAAAGAATTTTTCTATGAAAATACTGGAAACTACCACACTCTACTTGAAACATATTGGAGTTTCATGGACCATTTCAACAAGTGACAAAAAAGGACTTTCTTCTGAATTTCTGTTGTGAATAGGATGTGCTGGTTATACCTTTTTTACAGCAAATTAGAAATATATTAGTTTCTATAAAAGTTTCCGTTTAAAAAAGTTTTTCTCGTCATTGAAGTATGCATAGTTTCTAAATTGGTAACCAGTAAATACCTTTGGGAATTTCTTCTCTAAATCTGAACTTCTTGATTTCTGTGGGGATGCTACCTTTGTGTGTGAGTGTTGCTGAAAAAAAAAATCACAGAATTAATACACACTTTTATGTTTGTCAGAAAATCAAACAGCAAATTTTATATGAATTTGAAATTCATGCTATCATACACATGTGTAATGTATGGACATTTTATTATCAATCTATTCTGAAGGGAGTAGACCTAGTTTAAGGGACATAATCTGTAAAATCATTGTTAGGTTTGTATCAAACATTTTTATATATACGTTCTAAGCTTCTTAGTAACATAGTTTATTTTAATTCTATTTCACATAGATATAAGAAGATGTGGTATGAGTTTCAATGAGACAACTCTCCATCCAAGTCAAAATTTATAAAAGTAAACCATTATAGGTCAAAGTACGGTCTTCAACACGGAGCCTTGGCTCACACCGAACAGCAAGCTATAAAGGGTCCCAAAAATTACTAGTGTAAAACCATTCAAACGGGATGCTTAAAAAAGCGTGTATGTAATTGCCTATTACAAACACATTACTGACTTAAAGAGTTATCTTCCTTAACCATGGTCTATTCCCTTAATTATTAATAGTTTTGACATGTTCTTGGTCTTGACACTTGCTACTGGACGTTAGTTTGAAATGACTTGTCAAGTCATGCATGGATAGCAGAAAACACTTAACCTACTGACACACCTTGTGTTGAGTATATATATCCTATTCCCCCTGGTTTCATTTCCATGTTGTCACTAGACAAAGTAGCGAAATGATTTTTGGTAGACGACCTATAAATTTGTAATTAACTACTACTGTGAATTCATTATTATTCGAGGGATACCAATTTTCGTAGGTTTCGTGGGTACAGGTAAACCACGATTTCAAATGTTCAACGAATGACAAATTTTATAGAGGCACGTATAAGGACTTTGACAAAACCACGAAATCAAATATCCTTGAAAATTCAAGTTTTCCTCACTCCAAGAAAATTGGTACCCACGAAAATAAATGAATCCACAGTATCATGACAGTAATCAAAATGTGTGAATGTGAATCAAATTTTTTCCACAGCACAAATGATCATGATTTTGTGTTGCAGACATACAATTTTTTAAAAGTTTTAGTATTTAAATGTTTTTGCATGAACTTTTTTTCATATAACATATTAGATCTTTTCATACGGGTTTTTTTCCCTTTTCATTCTTACATGTTTGAACTGTTGAGTAATTGCCCAGTCCTGTGTATCTTTGTACAATCCTGGTACAGAGGATCTCTCTGATATCTGACTGAGTGAACGGCCAGGATAGTCTTGTAAAGCTGCTACTGTAGAATGGGTTTCTAGATTTGAGCGATTCAATGAACTGGTGGCTGAACCAGAACCTGAAAATAAATTAATGGCGGGTTGTTTAATTTCCATCAAAGAAAAGATTTGATACATGTAAATGTGCCTATTCAAGTTCAGCATTTAACTGTTAAATGAGATGCTGCTAATGATATATATGTATATATGAACAAAAATGTACACACATAAATGTCTCACCAGCCAGTGCTTTACTTATCATGACTAAAATTTATGTTGAAAGTCTGTAATATGAAGGTTTTACTACAAGTAGCACATAAACTTAACATCAACAATGAACCATGAAAATGAGTTCAAGGTCATATGAAACCTGCAACTCAAACATGTACACCTTACAACCATTCCATACACCAAATACAGTTGACCTATATTGCTTATAGTATCTGAGAGACACAGACTTGACCACTAAAACTTAACCTTAATCACTGATCCATGAAAAGATGTTGAGGTCAGTTGAACCCTGTCTGACAGACATGTAGACCTTGCAAGGATCCCATATAACAAATACAGGTATCCTATTACATATACCAAGTGAGCATTTCACACGAAAAAAAAATACAGCCAGGTCATGTACATTCTGAAATATAAAGCTTTATACAAATTATTAACGCAGTCTACACAGCACCAATAAAGTAATCCCTTTGTATCTTATTCTGCAACTTTTGCATGACAAATACTTATGGACAGATGAACAAACATTGGCTTTAAAATTAGAAAGATCAAATCATAGGGAACATGTGTACTAAGTTTCAAGTTGATTGGACTTAACTTCATCAAAAACTACCTTGACCAAAAACTTTAACCTGAAGCGGGACAGACGGACGGATGGATGAATGAACGAACGAATGAACGAAGGGACAGACAGACGAACGGACGCACAGACCAAAAAAAATAATGTCCCTAGGTGGGGCATAAAAATAAAAATATTTTCAAATAAAAACAGTGCGATTACTATATGCTTCCAATATTTTTCGAGGAGCATAAAAAACCTGTTTAATAGAAGATCTTAGACAGGCATATAAGTGATTTCATTTTTGAATATAACATTGGCAATTAATTTGAATTTCTGCTAGCTGATTTTGAAGGTGGGCATACAAATTTTATGTATTGATTAGATTGATATGAACATTGGTGTATCCAACAGAATTAATTCATCAGTAAAAAGTAAAATAACAAAAATACTGAACTCCGAGGAAAATTCAAAACGGAAAGTCCCTAATCAAATGGCAAAATCAAAACGTCAAACACATCAAACAAATGGACAATTGTCATATTCCTGACTTGGTACAGGCATTTTCTTATGTAAAAAAGGGTGGATTAAACCTGGTTTTATAGCTAGATAAACCTCTCACTTGTATGACAGTCACATAAAATTCCATTATATTGACAACGATGTGTGAACAAAACAAACAGACATAATAGGTAAAAATGTCAAAAATATGGGTACAGCAGTCAACATTTTGTTATTATCTTAATCACTATAAAAACAAACAAATATGTAAACACACATTTACTATGGCACAATAACACAATGACGGGATGTTTAAGTACAGAGCCACGTCATATGTAACAAACCAGTTTGACATGAGAATGTCTATTCTGGTTTTTACAAGAACAAAAAATGCTAACTGCTAAAATCAATATTCTTTTTTTGGAACTTCTGCTAATCTGAATGACATTTTTTTATTTAATTATGTGAATATGGTTGAACCTATTTTAAACTGTTTTACTTGAGCAAATTTGTTTCAATTTGCTTACAACATATATTGCAAATAGGGTTTCCATAAGAATGTTTAACAGAAAAAATATAAATTGGGTTACAGAAGAACTTTGTTCTGCTTTAAAAGGTCAATACAGAAAATTAACCCTCTACATTCCTGAGGTTAGGGATTTTAGATTATCCATGCTAATCTGTTATTTTTAACAAATACATGTAAACAACCTAGATTAATCTCCAATAAAACCCTCTGCTTAAAAGATTTTGTAAATACTGCTTAAATCTATGGACTAATATTTAAAACTTCCTTAATTGTAATTTCTATGTAAGACTAAGTAACTTTAAAAAGAAATTTTGCCACCCATATTCATATTAAGATTATGTTACTAATAGTTTACAATCATACTAATGAAGAAAAAGGGGGAATCACCTAGTATATGGTGCCTAGTATATCCCTGTGTGTAAAGGATAGTACTCTTGGACTTGATTTAGGCATGACAGATTCAAAAATAAGTCTTCCATTTCAGCTACAACAAATTATACAACCAAATAATGAAGTAGTGTATTGTGAAAGTACTTTTATTCATGGGGTACTAATTTTCGTTGTTTTTCGTGGATGACCTTATCCACAAATTTAAATGTCCAACAAAATATATCAATTGTTGTCCAAATCAAGACATGGAAATATCCCCATGTAGGTTGGACTACATGGATACGACATATAATCTAGAGAATACATCGACTATCAGCAAACGTACTATGAACTATATATATACAACTTCAGACAGGATTTTACCCCTTTAATCTTTACAAAACCAAAACTTTACGATGTTTAACCTTTTATTTCTCATGAAAAAAATAGTTTTGATCGATAAAAGTCAGACTTCCTGTGATGATATGCCATGATTAAGTGTTCATTTTATCTCCTCATAATTCTCATTCGAAAAAAAAAAAAAAATTTGGCCACTATATGAAATCAAAGTGAGAATTATAAGTTCAGATTACCTAGCTTTTAAGACAACTGTTTGTTTTTTTAATTTATAAACTGTTTCATACAAAATCTTGTACCAATTATCACTAATAGTACACAAGTAGTCAAAATTAGTATTGTTTTATTATTGGAGTCTGACTAGGTTTTGGTTGCTCTAAGAGGCATTTTGAGTTGTCATGATCAAAATGTTTCAAGTGTGTGCTCTTATAACCAATAATGAATTATATACCTGATGCTTGAGTCTGAAGAGCTGGTTTGAAATATGATGAATACACATCTGGTTTCTTGATGTCCAGCCAAAATCTGTCAACTTCTGCCTGGGTTTTGAGTTTTCCTTCTTTCATCAATTTATCCTGTAGTTCTATAATCTGTAAACAAATATAAAAAAAAGAGTTAATGCTTTAGATTTAACAGTCATTAGTTAATGTTAATTTCTCAAGTCAGGAATACATTTGTTTTAAATATCTTATCGCAAATCTTTATTTGGTTGGAGAGAATTTTTATTTACAAGTGTCCACACTATAAGACTGTCACAACATCTGAAGATGTATATGTTCTCTCTTGACTTCATGGCTATGAAAACTGTGACAAAACAATACAAAATCACAACACTTTCTAGAGTTAACATGACTTTTACACATTTTAAGAGTAAGTATTAAATTTTGCATGGTATATTATGAGGGTCGTAATGGAGGTACCTTCATGACAAATAACGGTAAAAAATCTGGCCAAATGACGTTTACGGTAATTTTTGGTGCATGACGATAAAATGAACACTTTCTTTATGACAGTAAAATAATCGACTGATTTTGATGAATCATGTTAAATTCTTTCCAAACATAATGGTAACCGTTAATTATTTGAGACCTCTGACGAATCACGATAAGGATATTTTGACTAAACACGATAAAATTTTAACTAATTTTACTAATGCTAGCAGAACATGACCATTTGACATCTGACGGTAAAGGGCATCGCTACCTTCATATAGGTGTACATCATGTACATCAAATCCATGAGTGTTCTAAACACCCAAACAGATCAATATAGTTCATATTTTCAATAATTACCTTTGCCATTTCTGTTTTTGGAACTGTTTTAAGAAAATCTGTATTTGTTGACAATTCATGTCTTTTTAATTTCTTCTTCACAGAGTTCTTTTGTGCCTTCTAATACAAAAACAAAATATAAATGAGAAAATGCTAGATCTAAAATGTATTTCTGAAGATGTACAAAAACAACTGGAATTTGAAGTTTTTCAAAGCTGTAAAGTAAGGGATCCTACCAATAGTTTTATCTTCTTTATACCATTTTCTCAATATAATAGCAATCACCTTTTTTAATAGTACTAATAGTTATTTTCACCTGTCTTTGTCACTTATTAAAGGAGTTGATGTCCATTGGAATTATTCACAAAAAATTTCCAGAAGCTTCAAATTTGAACTCAAATACCATGTTTTTATAAATTAGTATTACACTTTAAGGGATCTTATCAAAGCATTTAAAAAAGTTCGAAAATTTAGAAATGGGAAACATATGCTCAAAAGTAATATAAAAATGAACTTATGTACCATATAGTTGAGGAAATGCACTTTGGAATCTCTAGTTTGACCTACAATTTGTTTTGAAAGACGAAGTTACTGATATCAGCAAAAAATTTGAACTCAGAATGCTATCTATCAACTGCCAAATGATGAATCATTTGTGATGACTAGCAGATTGAAGGTCTTATATTATATTGTGACGTGGAAAAATACAAATTTATATATACATTGTTAAGAAGAGAATACTGAAACTTAAATTAAATAAAATTTTCTCACTACTCATACTAATTATATTAAGTTGTTATCTGATGCAAAATGAACACCATAAGAAAAAAAAAGAAGGGAATGTGCAGTGCCAATCAAATTTACTTGTTACCTACATTTCATATATACAAGAAATTTTTACTTCACTGTATAGTTAGTATGACTGTTAAAGTATCTCATTTTTGGTTTGCTCACAGAAATAATTTTTTTAAACAATCACTTAAAGTGGGATTGGGTTAGAGGTTGTTAGGCTGTCTGACCAATGGTTCAGAGAGGATGTTTTAAGGTTGATGTCTGGACAAGAGATTGAGGGATTTTAAGGAATGATGTCTGAACAAAGGTTCAGAGAGGATGATGTCTGGACAAAAAGTTTGTGGGATGTTAAGGGATAATGTCTGAACAAAAAGTTTGTGGGATGTCAAGGGATAATGTCTGGACAAAAGGTTCATGGGATGTTAAGGGATAATGTCTTGACAAAAGGTTCATGGGAAGTTAAGGGATAATGTCTGGACAAAAAGTTTGTGGGATGTTAAGGGATAATGTCTGGACAAAAGGTTCATAGGATGTTAAGGGATAATGTCTGGACAAAAGGTTCATGGGATGTTAAGGGATAATGTCTGGACAAAAGGTTCATGGGATGTTAAGGGATAATGTCTGGACAAAAGGTTCATGGGATGTTAAGGGATAATGTCTGGACAAAAGGTTCATGGGATGTTAAGGGATAATGTCTGGACAAAAGGTTAATGGGATGTTAAGGGATAATGTCTGGACAAAAGGTTCATGGGATGTTAAGAGATAATGTCTGGACAAAACATTCAAGGATAATGTCTAGACAAAATGTCTACGGATGAGGTCTAGACTAAAGGTTCATGGGATGCTCAGGGATGCTGTCTGGACAAAACTGGTTTCATGAAAATGAAAACATATATTGTAACAAAAATACCTTCACTCTGACATGCTGTAAAAAAACAAAAACTTGTGAATTTTAATGCAACTCTCTGGTGGAGTGTTGTCTCATTGGCAATCATACCACATCTTCTTATTTTTATATTTTGATATCATATAAATCACAAAATATCAAGCCATGTTTAAAAATCATGAAACACAGCCCTTCAACTGGTTTTACATCTGCAGAGATTTTCTATATATATATAATATATATATGAACAACATTCGATCTTCAATATATGTAAAAATTGTAATGATATTGTCTTTTAGTTGGTGTTTATTATAGCTTTCTTTTTCAAGTCACAGTGCCTACAGCAACCTATTAGAAAATCATGTCAAATATAGCACTATTACTTCTAAATTCTGAATTCAAACCAAAATTTGCTTTCATTGAGTAGTGGATCCATTTAAAGATATTACATTGCTATGTATAGGGAATATTTTTTTTTATCTTATACAGAACTTATCAGAACTGTACATAAATGTGCTAATTGTCATTTTTAAAAGTTTGAATCAGCAAATGCTAGTTAATCAACATACTAGTATCCACTGAGAATGAGTTTAATAAGTAACAAAGAGGACATGAAAAAACTGCACAGTGCCAATGAAAGAAATGAAATAAGTTAAATGAACTTCACAGTTGCCAGAAATGTAAAAGTTCATGTGCACTTAGTACTGTAAATTCAGAAATTATTGCGTGCATTTATTATTGCGATTTTGTCATTTTAGACTAAAATGCGATTTTTATTTTTGCGATATTGAGAAAAATCCTGTTTAATTAATATAAAAAAATTCAAAATGCGAGTTTAAAATATTGCGATTATAACACTGTCGCATTTTTCGCAATAATAAAAACATCGCAATAATTTCTGAATTTACAGTATTTAAAAATGTTAAAACGTTAAAAAAAATGAATTGAACTTTATTCTCAAACAGTTCAAACATACAAGTATCTTATATTTATATAATTTATACTAAATATGACCAAAGGTTGTTACTGATTTGTGGACAAAAAACTTAAATAAGTGTGAATTAAAACATGTATAAAAATACCTTCTCTGGGACATGCTAAAAAGCACAATAAATGTAATTTTTATAGCATACAGATGACATAGATTACCAAGTATAACTCTTCCTTCAGAATATAATCATAACAAGTGTGTCTGTTATCCTGACATTGTTATAAATATATTTATGTATTTCCATGCTCTTACTGTCTCTTTAACAAAAAGCTTGTAGTTTTTAATTTGAGTTCATTTAGCACATATAAATAAATTATATGCATTTCATAGTTGCTAGAAATGTAATAATTCATGTGCACTAAGTATAACTGTTAAAATATGTGAATTGAGTTTTACATACAAGTATCTTGTATATACATGTATATATTTATGTATGAATATGGCTAATGGTTGTTAACATTTGTGTACCAAAAAAAGTGTAGGTGAATTAGAACATGTTTAAAAAATACCTTCTCTGGTACTTGCTGAAAAGCACATAAAATGTAAATTGTAATTAACCAAAGAACTTCAGCAATTTTATCATGTTAATTAATGTAATTAAATGGAATGTACCTTCAGAACTTAAGAAGATGAACTGTGAGCAAATTTGCTCATTAAAGTTAATTTGCTACAAGTATTCTGTAAACAGAAAATTCAGCAATGTATGTGAAAATTTATCAAAAGGAAAAACATACTCAAATGAAGCATGATACCAAATTTAAAGAAAATCTGATTTGTAGTTACTTACAAAAGTGCAAAAAAATTTCAGACCTGGCCATATGTGCAAGATTAGATAAGTAAATTCGTCATGTTTGTATTTGGTTAAAAGGAAGTTGACCCTCAAAGATTTTGAAAACGCATTAAACCGTATAGCATGCTCACATGAAGCTTAATTGCTACCAAATTTTAGGAAGCTAAGTTATTTTAAAGTTCCAGAGAAAAATGTGATGCAAATTTAATTAGACAATGACAAAGGTAACCCTGCATAACTCTTCCTTCAGAGTAGGAGTATAGTCAATACAAGCAGTGGCGGATCCAGGGGGGGGGTGTTCCGGGGGTTGAACCCCCCCCCCCCCTTTTTTTTGGACGATCAATGCATTTGAATGGGGACATATAGTTGGAACCCCCCTTTTTTTTTGGACGATCACTGCATTTGAATGGGGACATATAGTTGGAACCCCCCCCTTTATTCTAGGTTAGGAACCCCCCTTTTATAAATGGCTGGATCCGCCCCTGACAAGTGTTTCTGTTATCCTACATTATGTGTGAATTGAGTTTTATTTTTAAATAGTTTGAACATACAAGTATCTTGTACATGAATATGGCTGAAGATTGTTATAATTTGTGGACAAAACAAAGTTCAGGTGAATTAAAACAAGTATAAAAATACCTTCTCCGGGACATGCTGAAAGCACAAAAGAAAAATGTTTTATAGCAAAGTACTTCAGCAGATTTGTCATGTTATTAACCTGAAATGTACCACCAGAACTAAGTAATGCAACTTTCTGTTATCCTCAAGATTTCATACATATTTATGCATTTTTATCATTCATGCACTTACTTTCTCTACAACAAAAAGTTTTCAGTTTTTAACTTGAATTCATTTAGGTGGATCTTACTTGTTCAAGTTAGTTGCATACTTTAATTAAGCCATACAAAACTGTGATGAAAGCTTCTACACTATTGCAAGTCAACAGAGAAAGTTATATTGGAAAACATTTAACAATTACTAATCCCTCTAAGGGTTCAGCTTGTCAGGCTTTTCAAAATTTAAAAATACAACTGAAAAATGAATTTTATAGAGTTAAGTTGAAGATCAAAGAACAAAATGTGACACATCAAAAGAATTATTCAACATTTGCTGGGTAATAAGTCTTTCTAACATGTGCAACCCTCATACTAATTGCTATAAACATTGGTCAGTATCTAACTTTGAGACAGGCGTTTCAGGTGATTTGCACCAATGAATTAAAAAAAAATCTTCTAAGAAGTCATCTGACAAAATAAAATTTTGCAGTAATGAAAACATGGATGGCTGCATCTTTTCTACATCAAAGACTATTTTCCAGTAATTTGATTTAATAATTCGAGATCTTAATAAATTTTTAAAACTTCAAACAGGTAAACACAATGGTGCCAATTTTAGTTCAGCTATTTTTCACCTGTTTATGTTTTTACACACATCTTGAGTACACGACACCTTTAATGGTGGGGCCTTGAATGGAATTGGGTGTATGCATACAACATAATATGTAAACTTTGCAAAATTTCTAAATCTTTATTAAAATTTGATCTCAGCACTTGCTTACTTTTCATGCTTTGTTGAGGGAGCACAGGTTAAGCAGCTAGCGACCAAGCATAAAAAAGTGAGCAAGTGCATGAGATCTAATTCTAATAAGATTGTAAAATTTCCTTAACATACTTTTGTTTCTTCTTCCTCTTGTCGAGGTGTTCTTGGTGTCCTTGGTGTTTGTGATCGGCTATCAGACTGTGTTTTAACTCTAAGTGCCAAACCAGAAACCTTTTTTGAGTAAAAATTTCCACCATCTTCTTGATTTTCCATAATTTGTTGATATCGCTGAAAAAATAATTATGATGAAAATTATTTAATGAAAAATTTAATAAAAGTACTTATGCTTTAGTTTAAATTTCATGTTTTTATTTACTTTATTTTCCAAAGTCAGTATTTATTTTTACCATATATCTCCCTTGGATACAGAAGACTGTATGACAAGTCCATTTTTAGCCAATAATAATAAGTACTGATCAAATATCACCAAATTATAAATAATGTAATTTTGATATTGATAATGCATTAAATAGTTTATCAGTTGTCAAAAATGGTACTGTGAATAAAATTGAGAATGGAAATGGGGAATATGTCAAAGAGACAACAACCCGACCAAAGAGCACATTGAACAGCCGAAGGCCACCAACGGGTCTTCAACTCCGCGAGAAAATCAAGCACCCAGAGGTATCCTCAGCTGGCCCCTAAATAAAATTGTGTACTAGTTCAGTGAAAATGGACGTCACCCTAAACTCCAAAATATCTTTTTCTCAAAGCTGCATTAACAGTCTTAAAAATGCAATTTTTGCAGTCATTTCATTTTTATGATATAAATGACAGAAGAGTACTGAAATGGTAAAATTACAATGTTGTTATTGCTTGGCAGGAATATTTACATAATTTTTAAGGAATAACACATTCTCAATCATTTTCCTGGCAAAACAATGGTTCTTGTCATACATCTTTTTTTTTTACTTGTACACACACATATATTACTGTTAGGTTATCAAAATTGAAAATTAATGATAAGTGCATAAGGTTAACAAAATTAATGATAATTTCCTATTTTACCAAACACTTAAAAGATTGATGCAAAGACAGGTAGACTCTTTGGTTGATAGAATAATAGTATGTTGACAAAATACAGATATATCAATTTGAAAAGAAAAATAACCCTCAGAAATGTGAATAAAGCTAGACCTTAACCTCTTGTGATCATCAAAATCATGCAAGAAATGTGCTTTTAGACCAGGATTCAGCTAATGTGCATGTCTATGCTAAAAAAACATGCAATTTTACTTTCATATTTCTTGAATCTATATATCTTAATATCAATTTTCAAAAAATTCAATACATTCAAACACACAGAAACACACAGCAGGGAAATTCATATAAAAAAAGATAAGGAAAGCACAAAACTTCAAAAAAATGTAGCATGATTTGTATAGGTTTCTTTGTCTTTTTTTCAGACTCAGCAAAAACTGATACATAACAAATATTTGATCAATGATTGTTGTTCAATAAAGAAATGAATTTTTAGATATGTCTGTGTCCATGTTAAACTTTTTATATAGAAACTTTGACTTCTGAATCTTAAAAGTATTGTCTGTGACTGAACATACACAAGGATTACATCTTCTTTATTCCTTATCGGTCAGAAATGAGCTTGTATACTTGTGTGTCATTTTTTATGCTAATATGTCATGTTTTGTTGTATTGTTGTTTCGTTCTATTTAGGGTACAGTCACAGTACATGTAGGAGGCCTCGGTGGCCTAAGTGGTCTAAGTAGTCCAAGTACTGTATAACCTTAAAGAGCCTCCTCATGGGGTTTTTAAACGCCCGTTTACGGGACGTATTATGGTATACCGTTGTACGTCCGTCTGTCCGTCCGTCCGTCCGTCGTCAACATGTCGGACATTAACTCAAAAACGCTTTAACCAATTTGCTTAAAACTTTGGTGAATTGTTTATATCTATTGACGTGAGCTCCCTTTCGTTTTTTATAAATTTTAGATTTTACGTTTCCGAGTTATGGGGTTTTATTCATTAAAAAAAGGGTGATTTTCTAGTTTTAGGACAATAACTCAAGAATGCTTTCACCAACTTGCAAGAAATTTTGGTTAATTGTTTATATCTAATGACATGAGCCCCCTTTGGATTTTTATAAATTTTAGATTTTACGTTTCCGAGTTATGGGGTTTTATTCATAAAAAAAAGGGGGGATTTTCCAGTTTTCGGACAATAACTCAAAAATGCTTTCAGCAGTTCTCATGAAACTTTGATGAATTGTTGATATCTATTGATGTAAGCTCCCTTTAGAATTTTATAAATTTTAGATTTTACATTTCCGAATTATGGGGTTTATTCATTAAAAAAGGGGGGATTTTCCAGTTTTCAGACAAAAACTCAAAAATGCTTTCAGCAATTCGTGTGAAACTTTGGTTAATTGTTTATATCTATTGATGTAAGCTCCCTTTAGAATTTTAGAATTTTTATTTGTTTTTAGTCTGACAACAGATTTACTAAGTATTGCGCAACAGCACAGTGTATTGCACAACAGCAAGAAATCCTTAATTGAATATAAATTCAATTCATATTATAACCAACTTCAAGTTCTTTGACTACATTTATTCAGAAACCTATAATAGATGTATGTCAAATATTTAATTACAATCCAAATTCAGACCTATATCAAGCTTGAATATTGTGTCCATTTTTGCCACAACTGTTTCAGGGTTAGACCTCTGCGGGCGTATCCAGCTGCGCTCAGCGAAGCAGTTTATTGATTATGTGATTACTTGGCCGTTTTTATAGTGATTATTTGATTACCAGACCAAATATTTCATGATTATTTGATTATTTGATAATCTAGGACTTTATTTTGATTATTTGATTATCTTGTTTAAAAAAATAAATAATGATTAAGTGATTATATTGGCAAATAGTTTGTGATTATGCGATTACTTGGACACCCCCATGAGGGGTCTCCTTAAATCTTTGAATTCTTAATATGTCTAGTTTTTGTATGATGCTGTAGTTTTAACTTTTCTTATCAGTATCTGATCAATGTGATAGCAAAATGATCCTCGACAAAGTTCCCACAGATTAACCATTTCAATATGATCATTTGAAAAGTGTGCTTTGTGTCAGTTTGTAATTACAAAAAAAAATGTAGGTTTCAGTCAAATTTCAGGTGTAATGCTTTAAGAGATAATGTCCTATTTTGTCTACTTCTGAAAAATAAAATCTTTGTTTGTAGAAAAGGTTTGGTAAGTAGAGCTTAAAATAATGTGAGCTATAAATTTTTTGACAATCAGCGCATCGGTTATAATAACATGTCACATCAATTTCTTTTATTTGTCACATTTCATTGTTAAAATACAGTTTACTCTCATGCTGAAAAATTATTTCTTGTTATGTTTTGATTTATCATGCAGGTTAATTTTTTTTTTTATGAAAGTTTATCACACTTTCTTTAAAGCTAATGGATTATAATTCACAAGTGAAAATATGTCAATTTAAAGCTATGGTTTTCTCCTTTTAAAATATAAGATTTTGAATACTGTGAAAGCATATAAAATTATCAGTTTAGGAAAATCAATTGCAGGAATGTTGTTAATTAACCAAATACAATCTATTTTTAAAGACCAAGGAAAAATATCAGTCATTATATATGCACAAAAAGAGCCTTCAACTTAAACATTTAACTTTCACAGTATTTGAGGACAATATCTTATTTATTACATCAGAAATTACTTATGTGTTAACCATTTTTGGCAATTTGCAATACTTTTTTTCAATTTTGTCAAAAGCAATATAATAAAAGGTAAAATGCTGACACCATATGAATCAAATTCATTAAATTGACCATTGAAAACTGAAAATAGGTATAACACAAGCATGGTTTAAGATGTAAATAATTTAGAAATCAAGATCAGCAAAGATACTGATATGATGAAAGGGGGTCTCATAAGGGGGTCTGATCCCGGATCCCGCTTATTGTTTTGTCAGATTCCCGTATCCCACTTATCATTGTAATGATAACTCTTGACGTGTCCCGCCTGACTTCGTTTCCCGTTTTCACGCCTAATAATTTGACTTTCACGTGTCATGCTTACAAAAAATTGGCCAATCCCACATCATGCTTAGACCCCAAATGAGACCCACATGAAAGGTATATTATTAGGCTCTGCTGACCAAAGTTTAAGACAAGAATTAAAGCAAAATTGCTCTTCAAGAAAAAGAAAAAGTTTTAAAGATCCCTGTAAAATTTGAAAAATTTGCAAAATGAAATAAAAATCTTCACTTGTGATTCATGCAGTTTGGTGTATGTAAAATCTGCTGTTAAATCTCATACCTCAGATGATGAACGATAGACAATCTAAATTTATACATATATATAACATTAATATAAAACAAAATTATAATATAAAATCATATCAGAAAATCCTGTAATGGTTTCATTGTCAGACAGACTAAGTTATTTACATCAATACATATACATATACTTTGTCATAATTTTATATTAATACTATTTCTCTTAACAGGATACAATGCAAGCCATAACCACTTTTATATATTTTACTTAATCCTAGTCACAATGGTCAAAAGTTGACTAATCTAATATATAAATTCATCTGCTGCAATATTTTCTGTTTCTATCAAAAAAGAGTTGTCATCTTTATATTGCTCTCTTATTATCAAAAGTTTTCCTCCAAGAGATTTTATAGCTTAGATTGAGACCTGTATAGTTTTATATACATATATAATGTCAATAATTTGACAGTCGTATTATTATTGCTCTGAATGGATATCTGAAAGAAGTGGAAATAAATGACAACTTCCATTGAATGAGAACCAAAAAATGGCTTCCGCCGATTTTTTCAACAAATATTTATTTTTTTGCCATTTGCAAATTTGGACTGTTAGCAGAAACCTTACAGACTATAAAACATTTCTATAATGAAGAAATGTTTACATAACTAGACTGAGAAGATCAGTAATAAAGCTTTTCTTTTGACTATGATCAATAAATTCAGTAAGGATTAACCATTGCCTAACAAAACTTAATAGATTCAGTTATCAAAAACCTTCTCCTTGTGCATGGCCTCAAATTTTTCTCAACTTCTGCAAATAACCAACAGTTTCTCAGAATGATTGACAAAATATTTCTTTAACATCTTCAAATTGAATCATTCGAAATTTCATATTAATTGCTAAAATGCAAAAAACTGTTGTTATCTGGGCTCAATTTTCCTTATTATTGCATCAATAACTAACAATTACTAATGAAAATTTACAGTATATCATAAAGTGCTACTTCTTTGTTGGTGTGTGGAAACTGATACTGATGGAAACACGAGTATAAGCATTAGAGGACCATCTCACTAGGAGAGGTACAAGACGAAGTGCATCCACTTTTTGCTAGATCAAAACCACAGTGCACTGGCAATATACTAAGCTAAGAGATTTAATGCTTAGAGACTAAATCTTTAGAGCAGGTTCATGAAATGATCGACAGTTACTGCAGCTAGGATTTGTCCAAATAATTATGACGTCTTGGAAGACTATTTTAATAAAAAAAAAAAAGTCAAAATCTAAAAATACCCACAGCAGACGGCATGATTATCTGGACTACAGCTAGGATATGTTCCATGGAACTGCAGTGAAGGTCAAAACAATTTCTGGTAGATGGACGCACTTATGATTTTATTGTACTTTTTTACGACAATTGCGATGGCAATAGATAAAAATTTAAACATTTAAATGTAGTTAAAATGATCGTTGTGATAATCTCTACTTTACAAAGTTGGGATTTATAAATCATGACTACAAATAAAAGATTTAAACCAATTCATTTCTCATTTGAAGTGAGTCTGAAATTTATGAAATTATTTCCCTTGATTAATAGTAGATGTACTAGATATATGGGAAGATAAAGAATCAAAGATAAGAAGGTTTTAATCCCAGAAAATTTGGATTAATATTTTGTTGTATTCATTTTAATCATTTTTGCTTTTATGATAATAAGGGGTAGTCTTCATTTTTACCACTGAAACCATACACAGTTTAACAACTTTTGTTGTAACTAGTCAGTGTCATTATAATTCAAATTCAATCTACAGCTTTTAAGAAAGAGCTAAGTACTGAAATTGATATTGCTCATGTGAAACAGCTAATTCAGGTGACAATTGGTTTTGCCTGAACTTAAATTCAGGAATTGGACATATTGAATAGAGTTTTTGATTGAAATTAATTGGAAGTCACAGAGTATTGCTGAAGGCATTACAGTGACCTATAGTAAAAACATCAACATCACTTGGTCTCTGCTGGTGAAAAGTTGACATTGACAATCATACCACATACATCTCCTTATTTTTTTTAATAATATATACTATTGTATATTTTTGATTAAATTTCATGAAATATTTCATTCACTTCATATTAGTGCTCTGCACTGCTGAGAATTAAAACTAGTCTATAGCGAGACATAAATACTTGCTTTAAACTGCAAGCCATCAGTTGAACATAATTTTAAGTACATTTGTGTAGAATTACAAAACAAAATGTATATTAAAATATGTATCTTGTCCAATGCCAATACATCAGACATCTTTTTGTACCTTTGATTGTCTCAGGTAAAACCTGACCCTAAATAATCCAATCTTTATATATTGCTGATTTAAGAAGAAATTCATATGTGCAATTCATCTTTTTTTCAAAATCTGACAGATTATGGGTAATTTCATTCTTTATGCACCAAGGTCAAAGTATTATAACTTCAGTGGTTAAACATCAGTTGTTTAGGAAGTTCTTAACCAATGAGAATGCTTTGGTGTATACTTTTGAAAATATTACCATGAATGCCTCAGATTCAGAAACGGAGAATCAATCAAGCAATGCAACCTTTGCCAAGTAATATATTACCTTTCTCCTGTTCTGAAATATTTGTGTTACATCATGTACATCAAAGAATTATCTTTTTGATATAATTAAATAATTTTTAAGATGTCATCAAATTAAGATAAAAAACATACAAAATTTTCCAAAGAATATCCAATTCATTTGGCATATATGACTCGATTCAAAAATCAATATCCCCCTTAGTTTAGAAAAAGAATATCAACGTTAAATAATAGCAATCAATTGCAAAAAAACATATTCACCCATAAACAGATCCTTTAGAATTTTAAAATTATTTTCTTTTCTTTTAGTTTTTTTTAAATCTTAAACTATTGTGTAAGAAAGTAAAGGTCAACTCATTTCAAGAATACATGAAAATTTAGTTGTCTTTTTTAGTGTCCTTTTTCAGAAAATAGAGTTTTGTTCTAAACAGGAGACTTGGAGTAACAAGATGATTTAATCTCCTCAACAAATAAACTGTTAAAAAGACTGACATATCAGAAGTGACTTTTTTGAGGATTGATATCTAAAAATAAATGCATCATTTGTAGTAATAGTATGCAACCTCTCATTTTAAGTGTTGCATGCCATACAGAGAAAAAATAAACCACTGGCATCATAAAAAATTAAAGAACAATCACCAATATAAATTCTCTGTGTTTTTTTAAGCATTCTTGCTTTGTCCTATTAAATTTACACTATATGGTAGTCTTTTCACAAGGTAAAGAAAGTTATAACTAAACTGAACTTAAAAAAAAAAACAGATGAAAATTTGAAATAATTACAATTGCTGTTTCCTGTAAAAGAGAAATCTTAAAGCTACATACAATTTTCAAAATGAGGCTGTATGAAATTTTTTTAAATAAATAACGTTTAAAAGAAAATCAATATAAATGCCTACATAAAAATGAAACATTTTATTTTATAACTGATTGGTTGAACATCTTTTGTACATGTACATACCACATATTTAAAAAAAAATAGATTTATAAAAAAAATTGTGATTTGACATTTACCTTTCAAATAAAACTATACTCAAAACTAAGGAAAGTATCTTCAACCATAAAAGGTAAGAAGACAGAAATATATAGAGGGAATAGTTGGGTATTTTTTCTTCAATAATGAAAACTGACAAATATTGTATATGTTGATAGACAGGGCAATTAGATATAAATCAATTAATTACTAAATGTACACTAAGAAAAGAACATTAAGGAACTAATAAGATTATTAAAGGAGGAAATGGAATAAAGTACTCTATAACTATTCTGATCAAATGATTTCCATATTCAACTTGATGAACAAAACTATGCTTTGGAAGAAATTGAATAGTATATTATTCAGATATAAGTGTTGTCGTTTTCCTACCTCTTCCCTTTTCTTTTTTCTCTTATCTGTATTTCCATCCATATCATCATTTTCTTTTTCAGATTTGATCTTTTTCTTCTTTCTTCTGCCCTTTTCCTGAAATATTAGAAATGTATATCAAATATAATAGTCCTGTTATTTTCTTGATTAAAATTTTAAAGAAATAGGTAAGGAAAGTTATAATATTTATAGATGCTGCATACTTGATTGAAAAGATTGTTATGAAAAAAGAGTGTTATTCAGGAATTAAAACTTACTTTATATATTTATGTAAGAACATTATTTCATTGATGATAATGTGAAAACTTTTATGCACTACCTTAGCATGGTCTCGGTTTAATACTACAACAAAAGTTGTTGCTTAAGAAATTATTTTGAACATGAGAATCTATCAAAGCATAAAACTCAAAACTTCACAATATCCATGACATTATTGTGTTCAAATCAAGTTGAGGGTAATGAATACAACTGAAACTAGAGGCTCTCAAGAGCCTGTGTCGCTCACCTGTATTTACTGATGCTTTGGAAATCATGTAAAATAAGGTTAAAATCATAATTAATAGTATTAGATATTATAATGATATCTAAGATAATAACAAAAAACTGCAAAATTTCTGTAAAATTACTAACAGGTTGTTGGATTCGTCTGAAAATTTCAGGGCAGATAAATCTAAATCTGATAACATTTTTGCCACCTGTCAGATTTGCTCTAAATGCTTTAGTTTCAGAGATATAAACCAAAAACTGCATTTTACCCCTATGTTCTATTTTTAACCATGTCTGCCATGATGGTTGGAAGGCGGGGTCATTGGACAAATTTTTTAAACTAGATACCCTAATAATGATTATGGCCAAGTATGGTTAAATTTGTCTCAGTAGTTTCAGAGAAGAAGATTTTTGTAAAAGATTACAAAAATTTACGAAAATTTGTTAAAAATTTACTATAAAGGGCAATAACTCCTAAAGGGGTCTACTGACAATTTTGGTTATGACAACTTATTTGTAGATCTTACTTTGCTGAACATTATTGCTGTTTACAGTTTATCTCTATCTATAATAATATTCAAGATAATAAACAAAAACTGCAAAATTTCCTTAAAATTACCAATTCAGGGGCAGCAACCCAACAATGAGTAGTCAGATTTGTCTGAAAATTTCAGGGCAGATAGATCTTGACCTGATTATCAGTTTGACCTGTCAGATTTACTCTAAATGCTTTTGTTTCAGAGATATAAGCCAAAATCTACATTTTACCCCTATTTTCTATTTTTAGCAATGGCGGCCATCTTGGTTGGTTGGCGGGGTCATCGGACACATTTTTTAAACTAGATACCCTAATGATGATTGTGGCGAAGTTTGGTTAAATTTGGCCCAGTGGTTTCAGAGGAGAAGATTTTTGTAAAAGCTAACGACGACGGACGGACGACGACGACAGACGCCAAGTGATGAGAAAAGCTCACTTGGCCCTTCGAGCCAGGTGAGCTAAAAAGAAGCATTTTTGGCAATTTTTACTTTCTTGAATCATGAAAATATTTACAAGCACTTTCATTATTTATAATTAGTTTTTGCTCTTTTGATAAACCTTTATATGACTAAAAAAAATCTTTTCATATAACCGTGTCTGTCGATTTTTTTAAACTTTTGCAAGAAAAATGATATTAAGCATATAGTATTATAGTAGGAGTGAACATTTACCTATTGTATTCACAAAATATTTTAAAAAAATCTTCTATCTTCCTAATGTTAAATAATGTTCATTAAATTCATAAATGAGTTAAAGATGATGTATTCAGGTGACACTTCAATGCAAAAAAAAATCATTTCAAAATTGACAAGTTTGCCCTAAAAATAGAAATTTGTGCCACCACATCTTCTATCAATATATCATTTTGAATAAAGCTGTTGATTAAGTCTAAATATTGATGATAAGATCTTTTTTTTAAAGTCATTTTTCTCAATTTTTTACCCATTATTCTCTATTCTTTATATTTAAGCACCCCATTCTCAATTATATTCTTTATTTTTTGGGCCTGTTTTTCTCTATTCTTTATATTTTCACCATTTTTCTGCAGTATCTTTCAATTATTCTCTATTCTGTAAACCCCATCCAGACCCTCACAAAGGAGTGTTGATGAGTAAGAAAGATTTTAAAATAAAAAAGCTGACATTTGACAGACTTGCAAATGTATATGTTTGTGAATATTTTAAAACTATTATTTGAAAGATTTATAATACTTTTGATTTTCAAATATATTTTAAAACTATTATTTGAAAGATTTATAATACTTTTGATTTTCAAATTTAAACACCTCTTTCCATGGAGCCAACACTTGGATTCCTGTAATTGCAGAAACCTTGAAGTTCCTGCATTTATTAATATTTAGACATAAAAAGTATTATTACTTTTGTTTTATCATCTTCCATCCCATAATCAGTTAACACAGAAGGTAAATTGGATTCTTTGTGAGTTTTAGCTGAGTATGCGCTCCTCACTCTTGTCAAATCTATCCTCATGGACTGAGGTCGAGATGACTCCCCTTCTTTATCAGTGTCAACATCTGTGTCTTCATATTCATCCTAAAAAAAAATAATGATACATGTAACTTGCATATAAATGTGCACAACAGCTTAACATTATTCTTATTAAAAAAATTGCAGATTCAAAAAGTTATCCTAAAGAAATATTGGGAAAATCCCATTAAAGTTTCCTGAGTTTCACAGGCTGGTCTGGACAATAGCAATCTTTTGTCAATTAAACAATTACAATGTTACTGACAGACTAATGGCTGATCAGTAGGTCCGAGTACACAGTTATTTCGTAGTGCATTTCTTTTAGACAATAAATGAAAATTAAAAAAATCCCACCTGCGCTTTCTTAATAACATTTTTACAGTGTGTTGTACTACTTTTGGGACAAATTATATCAAAATTATAGAAAACTTCATCGGCTCTAACTCAAAATATGGACAATTTCATGTTAAGGGGGTCTTCAAATCTTTTGACAGCTTCCGAAGTGCTAATTTTTAACATTTTTCAGCTGGACCAAATCACTTCTTTACTTTAAAATTCATGACCCAAATTTTTTTACAGTGTCATTTCACCCCCCTTCTTACTATTTGAGTCATAAAACATGGAGAAATAAATTTGGAAGGGGTATAAAAAAAATCGACAAGTAACACACTGTCCACACTAGGGACTATATTCGTGGACAACGAAAATATAAGGACGATGACTGTGTACCCGGACCAGTAAACAAATTATCATTTGAATGACCTAAAGCTTCAATTGTTAATCATGCTGACAATGGCCTGGTCTATATGACCTTCTTAGGGACATATAAACATAATTAGCATAAATTAAATGGAAGTTATAGTTAATCTTTATAAAATAAGCATGACAGCATTTAAACTAACTTTTCTTTATTCCTATTTGGATGCGAAAGTCAGTTTTGCTGCAAACTGAATCTTGCTTCATGTAATGTACATACTTTTTTAAGGTTAGTGGCAAATATGAATTTTTGCATGTGATGTGGAACTTGCTTTGTTCTAGACGCAGGGACTTAACTCAACTTGTTTTCTCCAGGGGAAAGCATGGCCCCCAACATATTTGTTTCAGGAGCCCAGTTGAAATTTTAGGGGCCCAATCATTTTTTATACCAATAAAAAAAAACTTAAATGTACTTTCCATGTACTTATAACTTTTTTTAGGTGACCAAATATGTAGCTTTTGAGTCTAGTCAAGATTATGTGTGATAACCAGGGTTCTCACTAAGGCGAGTCCATGAGTCCTGGACTCATCAAAATCTGTCTGGACTCATCATTTTCAAAATTTGTGAGTCCAAAGATGCATCAAAATTGTAAAATGTTATATCAACTGAGCACATATATACATTGTATCATCATTTTATAACAAAAGTTAAAAAATAATCTAAATTTGATGTCATTTTCTTGCTCATTGAGACTGAAATTATATCATACATGTATATCAACAAAATTTCATCTTTTCACTGCTGAACTCGCCATGGCTAAAAATGATGAGTCCCTGGACTCACCTTCAATAATTCTTAGTGAGAACCCTGATAACTATAAAATATTTGAATTATTGCCACCAGAATTATATCATAAGATTTGACAATACTGATTTTAGTACTTTTTCAACCAAAATTGTCCACCTTCAATTTGAATTTCCTGTTGACAATATGGCTGTTTCTATAAATGCTATTTCAAATCCAAGCCATCCTCTTATAGTGTTGAACAAAAATATTATTCAGTCACTTTTTATTGAAGATTGAATAGCAAACTAGATATTTTGATATTTTATTTACGAGATTTAGCATTTCGTTTTTTCATTGATGATTTTGTAAATAGCGATGCGTTGACAAGTTTTCGTCAAATACGGGCTTGACTCCCTGGACATCTGGAATCGTCTCTGAAGCAAAGCCGAATTAACAGTTTAGATGAAAACACTAAAAAATAATGAAATGATCGTAAAAGAGAGATAAGAACAATATTTAGAGAAAGGGTATATGTCAAATCGTGACTTCGCATTGAAAATTAGTTGTACAACCGGGTTTTGGTTATTAAAATGAACTAACTGGTTTCCTAATATCCTCTCTTTAATTTTCCAGCTTTCATTAAACAATCAGGTTTCCCTTTTTGTTTATATTGAGGGGGGAAATGGTAGAAATGGGATTCACTGCGAATATTTTAGTTGCCAGCTGGGCGATCGAATGCTAAAATATATTCGCCCAGCCGAAAATCTGGTCGCCTTTAAGATTAGTCCCTGAGACGGACTCACTGAGCTTGATTTTTAATGCGCTAGTTTACAAGGTAACAGTCTACAAGAAGACATACATATGTAATACCCTACCCACTAACCCAGGCAGGTACATTTTTATTTTGTCCCGAGCAGACCAGCATTTGCTTTTCTTCTAAGTGCATCCTTGCTTAGCAGAGAAGCAGCAAATGCCAAATACCAATTTTACAATTGGTATGACCGCGCCGGGGAACAGAATCACGACCTCCGCACTCGAGGCGAGCAAGCTACTACAAAAGTGTTAGTCAAAACCACAGATCGATAGGTGCAGTTGATTCGATGAAAATAGACCGCCTGCAAAAAAATATCATTCTGTGTTGCCATTTTAGAAGTTTAAAAGGGACCAGGTTATTCCTTAACACATTCTTCATTATTTTTCGTTGCTTTATGGTCTCCTTCAGGGGTTTTGATAGTTACTTGTCGAGGAGATTTATTTTCTTCCTCCATATTGTTGATGTTGTCTTGGTATCAACTTCGTTTCCGGTTCCTAATTTGATACTAAATTTAGTCGTATGACGGAGAATTCCGATTAATTTTATGCAATCATTCGTAATAAGGGAGCTACCATTTGATTTTTATGGGGGGGGGGCTAGGATGAAATTTGAAAAAGGCACTGGCTACAGTTACATGGAAATGTAACAATAATATAAAAATTATTGTTACATTGAAGACATTGAAGACTAATCGCCGGAATACAAGGTTGGGTAAGGAACCAATTAATTACGAATGTAACAATAATATTTGTGTCTACGGTTACATTGCATTATTGTTACATGTTTATGAACTGCCATGTACATGTATGATGGGGCTACGGTAACGAATATGTATTAAAATAAAACTTGAAAACTGTTATTTGATATTTACAATATTGCATACAATTTTTGTAATTTTTATTTACAATGACAGTTAATCCAGTAAGTTGTTTTTGGAGAATGCTTTAGTCCGACGCATTTTTTTAAAGTTAAAGAAACTTTAAATGTATTCCATGCTCCAGACGAAAAATATTTTTATACTCTTGCGATGTTTAAATTTTCGTCCAATATTTATGTTGAAAGCATGTGAGGTTGTTTAAATACAAGTCAGTTGTAAAAGTAATTGATGTTGACATTGGCCGATAGGTTGAAACTGGTGGAAACAGTGTTTTCATTTTCAGAGTCCAGATATTGTGATCGTAATTTCGTTATTGTTGGTGAAAGTAGTATCTTAAAGAACATCAAAACAATGAATACTTAAAAGATCTTAAAACTATTTAAACACTATTCGTTGAATATCGAAGAATTAAGTAACAAAACCATAGAAGGTTTAAGTTTTATAATTATAGGGTACATTGCAGTCTTTAATGTAACAATAACGCAATGTAACCGTAGACATGTAAATGGTCTTTTGTTCTGACGTTGGAAAGTTCCGGGCGGAAAGAACTAACTAGCCGAAAAGTTCCGGAGGAACTTATTAACTAGTTACTTTGTTCTTCCTCTGGTTTAAAAGTTCCACCGGAACAAAGTGACTAGTTGAAAAGTTCCAACGGAACATATCAAATAGTTAGAAAGTTCCTTTTTGCCAAATTAGTCAAAACCGGAACTAACAAACTATCCCAAAAGTTCCAACGGAACTTATCAACCAGGCAGAAAGTTCCATTTGGAGAATTGATGCAAAGTAAAAGCGCAACATATTATATTTGAACCTTTCAAAGGGAAACCAAAATACTGATTACAAAAGTCAAAAGGAACTTATCAACTAGCCACATAGTTCCTCTTTGGCAAATAAGTCAAAACCGGAACTAACAAACTAGCCCAAAAGTTCCAACGGAACTTATCAACCAGTCACAAAGTTCCATTTGGAGAATTGATGCAAAGAATCACATGAGGAGGGGGGTATTCTTCCCTCTCTCGAGGGTACTATGAATACTAAATTTGCATGATAATGCAACTTATTCCGTTTTATGTGAGCTATGAAATACAACTTAAATTTTGCATATTTGTCCCCAAAGAAACCCCTTTCAGTGCGTTGGGTATTCTTGTAAATTAATGATTTGCTCTTATATATGCTGATACTCATTCTTCCCCCTCTTTCCACAAAAAGGACGAAATATGGTATATTCGGAACGATATAACTAGTTGTTCTGTTCCGCCAGAACTATTCAACTAGCTACATTGTTCCAGGACTTTTCAACTAGCTACTTTTTTCCGGAACTTTTCGACTGCACTCGGAATAAAACAACTAGTTTGAAAGTTCCATCGGAACGAAATAACTAGTTGAAAAGTTCCGCCGGAACAAAGTAACTTACGGAACATAGTGGCTGTTACAGACACACATATTACTGTTACATTCGTAATTAATCGGTTCTTTACCCAACCTTGTATTCCTGCAATTAGTCTCCAATGTAACAATAATTTTTATATTATTGTTACATTTCCATGTAACCGTAGCCAGTGCCTTTGAAAAAATAGGCAGGACAGGAGTTTTGAAAAAAGTTAAAAAAAAAAAAAAGGCAGGATGAGACACTTTGCAAAAAAAAAAAGGCAGGACTGAATAGAGTGAAAAATAAAAAGGCAGGACAGAGATTACAACTAAAAAAAAATGCAGGACAACATTTTTCATCCTAGCCCCCCCCATAAAAATCAAATGGCATCTCCCTAAATAATAAGCGATAAACGGTTACGGTATACCAGCTCTTGGATTAACGAAAACAAGTAAATTTTGTAATATACTCGTAGGTAATAGGAACTATTCGTAAGTGGAATTGTCATAAAATGTTTAGGAAAAAGGGGGAACACTAATTGATCCCAAATTATAACTGGATTTTCAAACTATTTAAATCCTTAGACTTGAAAAATGTTTTAGTTGATGAAAAAGTATAGCACTAGAAACATAAAGATAAAAGCAAATTAACTAAATTGTATAGTCCCACAGCGAATAATTTTTGGTATCAGGTCCGTTCGCGCCGAATACACTTTCGCACCCTTCTTCTTCTTCTTCCATATACTGCCCACATTCAACTTTCTGAATATACTGGCAAATTGGTTCTGCAAGGTTAAAAACAGGATAAAAGCAAATGTTCATCTTTAGTTTGTAAGGTTGGTCATTTGAGATTTGAATGTCTCAAATGACTGTGCTGTGGCGATCTCCGGGGGAAGCTTGTTCCAGTCTTTGGTGTTCACAAAGAAGGACCATTTCCTGCAGTCTTTGGTTGCTGTTTGCACCATGTATCCATGCTGTTGATACCCTATGGGTAGTGCTCCACAATTAATGGCGGAATATACAAGAAACTGAAACTGAAAACTGTGTGTGGGTGGATATTCTAGTTGGTCTTTGGAGGTACATGTCTTTGTTGATGGCTACTTTGTCATTGACGATCTAATAAATCATTGCGAGCCTGGCCTCTCTGCGTCGTTCTTGGAGACTTTTCCATTCCAATTCGTTAAAATTGTCCGTGACACTTGATCTGTTTCTCTGGCGCTTGGTGACGTATCGCGCAGCCCTCCTTTGAACCTTTTCAATTTGGTCAATATGTTTTTGATGATATGGGTCCCATACTGTTGTGGCGTATTCTAGTTGGGGCCTTACTAGAGCTTTGTATGCTTGCTCTTTGATGCTTTTAGAGCCGATGTGTAGGTTTCGGTGGAGGAAACCAAGGCTTCTGCTGGCTTTGCTGGTAATGTTGTTGATATGTTCTCCCCAGTCTAGAACGCTTGTGATGGTGCAGCCCAGGTACTTAATTGACGTTTCATGTTTTAGTACATGGTCATGTAATATATAGTCCCATTTGATCGGCTTTTTCTTTCTGGAGACAGTCAGCACACTGCACTTTTCTGGGTGAAACTCCATCTTCCACTTTTCCTCCCATAGTGCCAGTTTATCTAGGTCTGACTGTAGGTGTCGACAATCAGTATCTGAGGCGATGGTTAGGTAGACTACTGTGTCATCCGCAAAGAGACGAACTGTTGATTTTAGGTCATTCGCTAGGTTATTTATGTAAAACAAAAATAGACTAGGGCCTAGGACTGACCCTTGTGAAACTCCAGATTCTACCTTTGCTCTGTCTGACTGTTCACCCTCAACTACTACTACTTGGGTTCTATTTGTCAGGAATGCTTCTATCCAGCTGTTGGTTTTCACCCTGATTCCATAGTGATTGGGTTTATGTAGGAGTAGGCTATGGGATACCTTGTCGAATGCTTTTGAGAAATCTAGTATCAGTAGGTCAGACTGTTTTCCCAATTCAAGGTTCTTTGTCAGGTCATCAATGCATTCTAAGAGTTGCGCCTCGCAGGATCGTTTACTTCGAAATCCATATTGTAGTGGATAAAGGATGTTGTTTGCCTCTGCGTGTTTCATAATGTGGCTGATAACAATATGTTCGATGGTCTTGCAGCAAATACATGTAAGAGATATTGGTCTGTAATTTGCTGGGATGTACTTTTGACCCTTTTTGTATGCTGGTGTGACTGTTGCTGTCCGACAGTCATCTGGTACTTTGCCTGTCTCCATTGAAATATTAAATATGATGGTAAGTATGGGAGCGATTTCGCTGGCAAGTTCTTTGAGTATCATATTGGTCTGATGTTATCCGGTCCAGCGGCTTTGTGTGGTTTAATTAAGGTTTCTCAATTGTTTTTCTACTCCGTTGTTTGTGATAAAGATGTCTCTACTGTCAGACTGTCAGGATAATTTTCTGGTGAGTCGGACATATGATATTGATTGTAGAATTCACCATGTTCACTGTTGCTGATGTTGTTTGCTGTGGAAAATACAGATTAAAATTGTTCATTTAATATGTTTGCTTTGTTGATTGGATCTATTTCTAAGCTACCATTTTTTCTTAGAGGTGCCACTCCACTTTTATCGCTTTTCCTGTGCTTGATGTATGTCCAAAATCTTTTCGAAGGGGGATGTGTTTCTTCAGGATTCTCTGGGGTGATGATATTTTCAATATACTTCCAATATGCTTGTCTTATGTTTTTCTGTGCTGTCTTTTTCAGTTCTTTAAATCTTGCATAGTCGTCAGGATGGTTTGATTTCTTTTTCTTTTTATATGCTCGGTCTTTTCGCCTTATGAGTGATTTTATTTCCCGTGTAATCCATGGATTCTTATCTTTGGTCTTACATGTTTTTGCTGGTATATGTTTGTTTGTACTTGTTTCAAGACCGTCTTTAAACATTTTCCATAATATATTTATATCTGGTCTATCCATATTGCTTTCTTGTTGAATAGTGTTGTGAAGATGTTTCATATCTTCCTTCATGCTGTCCCATTTCGCCCTCTTGTAGAGGGGGATTTTTCGTTGTTTCTGTTTGTTTGTTACTGGGTTGATGTTCATTTCACCATATACAATGTCATGGTCTGATATTCCTGGTATGATATCTATTCTCATTATCTTGCTAGGACGGTTAGTGATCAAGAGACCCTACACGTTCGCCCCCTAGGTCCGTTCGCACCCTACACGTTCGCACCCAGTTTTCATTCAAAAATAGATTTATTCAATTTCCAGTTGAATTAATAGACATTTTTTTATTTGTATATACAAAAAAAAAAATGTATTTTCCTGAATAAAAATTGGGGAATTATTGTATCAAATGTTTTCTTTTTTTTTTTATTAATTTAAAGATTGATTATTAGATGTTAATTATGTATGATTACTGCTAATTGGTATTTATACACGGCTAAATTTGGTATTATTGTTGTGTGTGTTTGAAAATCATGATAATTGTTGTTTTAACTTGCTTTGAGGTAAATTCTGCATGTATTTAGCTTGGTATGAGTAAAACATTGAAGATTTTAAACGATAAACATGAAAGATAATTGTTTTTAACAGCTTGGCCCTTTTGATCTCATGTGTGTTTGGACAAAAAAACGTCAGAATCTAACTTTAATTTGAAACAACGATTTTTTTTTATATCAATACACTATCCAAAACATGATGAAGATTTATTCAACACAAAAAAAAAAAAACGTTGTCAGAATCTCACTTTATTTTGAAAAAATAAAATAAAAAAATTAAAAATGTTTAGCAATACACTTACAAAATGAAAAGGGTGCGAACGTGTAGGGTGCGAAAGTGAATATGTCATACAATCTCATTTATCTATTTTAAAATGGTATTCAGAAGTTTAGTCAGTGTTTTGTAATGATAGAAATTATTAGATTTATTTTGAAAGGCAAAGATTTCTTCTTATGTTATTATTGATTTGCGTATGCATGTGAAACGTGAGAAATTTGGAATTGGTTACTCTAATAGTAATTCAAATTTCGTGTCCAAAATAAGTACACGAGATAACTTTGGACCAATTACAAATTAAAAAAAAATATATATATCACCATTTGCCATCATATTTTGCCATTCGTTTTTGATTTTTTCAGCTAAATATTTTAGACTTCGAATATGTGACCGATATCTTTTTGCGCCAACAATGAAATCATTTATGCCACAACTCATTTGCGCCAATACTACTTCTGCGCCACTTCATTTTGAAAACTAAAGGTTTCATTTGCGCCAATAAAACAATCATACAAATGCGCCAAGTTTATCAATTTATTCATTTTTACTTATATATATATCTATTAAATGACTATCCTCCTCCTTTATCTAGGTTTAGGACCGGCACTTTACCGACTTTAATTTCAATGAAAAAAAAAAAATGACAAAAAACGATGCAGGACGCGATGTCAATACTACCACGTCGTCCATAGGATGTATCGTTCATACCTTGAAAAGATGTATCGGTCATAGGACAACATCGTCCATACTTTGTTCGGATTTTTTTTTAATTTATAAAGTATTGTAATATATGCAGTCAGGAATCTGATGTTCAGTAGTTGTCGTTTGTTTATGTGATTCATAATTGTTTCTCGTTTCTCGTTTTTTATATAAATTAGGCCGTTGGTTTTCCCGTCTGAATGGTTTTACACAAGTAATTTTTTGGGGCCCTTTATAGGTTGCTGTTTGGTGTGAGCCAAGGCTCTATGTTGAAGACCGTACCTTGACCTATAATGGTTTACTTTTATAATTGTGACTTGGATGGAGAGTTGTCTCATTGGCACTCATACCACATCTTCCTATATCTATGTAGATGATTATATTATATGTAGGACTCAAATCTATGGTGGGTTCCAAATGTATGGCAAATTCCTAATCTATGGCAAATATGACGTTACAAATCAAATCTATGGCAGTTTTTTGTTTTCTCCAAATCTATGGCAGATCTTGAAATTGCGTAATTTTCCGGGGAAAAGAGTAACATATAGCGTCACAATTAAATAACGCCATAATTACGTCGTCGTCGCCGGCGCTAATGTTGGCAGAACCGGCATAGATTTGAACACCATTTATATTTTTTTTCTTTTAATTGTATGATGTAAACCAAAAACAAATATTTAACACGGAGCTCACAGATTTCAAATTTTTACAAACAAAAACACAGGGAAACACTCTCCCTCTAAAAACAATTTGCCGATGGTTTAAAGGAAGATGTGCTGTACTGTCCGAATCCCGCGATGAACAAAGGCACGGCTGTTTTTAGTAGTAGATATTTTAGGAAAGGAGTTATAATTTATATTTTAGCATCTACGCCTGGCAAAGTATATACAGTGAGAGATGAAACTACAGGATACCACTTTGACTTAAATCGTCATTAGTTAAAAAAAAAAATGATTAACGCTCAAATAAATATTATATGAAAAATTAAACTGTTTAATTCTTTTCATAAAAAACTGCTTTCTTTTTTGTCATGGGACTACCATTTTTATTAGTTGGTTTAATAAATAGACTAAACAGGTACCATGCACAGATAAGAAATGCTTATTTTTCAGGGGCGCATCATTTTAATCCTGAAGTCCGTTTTCATACATTTTCACTTGTTTAAGAAAAGGCATCGGTCGTATATGTACTGCCTTGTTTTCCATATGCACAAAATTTGTCAAAGATTTGGAAACAACAAAAATTCGCCATAGATTAGGAAATTACAAAACTTGCCATAGATTAGGATTGTAACAAATCTGCCATAGATTTGGGACGGCATGGCGTCATAATTGCCATAGATTTGGGATGTCATGGCGTCATATTTGCCATAGATTAGGGATCTGCCATAGATCTGGAACCCACCATAGATTTGAGTCCTACATATTATATATGACTTGTAAATGTATTATGCTGTATTTGCATTATTTGTCATGTTTTTATATGTTATACACTTGGAATACGCATTATATATATCATATGTAAATGTGCTTTATCTAATAAAATATTTATATTATTTTCTAGATGGATTTGTAATATCTTGCGTAAAACAAACAGAAAAATTCTGTCAAAGTTAGACAATAATACAATATAAGTTTAGCGGATACAAAAAGACTGCTCAAACAGCTTGCATTGTTACAAGAATTTCACTAACCAATGTATGTTAGTATCCGCTAAACTTATTTTTTAATTATGACTGAAACTAATCTCCCATTTTGGATATTCATTTTTATTTGCTTTATTGTTTCAGTTTGTTTTACGCAATAATATGTTACTAAGAGTATAATGCATGCCTATACCTCTCTATGATAATCGACAGTCAAAATAATGTGCTGAAATGGCGCGTGTCGTTTTAAGTCCTGCATACAAACCTTAAAAATAAGGAGATTTGGTATGATTGCCGATGAGACAACAATTCATATTATAGACCGACGAGCAAAGATGTGAACAATTTCAAGCTATCATAAGGCATGAAACAATGAACAAAATCCATAATCGTATAGTAAGCTACCAAAGGCTCCGATACCTCAAAATGGTGAATACAAATCTCTACAGACTCCACTCTGATGTCACCAGAAGTTACGATATATACCTTCCACAGATGTAGATGCACACTTGATGACAAAATCACTCTTTAAAAAAAAAGTCGTTTTTCAAACTTTGGGGGGGGGGGGGGGGGCAACTTCTTTTTACTGAGTGGTATGGATTAGCCGCGTTACTATTTCAAGCTTGAGAATATGCGTTTTGTTTCACAAAATATATGAAATGAGTGGGTTACTGGATGTTTCAGCTGCTCAACCCTATCACAAAAGGATTGAAATCCACCCAAGTCTAAACACTCAATGTAAATATAGTAACGTTATGAACATTATGCAATAGTGTGGTCGAATTAACATTGGCCGAAATGATTATGGCCAAACTGGTAAAGTGGCCAAAAAATCTCCATAGCCTTTATATATGTAACCACGCATACAGACGCCATAACCGTCAAGCACACCATATAAGAACATCCACCAATGTAAACAAGAAATACACAATATTCGAAACACAGTGTTTAACCGCCAAATATACGATATATCTCACTTTAGCCACATTGGCTTGTCTTCATGACTCATTGTATAGGTTAAACATTTTCTCTATTTTTTATGTACTATATTATATATCAAGTATACTTATACCGTGAAGTCTGGCACATCCAAAGAAAAATAGCTGCTTTGAAACAATTGAAACATTGGTAGTTAAGTGCTTTTTCTGAAATTAATTTTGAATTTTATCGTGTGTTATTCTCTGTACCTTTTACTATTTCGCTAAGCTAAAAAAAAAAAAACTAAAACAAGCAACAACAAAAAAACCGACATATATTAATGAATTTAAAAAAAGGAGATGTTCGCTATAATTCTACGAGGCAACATCCCGAGAGACATAAATAATCAAAATGACTCCAGTCCTCCGCATTGTATTGTTTGATTTGGAAAGCCCCCCTCCCTTGCGCTTTACGAAGCAAGCCACTAAACTAAGGGTATATATTTAGTATATTTATTTTTGGCATTTACAGAGTAAATAGTAGCATTAAGTTTTATAAATTGTGCAGAAGAAATTTTATTTATTTTTTGTCGTGACTTGCAATTCTGGGAAAACATAACAGCTGTTTGTTTTTTGAAAACTCTACCAAAAATGGATTTCGATTATCCTTTTTGATATCTGGATTGCATGATCATGGTGATATAAAATGTCGTCAAGTGAACTACATCTTCAATGTGTGTATTACACAATCAAACAACAAAAGCAAGGCACTTGCTTTAATTCATCAAAACTGAGGATTCAAAATGAAGTAAGTAAACATATTGAGTTCGATAACAAACATTAACATGCTTAAGCGCATGATTTTTTTATGTTATTGAAATAAATAAATAAAGAGAAATAAACTATATATAGAAATGACAGCAACTTATTCTAGTATTTAACATCCTAAAGAACAGAAAACGTTAAGGCTACCTGCTTATTCTTTGCGCCTAACTATCAACTTTTTAAGGCGAAGCACGAAGTCTGTTGGCATTCCAATGTGCCTGCACCAGGCCTCGTCAGCAGTTGTTTATATTTTTATCAAGCGATTTAGAGCTTGCTTCATGGCAAAGCTATATATTAGTTTATTGTAAAATCATGTTAATCTTTAATTTGTTTTACTGAATTGTTTCAATGTAGGCAATTTATTATTTCAAAAATTAAAATAAATGCATTTGACGTTAATAAAACGGGTAAACAATATCATTTCAGATCCAAAATTTGGATCACATATTCTTCACCCTATTACACATGACCACACACTCCCGGATGTACATATGCACCCAAATTGTTAATTAACTGCATGTCAATCAGTTTTTGTGAACTGGCTATTGGAACGTATGCAAGCAGAGGGTAAGCAAGTTTCAGAAACTTGTTAAGACAAACTTATAGACATAATATATTTTTAGAATCAAAAATACTGTTTTGTAGCTTTGCTAATGTTAGCGTCATTGCGGCAATACTGACCTCCATCTTGATATTAGGCGGGAGCTGTCATAAATCCTGTTCAAGGAATGCCAGTCTCATGAAGAGTATTCAGTACCAGTTGAAACTTGTGGAAGCCAATGATGGAAAGTGTGACTGTTACCACAGTCCTTCAACTCCAAGTAAGTTTCAATATAACAATATTAAATTCTTAAATCTTAAAATGGGGATGGGAAGGGGTTATATCCAAGTTTCCTACTTTGATAATAGTCTCCGTTATATTAATTCACAGCTTTTATAGAAGGGTCGAGATTGACCTTACCGTATAGACACCTATTTGTTGTTGCCCTCTTTATTTTGTACTGCCTCGAACTTGCGTTTTAATATTCAAACCCACATTTACTAATATTTAGCGGAGATGGCACTACTCACTTCGAAGCAAATTTTTACCTGGAATATATATATATATAAAAAAATAATAAACAATGAATACCCCTAAAATTAGTGTTAATCTCTGAATTAATTAATTTAACAGTAATAATAATAATAATAATAATAATTAATGTTGGACTCCTCGCATGAAGAATTAATGTAATTTTCTTGGTTATTTTCCAATCACAAGGTACTTGTGATTGTTCTGACAATGCTGAATGAATATATGATACCGATTACTTTTTTAATTAGGTTTCGGAAAGGTTGGTTTTCTGGTATATAATTCGAAAACACTGCAGAATATTGGTAACGGCGCTGTAGTTGTATACGACACTGTTACTACCAACATCGGAGGAGGATATGATAAGTCGACTGGTGTCTTCACTGCATCTGTAGAAGGTCTTTACTACTTTACCTGGACAGTTCTTACTCAAGCTGGCAAGACTTTCTATACACATTTAATACTGAATGACACGGTTGTAGCAAAGAATCATGCTGGAGCGTCTGGGATGTCTACATACATGCCATCTAGTCAAAGAGCTGTTTTACAAATGAAGAAAAATGACAAAGTATCTATCAGGATTCATAACGGAGGTTCATTCATGCACGGAGGTCAGTGGTCAACCTTTAGCGGCTTCAAAATCTAAATAAAATGAATTGACCATTAAGAATGACTTATTTCATTTATTTTTACATATAATCATTTCAAGAACTGTTGTTTCCAACATATTGGAATCCTAGAAAATCCTAGCGGATAAGCTACATCTGTTTGATTGTTTGAGTTAGGATGGCATGGATGAGGTGTTTATATTTCATTTTTATACAATTTTTTTAATTTTTTGGCACATTATTCTGTTAACCAAATTTAGACCATCAATTACAGTTTTTCTACAGAAAAAGCCTGGCATAATGGAAAACACAATCGCATTATCATTATTATGTGATAAAATTATAACCACTCAAAACCGCCAAGAAGACCAGTACAATATTATAACTTGTGACCATTTGAAGATTCCGGTATATTGTGTTGGGGAATTATAATGTATCTGAATTTAGATTCTAAAGGATTTTTAAACTATTTATATCCTTAGACTTAAAAGTGTTTTAAGTTGATGAAAAACTATACAATTAGAAATTAGTTCAACAACAAAGACCTTTTCTTACGGGAAGAAAATCTGAGATGGCGACAATTATTTAAAAAGTAAAGGAGATTTTAAGTCTTACCATTTCTATCTCGCTGATTATTTAATGATTGCAAGCATAAATGGGAAACAAACTATTTTTTATAATAGAAGTTATAAGTGAATTATATATTTGAAAAGGCAAATGATTGTTTTATTACTGATTTGCGTATAAATGTTAAAAGTGAAAAATTATTTGGAACTGGGGACTTTCATAGTATGTTAAAGCTGTGAAGAATTTCAAGTTATCATACTGCCTTAAACAATGAACAAACCCCATAATCGTATAGTAAGCTATCAAAGGCTTAAATACTAAAAGCTGGTACATATCAACGCCACTATAGTGTCACCAGAACTTACGGTACCCCTTCCACTGCAGCTGCAGATGCAAACTTCACGACAAAATCCCTCTTTAAAAAAGATTCCCTTTCAATTAAAACAATCGTTTGTCAAACCAGGCGGGGAGGGGGAACACTTACTTTGTACTGAGTGGTAGGGATGAGTCGCTTGAATATGTTATTAAATTGAGAATGCGAATGGGGAATGTATCAAAGAGACGACAACCCGACCAAAGAGCAGAAAACAGCCCAAAGCAACCAATGGATCTTCAACACAACGAGAAAATCCTGCACCCAGAGGCGGGCTTCAGTTGGCTCCATAACAAAAATGTGTACTAGTTCAGTGGAAATGGACGTCTCACTAAACTCCAAAACATATAAAATGCCATCTAGTCAGAGTGTTGTTTTACAAATGAAGAAAAATTACAAAGTATCTATGTGTTCTTTCTTTTTTGCCCATTATTCTCTTTTCTCTCTATCCAAACACCCCATCCATAACTATTCTTTATTTTTTATCTATTTTTTTTACATTATTATTATTCGCAATATTCCCTATTCTGTAAATTCCATCCAGCCCCTAATTAATAAAATTTCAAAAGAGGAAGCCGGATTATTCATTTATTAACGAGACTTTACATAACCAACACTCAATCAAAGAATCGTATACTAGAACTTATATCTGATATAACTCAGATATACTTTTTGACCTTTTGCCATTTGTCAAATTTTCCAAGCATTAAAATTTTTCAAAACGGGAAGGCCAATTTCCCCTCAATGTGTTTCTCATCGGAACCTTTTTCAAAAAGCCTATCTATTTTAACCTAAATTCATAGTGTCATAGCCCAATGTGTATACTCAAATTAAGGCTGCACATATATAATGGATTGCTTTCTAACAGATCACCAAAACACAATCCAAAAGTCTGCAATTTTGGCTATAAAATGTAAATATTTGACCCACAAAATTGGACAAGACAGACATCATCAAAATTTGAAAATGTTGGAAGTAAATCTAAGTAACTATTGTATTGCTACTAATCATTAATCCACATTGGTTAGCAACGTCACAAGTTTGGGCTTAAAAATTTGACAGGAACATGCATTAAAATGTTTTAATTTTGTATCAAAATGCTTTCAATGACAACAGGAAGCGTAGAATACCATTTTGAGTTTAAAGAAATATGTAAATTTGTTTTGAAAATAAATAAGCATACGGTATAGACACTCTAACATTCATTTTCAAGTAGAATTTGACAACTTTTATGTTTTGACCCTGTCAGTGAAACAAACATAGGGGAAAGTCTCGGTACTGGATTTGTCTGTTTTTAAGAAAAAGAGTTTTAATATAAACAAAATGCCATTTCCTGGTAACTTTTTGTATAATATGTACAAAACGTTTTGAATCGGTTTCTTCACTCTTTTCTATGAAAACTCGTTTGGTCTATATTTTCATTAAACTGTTTAATCTGGGTGTCTGAGTTATTGCAACATACGTGTTTATTACTCTAGAAGTAATGTCCACCGTATACTGAAAGGTTTTCAAGTGTTGAATTTAAAATTTCGGAAAAGCCAATCAAGTTTATTACGACGATTTTGTATACTATTTAAAAAAAAACAAAAAAACACCCAAACATTATTTCGAGAAAAAAAAAACACGCCTTTTTAACTCCAAAACAATCCATTTGTATAATTAATCAGGTGTAACATAGATATAAGAAGATGTGGTATGCGTGCCAATGAGACAACTCTCCATTCAAGTCAAAATTTATAAAAGTAAACCATTATAGGTCAAAGTATGGTCTTCAACACGGAGTTTTGGCTCACACCGAACAGTAAGATATAAAGGGCCCCAAAATTACTAGTGTAAAAACATTCAAACGGGAAAACCAACGGTCTAATCTATATAAAAAACGAGAAACGAGAAACACTTATGAACCACATCAACAAACGACAACTACTGAACATCAGATTCCTGACTTAGGACAGGTGCAAACAAATGCAGCGGGTTTAAACGTTTTAATGGTACCAAACCTTCACCCTTTTTCTGAAACAATAGTGTAACATCACAACATAGAAAGACACACTATAAGATAATAACTGAAATAGTTTAACTCAATCAAAGGACATATTAACACCAGTGAACATACACTGAACAAATAAATTTGACCTATGATACAATGTTAATACAAAATAAATAAACTAAGGGAAGAATAATAAAAGTAACATGTTATATCGGTATGAAATGTTAAACAATTTAAGAAAAACAATATGCTCGAACAAAAATATCAGCCATTTGCAATAACTTTAAACACAGGTAAATGAAAATAATTTTGTTGTTAGGTATACGTGTACAGTTCCAATAGAGAAAGGAAATATTTTTAAAAAATAAATAATTTTGATGTTCATAGTACGAAGTGAAAATTTATAGTAATACCAAACACTTATCAAAGCTGGTATATAGACGAGATATAACCCTGAATAACATTAAAAAACAAAAAAGCATTCCAATTAGTATCAACAGGTCAAATAAACAAGACAGTACGATTTGAGAGTACTCGCAGTTACTGACAGCTAGTTAAAAGCCTGTTAATTTTGAATTATATTAACATGATTAATATAAAAAACATTATTTAACTGCTTGAGAAGATCCAGGAGAGGGAAGTACTTTTTAAAGGCAACAAAGAAAAGTTTGATTCGTTAATTTTCTGCTTGTGGTGTTGGCTTCAATCCTTACACATATACTTTGGCACATGTACGATTTTACGACTATTGCTTTACATTACCGAATATGAACCTAAATAATGCAGTATTGATGTAGTTCGTTCAAACTATTGTACTATTTTAGTACCATAATTTTACAGTACTAGATTTGTACTACAAATTTGATGTACTACAAATTTGATGTACCTCCGTAGTGAAGTAGTATGAAGGTACACAATTTGATATACATATATCGTAGTTCTTGTTTACTTCTATATATACAAAAAGGATGCCTCAGATGCTCATCTCTACCACATAAGATTGAAGTGGTCCCGAGGTCTTAACACTCAATATAAATGATAACGTTATGAACATCTACTTTAGTCAAAATGATTATGGCCGAACTTGTTAAGTGACCAAAACGTCTCAAAAGCACGGGAACTATATATATTTTAGCCCTTTTAACCCAAATTGGCTAGTCTTCAAGACTCGTTGTAGTCGTAAAATTTCCCCTGTATATTAGTGTACTATATTTTATCTATTACTAATACTGTGAAGTCTGGCTTTCCGGACACGTACAAAAATAGCTGCTTTGAAAAAAATGGAATAATGGTAGTGAAACTATTTTTGAATTTTATTGTGCGTTATTCTCTGTTCCTTTTGTTATTGCGCTTTAGTTTTTATTTTTTTTTTACCGTGAATTGCAATTCCGAGAAAACGTAACAGCTGTTTGTTTTTGTAAACTCTGCCAAAAATGGATTTCAATTAACCTTTTTGATATCTGGATTGCATCATCAAGGTGACATGAAAAGTCTACAAATGAACTACATTTTTAATGTCTGTATTACACCTTCATACAAGATAAACACGGCATTTTTTTAATTCATCAATACTAAGGATTAAAAATGAAGTAAGTAAAAAAATCTTGAGTTCCATAACTGACTTAAACAACTATTAAGCATATGGATTTTCTATGTAACTGAAATAAAAGAAAAAAAAAACCAAACATATCTAGATCGAAATAATATAAACTTATTCGAGTCGTAAACAGTTAAAGAAAAAGGGAAATCGTTAGGACTTTCTGCTTATCATATGCGTCTAACTATCAACTTTTTTAGACGTAATTAACACGAAGTTTGTTGGCATTTCAATGTGCCTGTACCAAACGAGCAGCATTGTCATCGGTTGTTTATATTTGTATCGAGCTATTTAAAGCTTGCTATATGGTAACACTATATATTAACGTTTGTGGTAAGCTCATGTTTACCTCTAATTTGTTTAATTGAATTGTAGAGTTTCTGTATCATAGATGTTATATTGTAGGCAGCTTATTATTCTAAAAATAATCAATTTGAGGTTGATTAAACGGGTAATCAATATTATTTGAATCACATATTATTCACCTTACGAAACACACGGTGATGGACATAAATCCTTTTTGAGAACTATAAATGTGGAAACCTACGCGAGCAGAGCCACAAAAAAATTCACAAACTTGGGTACTGCAGTAGTCTCCAATCTTTGTTAAGACAACCTTAAAGACATACATATTTTTAAAGTTATAAATACTGTTTTTGTAGCTTTGTTAATGCCATCGTCATTGCGTCAATACTGACCGCCATCCTGACATCAGGTGGGAGCTGTCACAAATCCTGTTCAAGGAACGCAAGTCTGATGAAGAGTATTCAATACCAGTTGAAACTAGTGGAAGATAATGATGGAAAGTGTGACTGTAACCACAGTCCTTCATCTGCGAGTAAGTTTGAATATAATAACAATAAATGATTTACTCTTAAAATGGTAAAAGGGGGGGGGGGGGGGTTATATCCAAAATTCCTACTTTGACCACGCCACATGTTCATTTGCATGTCCATAGTTAGGAATCTCGTTAACGGTTTAATGGCTGTTTGTTCGTGTCTTAAAGTGATTTTTCTTGGTCATTTTGGGGACTTTGTGTTGATTGTAGGAGATTTTTTATAGTCTCTGTTTTATTAATTCACAGCCTTTCTAGAGCGGTCGTTTAAGAGATTGACCTCTATAATGTTTACTGCTTAGAAGTTACATTTTAATATTGCAACCCACATGACAGATTTTTTAGCGGAGATGATACTACTCCTTTTGAAGCAAATTATTACTCGAAATATAAAAAGTTACAAATAATATAAAATATGAATTAAAATAGAATTGATAATTGTGTAACACGTTCCTTGTAATCAATTTGACAATGCTGAATGAACATATGATCCCTATTCCTTTTTTTAAATAGGTTTTGGAAAGGTTGGTTTTCTGGTTTTTAATTCGAAAACACTGCAGAATATTGGTACCGGATCTGTTGTTGTGTACGACACTGTTACTACCAACCTCGGTGGAGGATATGATAAGTCGACTGGTGTGTTCACTGCACCTGTGGAAGGTCTTTACTTCTTTGCCTGGACAGTTCTTACTTACGCTGGCAAAACTTTCTACACACAATTAATACTGAATGACACTATTGTAGCAAGGAATTATGCTGCAGCTGGAAAAATATCTACAGAAATGCCATCTAGCCAGAGTGCTGTTTTACAAATGAAGAAAAATGACAAAGTATCTATCAGGGTTCAAAGCGGAGGTGTATTCATGTTCGGAGACAAATGGTCAACCTTCAGTGGCTTCAAAATCTAAATAAAATAAATTAAACTTAAGAATAGCTTATTTCATTTATTTGTTATCTATAAACCTTCCAGATACATAAGAACTTATATCTGATATTAATCTGATATATCTATTGTCCACCATTAGTTATTACATTGTCATTTGTCAAACTTTCCCCGCTTTAAATTTTTTCTAAGAGGGACAGCCAATTTCTCTGACTTTATATCACAGCAGAACCATTTTCAAAAAGTCTATCAATCTTAACTGAAATTCATTGCATCATAGTCCAATATGTATACTTAAATGAGGTCTGTACAGATAAAATGGTTTGCTTTCTTAACAGATGACCAGAAAAAAAAGACAACCCGAAAGTCTGCAATTTTGATAATGAAATGTTAAATATTTAACCCACACAAATATACAAGAGTTAGACAGACATCGTTAACATTTGAATCTCTGTTGGAAGTAAACCTATGTATTGTTTTGCAAATACAAATTAATTCACATTTGTTACCAACGCCTTGAATCTGAGCTTAAATGCCAAATTTGAGAAAAGCATGTACAATTTTTTATTTTGTATCAAAATGCTTTCAATGACAACATGAAGCGCTGCATATCATATTGATTTTTTTTAAATATGTCAATTTGTTTTGGAAAAGTTTCAGCATATGATTTGGCCCTTTAACATTCATTTTCCAGTAGAATTTGACAACTCTTATATTTTGACCCTGTGAGTGAAACAAGCACAGGGGAATTGGCTCTATCTCTTCATTCAAATCTTAAGACATCCCATTATCTCAAGAAAGTAAAATTTCAGCTTTTAATTCCCTTAGAAAGTTTAGTCTTATTTTCAGTTGTTCGCGAGCCAATGTACAAAAAGAGCATTCAAGGAATCAATGTATTGAGCCTTCAGTTACTTTACCATATACAGTTTCAACCTGGATCGTTTGCAAAATTAAACTGTATTGAATTAGCTTTTAGTAACTTCGAATCCTCTCATTTCAGTACTTTGAGTCTATCTATTTTTGTTTGTGTTTTTATGTGCTTTGTATCGATCTGATTAGTTAAGCGCTTTTGAACTGATTCTTGTAGTTTGATCTTATGTCGTGCTGTTACAACACTGTCACTGGACAGAATAGGGTTTGGTGTCATCAAACATGTTTAACCCCGACACATTCTGTAGCGGTGTGTTCAAAGTGAGGAGCCTGTTATTCAGTGGTTGTCGTTTGGTGCTGTATAGCATATCTGTTTTTCGTTAATTATTATGTACATAAATCTGGTTGTTAGTTTTCTCGTTTGAATTGTTTTACAGTTGTCATTTCGTGGCCTTTTAAAATTTACTATGCGGTATGGGTTTTGCTCATTGTTGAAGTCCGTACGGTGACCTATGGTTGTTAACTTTTATGTAATTTGGTCTCTGGTTGAGAGTTGTCTCATTGGCAAAATTACCACATATTCTTTTTTTATATCTACATGTCTCTTGTGGGTCCATAATTGGTAATAAAGCATGATGTTGTTGAATTGTATACGTACTTGTCTATTGTCGAAGATTGTTTGTTGCTTACTGTTATCGTTTGGTTGCTATCTCTTTGGCGTTAACACTAGCTACATCTTCTTTCATACTTGTATAAAAGAGTTATATAAATTGATTTACACACATATTTGAATTTAACACTGAAAGATTAATTGACTACTATAGAAATAAGGAGATGTCGTATGATTCTAAATGAGATAACTATCCACCGGCGACGTAAGCTATACCTTCACATTTCTGTATGTCTTTTTCTTGATGAACAAGTCTTTATACTGTATTATGCTGTAAAGCATATACTAATATCACTTTCAAATTATGGAGACTTGTTTTTATACAAATAAGAAGATGTGGTATGATTACCAATGAGACAATTCTCTACCAATACGTGGAAGGTTAGCAACTATAACTTACCGTACGGATCAGCAATGAACAAAACCCATACCGCATAGCAAACGTACCTGAAAAAGTTTGTACAACGGAATTGAAACCGCATGTTTATTAGATTGTACGATATTTTAGATTCTATAATAATGCTAAATAGTAGATCTGAATATATACCGTATAGCTTATGACATAGATACTATAAAATAGGTTACATACATGTATAGTTGTACAACCACATAGAAACAACGGAATATAATACCATACATTGACTTGTTATAATTGTACAAGATAAAAGACAACAGTAAATTGGTTTTTAATTGCAAATCAGTATATATACGACGAAAAAAATAACGAATAATCCAAGTGGGCAATCAAAAATCATACGTTGAATTAAAATAAAAACGAAAAATCCCACATGATCATGGCCAAAAGAAAAACGACACAAAACAAACTAAAACAGAAATTTAAGATTGGTAAACAAAAAGTCCATCAAATACTGTGTGTGAACTTATACGCTCATGACGATTGAAAAGTTTCTGCTCTACTTTAAGCATCAATCGTTTTGCTCGTGGAAATTGACAATCTGGTGATACGTAGAAATCGATTATATGTCCAACAACGAAAAGAGAACGGTATTATTCCAAAGACAAGTGAAACATGTCTGTAGTTAGCTTTTACCGATAAAAAATATAAACACAAAAAGAAGAACATTTAGAAAATTGTAGATCAAGAACATAAAAGAGAGGCGAAAGATACCAAAGGCACATTGAAACTCATTAGATAAGCATACATGTGTAATACAAATATTTGTGATAAGTGGAAATATGCGTAAACAATGTTGACACGAATATCCCATAAAAGTCAACTAAACCAATATGTTGACCTTAAGTCTTTTAACTAGTTGACTACAACTCTACCATACACAAACCTTTGTTCAATAAATTCATTGTATTTAAAAAAAAAATCCTTGTAAACGGGATTTATCTGAGAAAAAATTAATGTAAGGAACCACAACCATGGAATACTTCTGATACAATAACTGAGCCAACACGTTGATGAGGCAGAACGATTGAAATCGGCGTTACATAAGTATAACCGTCGGTTATCAATAGAGTATACAGATACGTTTTGCTTAATCATAATTTGAATTCAATTAAAACAGAATTACAATTCATTATTCATAAATCAAAAGTAAAATAGAATCATGAATTATATATGCCAGTGTTTTATTATTCATTTAAAGAATAAAAAATAAAATACAAAACAACACATCATATCAAACTAACATGTATGGAATTAGTATTGTTATTGCAATACCTTATATGGATTATTTGTTTCACAGATGACGATGGATATATTCCAAATGCCGTATCCACATTCCCGTCCTCTTCCCCCTGAATGTCCCCTTCCGATTAAGACTTATCACAGGGTTTGTACTTACACGAGCAACATGACGGGTGCCACATATAGGGCACGATCTCGTTACTCTTCCGGAACACCTGAGATCACCCTTGGGTTTTGGTGGGTTCGTGTTTCTCAGTTTTTTGTTTCTTTGTTGTGTTTTCTGTACAGTTTGTCTTTTGGTCTTTTTTCATTTTTTACCATGAGGTTGTCAGTTTATTTTCGATTAATGAGTTGGAATGTCCCTTTGGTATCTTTCGCCTGTTTTTTGCCATAATAAATACCATGTATCATGCATTAAAAATTGGCTCACTTCAATGCAACCTGCCATTGATATTTTGTAAATTTGGAAGCCACGAAAAGACTGCGTTATCGGATGACCTCTTCAATTAGACCAGATTTAAATATTCAAAGTCGATTGGCTAAGGGGAATTGCACTAGTAACCACAATTTAGATGAAACGGCCAAAAAGGTATTAACTCTTCTTAAAATAGATTATAGAAATTTAAACAAACCATTACTAAAATTACCAAATTAAACCCTATCAAATAGATTTCCTTGCGTTGAGTCAAAACACCTGGGGCCTGTTTATCGAAGCTGCCATAGGGTTCGTTCGAAGACATATCTTTGATAATTAGGATTATTGTTAGACCAACTTACGACATGTCGAAGCTATCTTAGAACTATCTAAGCTAGGCTGTCATTACGGCATCAATAATCACAATATCCAATATATTCCTGTTATAACTCTCTTTCTTTATAAAATGAAGATTTTGTCTAACAACATAACGATTGATATTGATTATCACATCGGTATTATGACGATGGTAGTCCCAGTCTCTGTTCCCTTACCCACTGCTAGATCCAGATGAAGATCAACGTCATCAGCCTCCACTATAAATACTTGGAGATCAAGACAAGCTTGATAGATATAGGAAGATGTGGTATGACTGCCAATGAGACAACTCTCCATCCAAGTAACAATTTATAAAAGTAAACCATTATAGGTCAAGGTACGGCCTTCAACACGGAGCATTCGCTCACACCGAACAGCCAGCTATAAAGGGCCCCAAAAATTACTAGTGTAAAACCATTCAAACGGGAAAACCAACGGTCTAATCTATATAAAAACGAGAAACGACACGTATGAACTACATAAACAGACGACAACTACTGTACATCAGATTCCTGACTTAGGACAGGTGCAAACATTTGCAGCGGGATTAAACGTTTTAATGGTACCAAACCTTCTCCCTTTTCTGAAACAATAGTATAACATCACAGCATAGAAAGACACACTATGAAATATCTATTGGAAGGCTTAACTCAATCAAAAAACGTAAATTAACAAACAATGAACGAATAGATTTGATCTGTGATACCTGAATGCAAATACATAGTTAATAAAAATTATAAGGGATAAATGATTAAGGTCAAAAGTAAATAAACAGGTTAAAACAAAGTTAAAGTATGATACCACTGTGAAATGTTAAACAATATTTAGAAAATAATCACTTTTGAAAAAACCTGCGTCATATTATACAAAGGTAAATGAAAATAATTTTGTTGTTAAGTATACTTCTTCTTCTGTGTGTATAAAATCTTCCGTTTAGGAATACCAAGAAATGTCTTTAATATCAATAAAACTAATCTAACACTTGGTACATATGGGGTGAATATCAACAGTAAAACTATACAATAAGTGCTAGATTAAAATTCCTTTACAGGTGCA